AAGTTACACATGTGCTCCTATAGGTCTACCGGGGGGAACAAGGCCCTGATACTTCTCCTCGACCTCATTATCTTCCCAGTCTTCAATATCTGCCTCCTCGCCGTCTTCAACCTTCGGCAATACCTCTGGTAATGATGGCGCGCTGTGCATGCGAACCAAAGATCACCCAAATCTAGGGCCTTCAAGATGCGCGCTTGACGCGTAACTTGCTTCTAATTTCCTGTTCCTTCCGAATGAGACGCCTCTTAATGCTTGTCTGTTGGGCTTGCTCAGAGGTAGTAGTATACAGTAGAGATTACAAGTACAGATTTCATCGATTTCATTTCATTCCTTCTCCTCTACCTCCCTAGATAGAAGCCACCTGCTAATTACACATCTGAAGCACAAATAGCCCGCCTCAATCATAGTAATCCCAAGCAAGACCAAAAATTGGAGGCGGGATATTTTGACAGGAGATTGCAGCAGCATTCACTCGATGCAATCTGGTCAACGGTGTGACGGTTTAAAAGGAACCAAACCAAGCAAATTGAAGTAAAAAGAAAACGAAAGAAGAATAAAAGTGGCCAGTTAGACATAGAGATATGAGATATGCTCAAGGGTCTGGAGGCAAAAGAGAAGAAGTAGAAAAAAGAATAAGACATAGCCTGCTAGCAATACATGGGAAGTGAAAAGAAGAAGAGAAGGGGAAAAGAAGAAATTAAAACAAAAGTAGAAGAGGAATCATTGGCGAGCAAAAATTGAGTTTGAACACAAAAAGGAAGAAAAGAGAAAAATCAAAAGATAAGAAAGATAAAAAGAATGTCAAAGAGTCGAAAAAAAAGAAAAGATTAAGAACCAGAAAGCAATACACGAAATGGATGAGGTAGTAAGGATGACGTGACACAGAAGATCAAAAAGCTTATGTAGAAGAAGCAAAAAAAAGGCCAAGGCCATTATAAACGCTCTCCAAGAATTTTGTAGAAGATTATTTGGCCCCGATCTCTTCCTCAGCCCAGCCTGGGAGCGAGTTTTCGTTCTGAATGGCTAGACCGAAGCCCGGGTGGTTGAGTCCGCCGAGCGCGGATGTGAAGCTGGAGAAGCTGCTCTGTGCTTGGTGAGCTGCGCCCGCACGGCTGTGACTGCTTGGTCCACCCGAGCCAGGGCCAAATGGCTCCTGGGAGAAGGAGGGCAGACTGACGGCGCGGGAGTGCTGCGCACGCGGCACGCTCAAGCTGCTGGTGCTGGCTGTGGAGTGGTGGCCGGGTCCTGAGGAGCCGTTGGCGACGCTGAGGTAGCCGTTCGATGTCTTGTGCTGGTGCATCGGGCCATCCATGCCGGCGCCGTTGGGAAGATCACCATTGCTGGTGCCATTGTACATCGACTGCTGCGGCTGACCTTGGGACAGACCCATGGGGTCATTCATGCGGTTCTCCTGCTCCTGTGCTTGCTGGGCGGACATTTGATTCAGGTACATGGTCAACGGATTGTTCGATCCCACGTTCAGCACCCCGGACGGAGCAGAGACGTTCTGCAGCGGGTGACGCTGGCCGTTCTGAGAGCCCGTAGATCCCGGTGCAGGGGAGAGAGCAGGCCGAGTCGGGCTGGATTGCGAACCGGATTGGCTGAGATTCTGCTGCTGGAAGCCGTTGAGCGCAGGTGAAGGTGACTGAGGTCCTTCCATGTTATTAGCTCCATTGCGGTTCTGCTGTGAATTGTTGCTGTGATTGTTTCCGGCCTGGCGCGGGGGGTTTCCGCAACGATCCTTGCCGAAGTTGATCTTGAACCGTCGGTATTCCTCCCGATTGCGCATGCCTTCGATCGCCTTGATGGCGTTGGCGATGTTGGTGAAGTTGACAAACGCGCAACTCTTCTCACGCAGGGTGTTCACCAGTTCGATCTCCCCGTACTCCGAGAAGTCCTGGCGGAGACGTTCCTCGGTCCAGGCTTCATCCAGGTTGCCAATGTATACATTGCGGGAGGCGCCGCCACTGACAGCCAGTGCGATGGCAGGGGGCAGAGGACCGGAGTGCTTGCCCCAGCCAATCTTCAGTCGCCGGTTGTGGATCATCAGGCCCTGCAGGTTGCTGAGGGCATAGAACGAAGCGGCCGAGGTGGGATCGATGAAGGTGACGAAGCAGATGTGTTTGTCAGGAATATATCGAATGTGGTGCAGCAGACCTCCACGGACCACGTTACAGATCTCCTCAATAGTGGTTTCGGGGTGGATGTTTCCGAGATAGATGGTTCGGTTGCCCAGGTTGTTCACACCGCCAGCTGTCGTCGCCACGGCGGCTGCAGCCACGGACTGCTGTGCGAGTGCGTTGGAAATCAGATCGCGATCTGCCGAATTCAGCACATGCGCATATCCAGGAGCGATTCCAAGGAACTGGGCGGCATTCTGCTGCTGCGTCTTGGACACATATGCGCAACGATCCTTGCCGTAGAAAACCCGCTTCGGCGCCTGCCATTGTGGTTCTTGCGGAAGCTGGGTCACGGCCTTCATAGCATTGCTGATGGACAGGAAATGCACGAATCCAATGGCCTTTTCCTTAACGATCTTGACCGTGTCGATAGGCCCGAACTTGCCCAATTCTTCCCGCAGACTGTCCTCCGTTGTCTCCTCCGGCAGATTCCCGAGGTAAACATTGCGCGATGCGCCCGACTGCTGAACAGCCAGCGCCACGGACGTGGGTACCTGGGAAGGCTTGCCCCAGCCGACCTTGATGTCATTACCCTTGATGGCCAGCTTCTTCAAGATGGCATCCGAGTGGAAATGAGTGGCCGAGCTGCTATCCAGGAAGGAGATGAAAGCACAGTTCTTGTCGGGAAGCAACCGAACGGACTCGATCTGGCCGCTGCGTACATGGTTCAGGATTTCCTCGGCAGTTGTTTCAGCCGGGATATTTCCTAGATACACCGTGCGACTTGTTCCTGACAGCATTCCCGGGGCCACCGATGCCGCGGGGCTGCCCAGAGCCGCATTACCCATGCCTCCAAACCCATTAATCGGCGACTGCGGTCCTCCCATCAGCTGGGAGGCACCCATCTGATCCAGACCAGAAAAGAGACCGGGATTGTGCATGCCCTGGGTTGGGCTGCCCATCTGGTTCTGCGAGTTGTGCGCGTGCCCGTTGGCATTGCCCTGGGAAAAGCCACCAAAATTCGCGAATTGGGGCGAGGTGAAGGCGGATGGGGTCCCGGGCTGGAAGGGGCTGCCCACCAGCAGCTGGGAAGGAAGAAGCGGAGTGAAGTTCATATCAAACGCGGCACCAGAAGCCATATCGGATGGTTGGCCTGCTGCAGCGGTATTTATAGCGGGGATATTAGCTCGACGAGCGTTACGGTCCGAGAAACTCTGGGCCGAGTGATTGTTATTGTTGTGGTGGTAATCGCCGTTCAGACCGTATTTGAGAGGAACCAGGCGTGAGTTGTTAGACGCATCCGACGCTTGCATGGCGAGGTCGAAGGGTCACGAGAGAGGCGTCCCTGGAGGAAACGGACCGGACCGAACACACGCGTGGTCTAGACCGATGCTGATGGATGTTCGAGGGAGGGAAGGGAGGATGGCGGGTCGGATCACCATGCAGGAGAAAAGGGAGCGAGTGTGAAAGGAAGAAGGGACAAGCTCCAAACAGCGATGTGTCTAGGTGGGCAGCAAGAGTCAATTGGAATGTGCAGCTTCAACGCGGCATGGGATCGGGACCAACCTGCAACTTTTTGTTTCCTGGTGGATGGAGAATGCCGTGGTTATATAAGGGCCGCGAGAGGGAGAGATGCCATGGAAGAGACCCAAGGCGAAAGCTCGTGGGGAGAAACAAAGAGAGTGACTAGGGCCGAAATCAATTAACTGAAAAGGGATAAGTGGCAGCAGTAGAGGATGACCACCCCGATCCACAGAAAGAGAAAAAAAGAGGAGGCAGGGAAAAAGGGAAGTGTAGAGAGCGACAGGAAGAGAAAGAAGAAGAAGAACGAAGTAAAGAATGAACGGCAAGGAAGTGAATCCAGGCAAGGTATGTAAAAGGGGGAGAATTCGAGCGGGAAAAGGAGGGCGCGACTAAACCCAACTTGGAGGTGTTCGCAGGTTGCCGCAGGTGACCGTTGTGCCCTAACCGTTCAGTCTCTGCTCTATGCGGACTAGGCGGAGGGTGCTCTGGTTGAGGGTTTCCTTGCCTCTCTGGTGTGATGATGGTATTTACCACTCCCGATTCTTCCTCTTCTCGTTCAGCGATGATTCCCCGTGCTCCTGTTCTGTTTGCCTGTTCCATGGCTCCGTCATCTCTGGCTCAGGCCCCCACACCAGGAACCCCCAGCCCCTGCCCCTGGCATACCCGATTCATGACCTACATAGGCGATTTTCATCTAGCCGAATAATGTCTTGCTCGTGGCTCTCCTGTCTTCGATCGGGCCGAATGAGGCTGAATCCTGAATCCCTGCTTCCGCTCGACGGGTACACTACCCGCCCCCAAGTCGGACCCCCACCGTTTCCTGACATCCCACTCCAACTATTGTAGCTCTCAATGGATCTGCGAAGACGGTCTCTGATGTGACAGGCCAATTTGCCATGGCTCACTGCTCTACGAAGTGGAAATAGGTCGGCCATCCGCCCGAGATACTCGCCGATAGCTCCGGCGCCGTAACTCTGCTTGCCATCAATGCAGGCTGTGATTGCCTTGATTCTCAGAGTGCAACTGTATAGCATGGACGATATCGGTCGACAATAGGAATCCTTATTGACATGATATTGAAAATCCGAGTAGCGTCCAGGATAGCCGTGTGCTAATTGCATATTTGTTCGCCAAATCTCACTTGGGCTAACGAATAATGTAATAGAGAACTCGAGCTCAGTCTGCTAACTTCTTTTTGAAATTTCATGTACAGATGAGATTTCTAGAATAAGCAATGCTAGAAACCATTCTCTCCCCTCTGCAGCCGAATTAGAAATGCAGCGATTAGGAGAACACCATGGGTTGAACCTGAAAATATAGATCGACATTTCCCCCGGTCGGTGGGCTTTTCCCCAGATGGCTTGGGTTATAGTCCCTCTCTTATGTGCCCTGGTCCCCGAGCTTCGCGCAAATGAGTCTCCTTATCCACTTTGGTGCTCTCGACCAGATGATCGCGAGACATACTCCGGTCTGCCTCAGGAACCATTTCTGCCTCAGGCACCTACGTGGGGAATCACTTATCGGCGAAATTTCCTAGACTTTCCCCTCCACACTACTGTGCGCTTCCCTCCTTGCGTTGGCCACTTTGCAATTGGGCGATAAGAGTGCCGCGGCCCGACTATTCCGGACTATTGCTTGCTGGTGTGTCCTTGTCTTGCCCGGAGTTTTCCATTCGGCGTGTATGACTCACGGAGTGGCCCTGTTAACCACTATTTTCCTTCCCGCAGAGTCCCTTCAAGCCAGTCTAGCGCACGCACACACCGACACCATGGCTGCACCCACCATCTACATCGACGAAGACGTCGGCAGAGACGACTCCGCCGCCGTCGGCTCCGAGTCCGCCCCCTACAAGACCCTCGTGCACGCCTTCCTGCAGCACGCCCCAACCACTGAGGGCATCCAGTACCTCACCCGCAAGTCGCAGACCGAAGCCGCCGGTGAGGATGTCGACCCTGCCGCCAAGCTGGAGTGGAAGCCCGCCACCAAGTCCGCCGTGAAGAAAGCCACCAACCTGTGGGAGCAGCGCAAGAAGAAGGCCGCCAAGGAGCAAGAACTGGCTATCCGCGAGAAGGCCGAGGCCGAGAAGCGCCATAAGGTGCTCGAGGAGGCTAAGAAGATCGTTATCAAGGAGGATGCGTCGCTGCCCCCGCCGGTGCGCATCCGTCTCGACGTCACCGACCCGGCTGTTGTCCAGCTGCGCACCCCCGAGTCCGATACCCCCGGCACCCGGGTCCGGGTGCTGGGTCGGGTGCACCGCATGCGCGCCCAGAAGGACGTCGTCTTCATTACCCTCGCTGACGGATACGGATACCTCCAATGTATCCTTACGGGGGACATGGTCAAGACCTTCGATATCATGACCCTCACCCTCGAGACCTCGATGTCCATCCACGGCGAGATGCGCGCCGTCCCACCGAAGCAGCACGCTCCCAACAACCGCGAGCTGCACGCGGACTTCTTCACGATCATCGGCCGCGCGGCGGGTGACAAGGAGGCGATCACCACGCGCGTGGCGCCGGACGCCGACCCGCAGACGCTGTACGACAACCGCCACCTGGTCCTGCGCGGCGAGATGTCCTCGTCCGTGATGAAGGTGCGCGCCGCGACGCTCCGCGCATTCCGCAAGGCCTTCGAGGAGAACCGCATGTTGGAAGTGACGCCGCCGGCGATGGTGCAGACGCAGGTCGAGGGCGGCAGCACGCTCTTTGGGTTTAACTACTACGGCGAGAATGCCTACCTGACGCAGTCGTCGCAGCTGTACCTGGAGACGTGCCTCCCCTCCATGGGCGACGTCTTCTGCGTCTGCCCGTCCTTCCGGGCCGAGAAATCGCTCACCCGCCGCCACCTGTCGGAATACACACACATCGAAGCCGAGCTGGACTTCATCACCTTCACGGACCTCCTCGACCACCTCGAAGCGGTGATCTGTCGCGTCATCGATCTGACTCTCGCCGAGCCCGAAATCAAGCGCTACATCGAGACCCTCAACCCAGACTTCAAGCCCCCCTCCCGCCCCTTCAAGCGCATGAAGTACTCTGATGCGATCGACTGGCTGCGCGAGCACGATATCCCCAACGAAGAAGGCCAGCCGCATACATTTGGTGATGATATCGCCGAAGCCGCCGAGCGCAAGATGACCGATATCATCAACCAGCCTATCTTCCTCACGCATTTCCCCGCTGACATCAAGGCCTTCTACATGAAGAAGGATGAGACGGACCGCCGCGTGACCGAGAGTGTCGATGTACTGATGCCCGGCGTCGGTGAGATTGTTGGTGGGAGCATGAGGATGGACGACTGGGACGAGTTGATGAATGCTTACAAGCACGAGGGCATGGACCCGAAGCCGTACTACTGGTACACTGACCAGCGGAAGTGAGTCAACCCATCCCCTTGTTCTTTTGATTTCCTCACATACTAATGTTTCACTTCTAAAGGTACGGCACCTCCCCCCACGGCGGCTACGGTCTGGGCCTGGAGCGCTTCCTGGCATGGCTGTGCGCGCGCCACACTGTGCGCGATTGCTCGCTGTACCCCCGGTACACGGGCCGGTGCACTCCATGAGCAACCAGCAGATGGTCAGTTAGGTGGTGTAACAGGGGTAGAGAAATGGGTGGGGCAGGTATTCTTGCATAGGCGATGGCAATGGGCAAAAAAGAGGAAAGTCAATTCAAGTCATGTTATGTTAGAGATCGAGTTCTACATCTATAGTATTTGCCCAAGTCAATTTTATCTCCCTTGTTCTTCACTTTTCTTCTTTCTTGACATCGATGAATGGGCCGGTTTTCTTCGATGGGCGCCTATATCAAGTAATATCTCAATCAATCTGTGTGACGGAACCTATGAAGACTGGGGAATGTGGTGTGCTGCCACAATCGTTCTCAGGAGATAGATGTCGGTACTAATCGACGCAGACTCCTGGGATACAGTGCAGCAAGTACTATGTTCACCATAAAGCGGCAGGAATAAACACCGTGCTAACTATCTGTCTGGATAGCGGGAGGCAGGGGCAATCCAATTGGAGGAAAGGGGCGTGGTACAAATTCTTCAGTGTAGATGTTTTGCTTCTTCTAACCGATCGCTGGTCTGCACTAAACTAGTATCGGATTTGGGCTTGATTCGCTTTCGAGCTCGGGGAAGGGAGTGGAGAAGAGGATTTCACATCCGGGTGGACAGGGTGTGGATAACAAGGAGTCCAGCTGCAGGGGCAAGCAAGTCCCCGGCGTATCCAGGTGAATGACCAAGTCGCGGTATTTGGGAGGGCAAAGCAGAGTAGAGTATGTAGGGGGCGGTGGATCCAGGAAGCGCGTTCAGCAGTTTCGATTCTTCGGTCACCAATACGAACAACGGTGACACCTCGTCTCGTCTCGAAGTCGGGACAGGGCAAATTCAAAGGCAGCCGCTGATGGCGGAGGACTCGAGCAGTGGGATGGGAGGTATTGTGCAGATTCGCAGACCTTGCAAGAATCCCAGGCATGGGATACGGCAGGTGGTCACGGAGATAGAATCCGTCTGTGGGAACAGATTTATTCCCGCGCTTGCAGATATCAGAGCCAGGTTCTTTAGAGCCCATCCCATCTGTCCGCTTCTTGTTCTTTTCTTTCTTTTCGGGGTTGTTTAGTTTTGGAGTAGCGAATAGAAGCAATTCGTCCAGTCCTGTCCTGTCCGTTGCACTCCTCGGAGGCGAGTCAGCCCCAGAGGAAGGGCGACGCGACAAGACAAGCCCTGACATTCCGGCATCGCTACCAGACCAGAAAGGGCAGGGCAAAGTAACGAAGAACCAGGAAACCTCCACGGACTCAGTCCAACAATTACCGGATCAGCCAGACTGAAGCGCGTCTGACTCGCTGAACACACAGCGTCGATGCCATCTGCTATGACCGTGTCACCAGCCAGCACTGGACTTGAACAGCAACTGGACTTGCATCCCGGGCGAGCAGCCCAGCCCAAGGATACACGAAGGGAGAAAAGATACAGACGAACGGCACAATTTGACAAAGCTCCCACTCCGTCTAGGAATTCGGTAGGTATAGGATAGGGTAAGGCAAAATGACGAACGAGATAACGATAACATAAAGCGATATCAAATGATTTGCAAGCCGACTTTCAATCCGATCTCGTCTTTTCTCATCTCATCTCAAGCCGATATATCATGGAACATTCACCGAGCAAGGGCAGAAACCCACACACACACACAGAGGTCGAACCAACAAGCCAATCCACAGAATGTGCGGTGTACCTCTTGCGATGCATTTGTTCATCTTCTCTTTTTTTTTGATTTTTTCCTGCCGTGCTGAGAGAGAGAAAGAGTTCTGAGTGCCTCATGATTCAATGATCCCGTTGTTGTGGTGGTTGGCTTCGCCAGACATTTCGGCAAGGGCGGCGAGGATGGCGTCGTGCGAGGCACCGGAGCGAATGACAGAGATCATGCGGTTGACGGCCTGCTCTTCCCCGTGGGTGACGAGATCCAACAGCCGCTCGAGGAATCCGCGGTAATAGCGGACCTCCTGGTTACCGTCTGCTAGATCCTGGCTCCGTTCGTGGGTCGCGGGATCATCGCTGCATTCACCATGAGAATCACTGGCACATTGTATGGTGTCTCGAGGATGTGGATGTTCTCAAGGGAAGCAAGCTTGTACCTACCGTGATTCATGTGGGGGCGTTGGTGGTGCTGCTGCGCTGTCCTGCACCGAGGAGGAATGCGCTTGTCCGGTGGACGGATCGATCGTTGGGGTGTTGCGAGACATCCTGGCTATCGTCTATCGATGGAGATTGAAGCCGCTGACAAGAGACGACGGGGACAGGAGATGAGGTGGCACGGCGTGGGAGAGGTTGAACCGGGGCTCCTACGTCTGGCTGGGGCCCTGCATGATTAGCAGGGCGGACGAGGGAAGGGTTACCTGCCGCATGATTGCGGGTGATCAGAACATGAACTAGGACAGGCCCCAGCGTTTCCCACCAGCTCCAAGGACAGGGGGAGAGGGTGGAGAAGGAGGGCAGAAGAAGAGGAAACAGAGCGGTCAGCCATACAGTTGTGAGACGCTCAGCAGCCGGACACTGACTGACTCGCTTTCACTCTGGCCTCGAGAGTACAGGTAGGTAAGAATCAAGCGGAGTAAGAATCATCCAGGTGGATCAACAATGAGTACCAAAATAGGTGCTGCCGTCGGGACCGAGTCGAGTTCCGTTCGAAGAAGAACACCACCGTTGCCCCACGGAACAGCTGATGCTTCTCGAAAAGACTATGAAATAATGGCCCGGGATTTGTGAGTTGGACCTGGATGCTTCACCGATTCGGGTACGGAAGAAAGTGCCGGCCAATAACGGTGACGGGTTCCTTTCTCCGCAGCACAAAAGTACCCAGGAGGCAATACCACTGGCGATGGAATCTGGGGAAATATCGGTCGATCTTGGTTTATTGGCCTGACCGGTTTGTTCCTCGCATGCCAATCAACCAGGTCAGACTCCATTATTCATCCCTCGTTGCGTTCGGTCTGGTCTGGCTTCCCAGCGGCACCCCGTGACTCTACCGCGAGCGGAATCGAAGCGGTGCAGCAGCAGGACATGAGTGTAAAGGGGAATCATTCATCGAGAATGAACGACCGAGGGTTCTCTTCCGATCCCGAGTTGAGAGGTCCGACGCGCTGGACCCAACATTCAAACATTGCATCACGCTGGACATGGGCTGTATCCAGGCAGAACAGAACAGCAGGAAGAGCTGTTGTCGATGGAAAAGAAACCACAAAAGAAGGTCTGTTGTTCAGCACTTGCCGCATACTGATGGCGATGCCGCCAAAAGGGAGAGCCTCGTGGGTACGACTCTCTCTCCCCCCCGTGTCATTGAGATCTTTCACCCCGCCGGTGATGAAGATAGTGGCCTCGAAAATACTCACAAAGGGCTAAAGTCACTGGAGGGGGTCCTGCTAGTCGCGCAGCTGCCTCGCTGGTGCTGACAACCCCAAAATGTTAGCGGCCCAGCCGTAAGAATCTCTTGTCGGTCCCTCTTTCTCAGGACATCGCTTGCTGACTTGCTCCCTCCTGAGGCCAGACCAGATCCCTGAGCCAAACAACCGAGAACAGTGCGGCCCTACGGTTCCAATCTTCCCCCCGCAAACCGAGAACAGACACACAACACTTGCCCTTGGACCAGATAGTTAGACTCATCGGGCCCGGTTAGGAGGTTGTGCGGGATCTTGACAGCGCCCGAGCAACCTCTGCGTGGGCAAAATCATTGTCTGTGGCGAGATACATGGCGCAGAGGCAGCTGGTATCTCGCGACAGGAATACTCTGTACGAAATCATCGGTGTCCAACTTCCACAAACAAAGCCATTGGGCTCAGTGTGTGCTATTTGCGGGACACCTTACGCGTTGCAGATGATGGACCGCATGGAACGGCGTCAAAAGTCACGAAACGCAGGGCATCCATGCGCTCTTGATGCTTTCCGCAGCATAGACGCCGTGCGGTGCCAGGGTGTCTCGGCAACGGTACAGCTTCCAAGATAATAAGCAGAGAAGGTATAGTGACGATGGCGATGAGGCATGAAAACAAATTGTAGCTGCTTCAGATGTGAGACGATAAGGACCTGCCGTTAGTGTTTCTATTCTGATCTTCCTCGTCCTTTTCTCTTGCCTCTGGGTATTCCCCTATCATGGCCTTGACCTGTTCGTTCTGTGCCAGGCGCACGGATTCGAAGGCTTATCGTCTCGCAGAAGCAGTGCACAGAACCGTGCAGAACGAAGCATCACCCGGGGTGTCTTAGTTCGCGGCCGGTCAATTTACTTAGGTACTCTGTACTATCTTTAACTTAAGTGAAAGATTGTCGGAATTCGAGCCAAGGGCCACTGACGGAAGTATTACCTAGGACAGCAGCCCACTACCTACTTACTAACTACCAAGTTGGGAAAAGCTAACTACCTAATTGTTCTAGTGTTGGATACTGACGCAGTGTGCGGGTAATGCTGTCACCACTATGCGTCATCCCAGGTTTCAGGAACCCGTGCCGTGGTAAAATCCATTTGTTCTGCCAGACAGATCGAGAAGTTAGCTGTGTTGGTGATATCACTGCCATAGTGGTGTTAACAGTTCCCAAGCTTGACCTAACTACAGTAGACTGGGTATGGTATGCAGGAACAAAACAAATGAATCTTCTAGGATACTATGTCTGTGCTCACCAAAAGGATACATGTATAAAAAGTGTTCGGACATACTAGGATACTCGAGACTAACCAAAAACACAGCTCTGCTGCATACAATAAGTCTTTATGAATAGTCGAGCCTGCCATGTACTCCTATATCTATCTAGTGCATAATGGGTACATACATACGAAGGAGATGAGTATGTATGCACTTCCCACCCAACAGGCGACACCCACATTCCACACGCGCAACTCACCAACAATGCCAAAACGCGTCCCTTGCTCGAGTCAATCAAGTAACAAGAAAACAGAAAAACAATTTTAAGGAAATAACCCTTCATACACAACTCGAGTCCTGTAAACCTCCGGACCAAGTCTCTTCAATCCAACGTAAACCAAATCGATATACCCATCTTGCACCCCAAACCCAGACAACCCAACCACAAGCCCAAACAGACCGAACCAGCGGTACCAAAGACATTCAAAATGCAATTTTCCAGCTTACTCCTCCTAACAACCTCACTCCTCGCCAGCCATATACACGCGCAGTTCGCCATGCCGGATTCCTTCAACGAAGACCTGAATCGGCCGACTGTCATCGGCCGGCCGACCGGGACGGATGAGGGTAATTCGTTCTGTTTGGGAGAGTGTTATGCTACGCAAGCGGAGGCGTCATGTGGAAAGCCTTATGTGAGTTTCTTCTTTCTTTTCTCTTCTCTTTCTCTTATTGCCGTCTTTTTGGGGGGTGTGGGAAGGAAAGGCTGTGATCTGGGTGTAAAAGATGTGATACTGATTGATCTTGTTACATAGTCTGAGGCGGTGTTCAAGAAAGAAGATGGATGCTGGGTTTGCTGCTTTACGGACGACTTTTAAGTGATAAAAGGGTTCTTATTCTTGTGTTATTATGGTTAGGTTATGTGTATCTGTCTGGACTGGTTGGTTCTGTGTGGTTTTCGTGGTTGTGACTTTTGTCTTTTAGAGTTTGATAAGTGCTTATGGAAATGGTTTATTTGGTTATAACTCTCTCTCTCTCTCTCTCTCTATTTTATTCGTTAACTGGGATGAGAATCAAATGGGTATAAGTAGTGACAAAATAAAAATACAGACAACAACAACAATCAAGACACACTTCGCCTCGCAACAACCCCAACCTCGTACGGCGCCAGACCTTCTGTTTCCCCCAAAAAGGTCAACGCCGAAAATAACGACTTGGCAAAAACACCCTCATAATCTGGCCAGTCGACCCTCGGGCCAAGCCATATGATCAATTGCACATTCACAGCTGGATCTTTACCTTCATTCTCACCTCCACCTCCACTCCCCCTCCCCAGATCCATACCCCTACCCAAACCCATTCCCAAATCCAAATACTTCCCCCACCAACCCCACTTCCCTAGGATAAACAAACAACCAAGCTGCGGCTGCTAACGCCCTACCCGAAGTAGCCCACGCGCCAGGAACAACGTGCATATCCTGCTCAGGTATATACCGATTCACAGCGGAGTCCACCTCAACCCCTTCCACTGCAATGGTAGCGGAGGGGTCATGCTGTACCAGGAGGGCTTCGAGGAGGCCTGTTCCGCTACCGATTGAGAGCGTGAAATGGGGTTTTGGTGGCAGGATTCGTCGTAATGTGGAGAGGAGGGGTGTTGAGAGGGCGAGGCAGATTGTTGGGTGTCTTGTTGGTGTTTCTGTTACTTGCGGGTCGGGGAGAGGTGTCGTCATTATGTATGATGAGTGGGTATTGTTTAGAGGGATGGGTGAATATAATAGAAATACATTGAGTGGAGATTCCAAAGTCGATATATTTAAGTCGGAATATCCTTCTTCCTGTCAAACAACTAGTATATTTTTATACAGACGGGCTCGAAATCAGCTTCACCGCTTTCTTCACTCTAATTATCTTCCAAGCACTTTCGTGAAACACGCCAGTCCTTCTTTATACTACTCTATTTAATGACCCTGAAATGCATTATAAAAGAAAGTCACAAGATTGGGAGCTCTGTAATGTACTGGAAATAGCCATACACTAGTCTATATATCTTTTCAATGGCGGAGAACTTCATTTTATCTCGGCTTTTTTACATATAGAATATGAGGACTTATGAAATCGACGCCGAAAATGACCGCTTTTGACGCCAGAAACGGTCGTCTTTCCACCCGTACCTTTGGAGCGCGAGCCGGCGCTTGACCGCCCCATAGCCCACCCGCCTCCAGGTGCCAGCCCCCAAGTAAATCTGGCCCTCACTAGCGAGAGCGGTGAAGGCCCGACTTAATAGGGGGCGGGTACTGAGATGTATCCATCTGATAAGAATCATAATCCTGAACTCAGGGCCACTTTACGCGTTAGCGGTGGCTAACACGCCACGACCCATGCTTAGCGAAACGCACGTTTAATCGCTAGCTGATAGAAAATCACTTATACCATAATTGCATCAACTCAATCCCCGTATGATGGGCCAGAAGATCATCTCTACTACAGTTGTATGGCCACATCAGTAGGCTTTGATGCTCATAGCCTTCTGCCGGTCATGTCGACTACAATTGCCAAGCGCAAGCGCTCGAGAAAGGCATGTATCCCATGCCATCAGCGCAAGCGGAAATGTGACACCGTGTATCCTTGTGGCATGTGCACCACTTATGGATACAACTGCAGGTACGCCGGCGACAACACCACTGATACTACGGGTGGTGGCGCACTTATTCCACCCTCCGCCAAGCGCGTCATCACCGACGGTGAAAGTCGTCTGAGAAACCGGACCCCCGCAGCACGCAGTTCAGGCAGCCGGTCTCAGATGGAGCGAAGCTCCCGCGAAGCCGACGGCTCGTCGACGAAGAGTCCCACCGTCGTGGCCGGCGTATCCCCGGGCATCTTTGACGAGCAAAAGTTCAGACACTCTGGGGCATCGGCGGCTATGGCATTCCCACACATCCTGGGTATGGCTCTTGGCTCCGACGGTCCTCCCAAAGTGCGGTCCTTTGCCTACAACTTTGGCATTCGCCCCGAGGAGGCATCCAATGCTCACTGCTTTCTGGGGAATCTCATCTCCGAGGAAGATCTCGGATTCTTCTCAGGAGTGTACTTCTCAATATTGGGCCCCATCGGTGACGTGATAGACCCAAGAATCTATGCCCAGCGATGTCGGGATTATTATCATAGTTCTGGCAGCAACGCAGTCGCATTTGCCGCCGTGGCCGCTGGTGTGGCCGCTCTCGGGTCGTTCCTATCCCCCAACAGCCACCCGCGGGAGTCTGGCCTGGTGCAGTACGCCAAAGCCATTCTCGATGATCCGGCCTCTATGCGATTGCATGGTATCGACCATATCGTCGCGTGGGGCATGCGAGTGTTTTACCTACGGGCCACAACCCGCCCCAGCAATGCCTGGATCGCTTCGTGCACCCAAATGCACCTCTGTGAAGCGATAGGGCTGCACGAAGAAGAGAACATCAAGAAGATGGCGTCCATCGCCGGTGCCGCGGTCCTCGGACATGATGTGGACCGACTGAGGAGGATTTTTTGGATCTCGTGGGCTGGGCATAACATGCTTTCCTATGAGTACGATCGTTCGCCTGTACACTTTCGGGCCGTGACCTGCCAGTCTATCATCCCGGTATCAGGGTCCGTTGCCGACCAATTTGTTCAATTAATCCAGATCATCCCGTCGCCCAATTCCCCGTTCCAACTCGAATGGCAGCCCCCAACTCCGAGTGAGGAGCTTTTTGAGCGTCTCAAGGTATTAGGTGAATTCCAAACCATGCATCCGTTCCTGGTGGTGACCAAGGCGGATATCGCATTCTGCTTCTATCGTCGTCTTTACCAGCTCAAGATCCGCATACCGGACGAGGTAATCAAACTCGTCATTGATAGCGGCAACGCCGGAGTGGAGGCAGCCGAGCAGCAAGCTAACCAGGGTCGTCTGTTTTGGAACGTCATCGGCAGCGTCTTCCAATATGCCTGCATCCTATTGGCCATTGACACGCCGGCCGCCTCTGTCCACATTGACGCTGCTTTCAAAGGCTTGGAGAACCTTGTCAAGGCCGCCGATACAGGACTGACGCGTGAGGCGTTGTCGATGGCGCGACATCTACTCACTCTTAATATGGCGAAGAAGCGAAAGGAACTTGCTCAGTTGGAAGCTGTTGAGGCGAGCTATCAATTTTTTCCCGCGGCATCCGAATCCAACACTGCTGTGCCAGATATGGACTGGGAGTTGGACTGGGACCAGTTCTTCATCGAGCCATATCTATCAATGCTCGGTCCTGACATTCAGTTATAGTGTCGCGGGGGTCGTTGAATATTGATTGCCATTACTCAGCGGATATTCAATATGTAAATTATCAAGCCCTGTTGTGGTAGTCTGGGATGATCTAATGAAGTTCAGCATCGCGCTTATGATAGACTACACTACCAAAAAGTGCTCCTCTTGCGTTTGCCTTATTTCCTGTATTATGTTCTTAGACAGGTGTTTGCTCGAGTGTTGAACAGCAGGCTCATAGAAATATAGCCCCTGGCGCGAGGCGCAATAGAGTATATGTAAATCTGTGCTCCTAGTCTGGATTTTTTCTCTTATTTGTAATTCCGAAGATTGCAAATATGATCGGATTTCCATCAGTCCGTCGGTCCGTAGGTGTAATCACTGCCATGCGTTTTGTGCGGCTTTACGTGCGGCTTTACTTGCGGCTTTACCTGCGGCTACTGCGGACTTAGCCACCTTCCGCTGCACCAGACCCCAATCAAACAGTGTTACTGGATCGCTGCAGGCGGCTGCTGCGGCGGAGAGGCGCGGGCTTACCAGCCTCCCGCCATCGTTGCCTCTAATTTCCTGGCTTCGCCCGCTGTAGCTCCTTAGTTCTCTGCGCTAGCGTCTCCTAGCGAATCAGGTTTGATGTTTTGACTTATCTAACTAGGATATTCTCCGTAGAAGGCGGAGTTAGATCCTCTGACCGAGATTTCTGAACCCGATCAGGTATGACAAGGCTGAGATGGAGAGAATTCAGAGATTTAGAGAGCACTTGAGAATCTGGGAAGTATAAATAGTCTGATATTTTCCGATCCAGAGAGAATTAACCAGACAATCACCACTCGCTCACAAGTTTAAATACCTCAACCGCCTCATTCGACCATAATAGCAACAATTGATAAATTCTCAATAATCAACCGAACTAAAATGCCCAAGTACGCCAAAAACCAGTCCGTCGGCTTCAAGAATGCCATTGAAAGAGTTGCCATTGTCGGCGTAAGCAAACCTATCGGCCATCACCATGTGTACAGCAACACTAACAAATACACTTAGGCTGGAGGCACAATTGGATCGCACATTGCCAACGCCCTTCTAAAGACCGGACGACACACAGTCACGGCCATTTCCCGCAAAGGCAGCGGTAACAAACTGCCCGCGGGCGTCCTAGTCGCCCCAGTCGACTACGATGACGAGGCCACCATTGTTGCCGCCCTCAAGGGCCAGCAATTTTTTATCATAACCATGGCCCCTACTGCTCCCCGGGACACCCACAGCAAGCTCGTCCAGGCAGCCGCCAAATCTGGCGTTCCCTACATCATGCCTAACGGGTACGGTGCCGACATTGACAACATTAAACTCGGCGAGGACACGCTGCTGGGGCCCGTGGCCAAGGCCAACAGGGATGAGATTGAGAGGCTCGGCATGCAGTGGATCACAGTGTGCTGTGGGTTTTGGTACGATTACAGCCTGGCGGGCGGGGATGCGCGCTTTGGGTTCGACTTTGACAAGCGTTCCCTGACAATTTACGACGATGGCAACACTAAGAACTCGACTTCAACGTTATCGCAGGTTGGGCGCGCTGTAGCCAAGGTACTGAGCCTGAACGAGCTGCCTGAGGACGAAAACGATAAGAGCCTTACTCTGTCGACGTTCCTCAACAAGGGCGTGTACATTAAGAGCTTTGCAGTCAGCCAAAACGACATGTTTGAGAGCGTCAAGCGCGTCACCGGTACCACTGACGCTGACTGGACGATAACTCATGAGGGCACCAAGAAGCGATATGAGGATGGCCTGGCGCAAGTTAAAGTCGGTAACATGGCTGGCTTTAGCAAGATGCTGTACGCAAGGGCGTTTTATCCAGACGATTCCAATGATCTCTCGGAGAAGGCACAGAATGACCTGCTTGAATTACCGGATGAGAACCTGGATGAGTCTACCAGGGTTGGGATAGATTTGGTCAAGGAGCTACAGCTTCGTGTTGAGCGTATGGCGTCCTAGAAAACAGTATCTACATATACGGAGTTTGAATGAAATACTAGATGGGTATAAGAATCTAGTTATATGTCCCAGACTTTAGTTCATATCCCGTTGTATCTGAGCCCACCTCATTGGCCAACGCTTGCCTAGCACCAGCCAAGCGGATGTGTTTAACTTTTTGGCTTCTTGTCCTTCTCTTTCATTTTCATCACCGTTTCAGGGCCACGCGTGCGCAACGCGCGTCAGCAGCGTGCTAGCCTGCATATTGCTTCGGCAATTGGATCCTATATCATATGATATATAGGTCTGTAGGAGTGGCTGCCTGTAAAAATCTCACTCCGTTAGGCAATAGAGAGATCAGCTACTGTAACTACATATAGCTGGTTCTTTTCTTATAGGCTGAATCTGATCATCACACTTGTGTCTCGATTCAGAGTTTCAACTCCGGCGAGGGGTCGGGGTAAATATATTCACACACACGCTGTACAGTGAGTTTCTTATGAATAAGAGCTTGGACAGCTAGCGGGAGAATGTTCCTTTGAACTGTCCGCGGCCAGACCATTCTCAACGCTGGTAATCATCTGTGGTAATCCAGCTGATGCGCCAAGATAAACTCGATCCCAGCCGCTCTCCACGTATCCGGCTCCGTATACGCGAGTTCCGTCACGTTCGCGTCCCACACGATATTCCGCGGCTCGTCCACTCTGTACACCGGCCAATCTGCCGTCCCCACGTGTCGACCGGTATAGTTATTCGGATTCTGGTCGTAGATGAACGACGCCCAGCTCTGGCTCATGAGCTTCGCCAGTTCAATGTATGACTTTGGTTTGTCTTGAAAGGGGTTGATGGTGCCGTGCTCGGTGTTATAGCCGTAGCCGTGGATGTTGTCGAAGACAAAGGCGACTTCCTGGAAATGCGTCACGCCAGTGTACCACGGGATGCCGGCGGGGATGGTGTTAAAGCGGTAGCAGTAGGCGTCGACACCATTCTTGGCCTATGAAGCGATAGGTTGGGTGGTCAGCCATGTCTCACGGGACCGTTTTAGACATCAGTTTGCTCACCCAGGTCTGGCATGTGCCGCGCCGGTTGCCGATCATGACAAGATCGCCGAAATAGGCGGAGCTGCGGCGGTAGTCGGCACCGAAGTCTGGTGGCCAGACGACGTTGCAAGGGACTTCCGCCGGAGGCGGGATGAGGTCGGCAAAGAAATCGGGGTAGGCCGCCATGATCTGGGGGACGAAGTTTGCGGCGATGGGGTTTTGGCCTGACGGGTCAGTGATGGCGTTGATCCAGTCTTGGGTATTGTTGATGCCAGTGGGGCCGAAGGCCGTGCCTTCGTCAGTATTCGCTCCATCGATGATGGGGACGTGGACGAAGTCGCCTTCGGCCAGTTGGATGCTGCCCCAGCGTTGGATCAAGTCACGATCGACGATGGGCTGGAACTAGAGGGAATGGGCAGAAAAGTCAGAGCCATCTCGCCGGAACTTCCAACACGATAATTGACTTACGAGTCCAGATAACGATGTCGAATTGAAAATGGCATTGAGAGTCGAGTATGGCACGCGGCGCAGGCAGTCAACACTATCTGTGACGTTCGCACAACCAACTTGAGATGTAATGTTGTCGTATATAGGTTGGTAGAAAGTGTTATCATGGTAACTGTTATAGTTGATAGGGTTGCCGGATTCCATAATGCCGGCGCGGAAGAGCTTGTCGTCACGGCCGTTGTAGGCCGTGAGATGCCAGCCGACAGAGCCTGCACCTGCTGACTCGCCCCAGATTGTCCTGGCAATAAAAATGAGGATTACGTGACAGGACGAAGGGCTGAAGGAGGACTCACACTTTCTCGGCATCGCCTCCAAACGCTTCGATGTTCTCTTGCAACCAATGCAAAGCTAAGCGTTGATCACGAAGTCCTAAGTTCGTTTGGCCGGCGTCTTGGAATTCCTGTGAGGTTAGGAAGCCCCAAGCACTGAGGCGGTATGCAATGCTGACACCGATAATGGGCTTGTCAATCTGCACGCTGTTGTCGACGATGAAAGACAGGTTGTACCGTTCGTCTTGGGTCCCGCCCATGGAGAGGCCACCGCCATGAATCCACACACCGACGGGTAGTTTCTCGTTTTCATAGCCTGATGGTCGTATCACGTTCAGGTAAAGACAGTCTTCTGACACTGTGTACCCAATATCGTCGCCACCGTAGCCTACGCATTCTGGTGCGTATTCTGTTGCATGCAGAGTTCCTGCACGTCATTGAATCTACCATCAGTATACGGGTGATACAAGAAATTCTATGGTGGTGCGCTACCTTTGAAGGTGGTATTGATGCTCTGTGGAACGCGAAATCTGAGCTCATTTACTGGAGGTTGGGCGAAAGGAATCCCCAGGAACAAGTCTTCATTATACGTTGCAGAGTGTAAGCCAGCAATAGTTCCGTTCTTGATAGTCACTTTTGGAGCACCCCCATAGCCACCTGGCGGGTCCCATCTAGAGGGTTCTAGTGCGGCGTTGACAAAACTACCCAAAACGGCAGTTTTAAGCAAGAGGCTCACCATCTTGAGTAGAAGGAACAATAGAGGAGAGGCAGATCAAGGGAGTTCTAACAGAGTTTCAGAGGGTCGCAGTGCGCTTTTATGCTTCTCGACATGGCCTTCGTTGTAGTTCATTTCGGCGATGTCTGCATCCGAGGCAATACTCGGCGTAGTCGAAGTTACTTGGGATTAACTCCGGGGGTGGAGATGCGAATTACGGACGTCGGTGGCTGAGAATAAACCTGGATAATTTCATGTAGGTGAATGGTACCGGCTCTGTCATTTTTCAATTTGCCGAACGTTACACATATCTTATTCGCTACGGTGCCGTTTTACCCGACGGTCGGTTACCGGGCCTGTCTAGCTTCAAATGAAGACCCCCGAAGTTCTACCGATGAGAGTCCACCAGAAGTGCGGTGATGCGGGGAAGTGAAGAAGTGGAGTGGTGGGACGAGGAAAAGCCCGCCGCTACGGACCAGACCAACTCACTATAACGTGTAACTGTCTTCTAAAGTCATACCCACACCCGCACACATGCCCAAAAAACCAGATGAAACTGAGGATCGCCTCTAGGAGGCTTTGGAAGCCTACTATGATTGTGGAAAACCGGAAGTCGCAGCGGTCACGCATTCGGCGTTGATTACAAGCGGCTTCAGCGACGCGTCCGGGGGTTTAAAACTCATTCGGCTCGCTACGCATCTAACAAAGCATTTGATGAACCTTAAGAGTAACATTGGTTAGCTATATAGATATACTTTATCCGTGCAAATCTTCTACTACGTGGATTGGTACTGTAACATACAAAGCCCCTCTTCCTGCATCCCTCAAATTGACGGACATGCACTCGGACCATTGAGAAAGTTGTCGGAGTCTGGAATTTGCGTATCCACTAGTGAATTTACTAGATAGTGTCATGTGACAATGATTGACAATGATGGTATTCAGGTCTAGCTATCATGTCCATATTTATAGGAAAAACTCTACATACAGGTGGAATCCGTCCATATCGGAGCACAGTTTCCTGATTGGTAGAATGCCAGGCGAGTCAGCGTCAGGATGCGGCAGTTGGATAAATTACCTGGGGGCAATTGTACCTGACAGATATCAACGGCGCTTGACATTCAGAGTCTGTAATATCACAGACTCCCCTTGAACCAGCCATTGAACACACTGGTAGCCCTCATGTCTCCAATGCAGGGATCTGTTGAGTCATGCAGTGGATGCCACCGCCATTGAGTGCAATCTCGTGGATGTAGACCTGGACTATCTCTCGCTCAGGGAAAAGGCTATGGAGCATCCTCTTGGCGTTCTCATCGGTTTTAGAGCTTCCGAACCGTGGGCAAATGACTGCACCGTTCACAAGGTAATAGTTGACATAGCTCACTACCATGTCTACTTCGTTTGTGTCCGCCTCAGGCAAGTCAATTATCTGCAGAGTTTGACCCTTCGCATCAGTGGCCTGGGATAGGATGTGCTTGGTCACGTTATAAACCGTTGTCCAAACCCCACTGTCTGGAGCGGGACGGCTCAACACGACTTTTCCAGGGGCGACGAAACGGGCCAAGGCGTCAATGTGATCATCGGTCACGTCGTGATGCCTCAATCCGGGCACCCAAATCACTTTAGATACCCCTAAAACCCGGTGGAATTCCTCCTCAACAGCCTCTTGACTCATGCCGGGGTTGCGGTTTGGGTTCATAATAGAACTCTTTGTGGCCATCAAAGTTCCTTTACCGTCCGTTTCTAGAGCCCCGCCTTCGAGTACGATCGATGCATCCACACGAGGGATTCCATTATCACGGAGGAATTGGCGGGAAAGGTGTGCATTATCAGACGGATAACGTCCTCCCCAGCCGTTGAAATTGAAATCGACACCACTGAGATCAGAACGCTGTTCCTCGCCAAACACGAACGTAGGCGCGACGTCACGCATCCACGGCTCTAAGTCATTTATGCCCATGACCTCGATTTCCACACCATACTGGCCACATCTTTCAAATCTTCTGCGCGCATCGGAGGCCTGTTCGGAGCTGACTAGCAGAGTCACTGGCTCGAAATCAGAGATGGCTTTGGCGATAGCCGTTAACTCATTTTTCATGCGCACGAGGGTACCATTTCCCTGATAGTTTCGGTTTTGGTTCCCCGGCCAGGCCATGATCGTCCTTTCGTGGGGTCGCCCTTCATCAGGCATAGAGAATTCGCTAGCTATGGCTATAGCGGTTGCTAATCCGCAACAAAGTTGAAAAAGCAAGGGTAGCATGACGAATAAAGCGCAAGAAAGGTCAAATATATGAGTTGAGGGGATGCGTCTGGGGTAGCTTTGCTGATTGAAGAAAGATGTAGTTGATCTGGTGATAAGACTATGATAGGATGGTGTTAAAAATGGTCGAGATACTAGGGCGATGCTCCCTTCTATGTTAGAATTATTTCCTTTTTTATAAAAGATTTGACTTTTTGGGGGGGGGGGGTTTTCAGCTAGAGTCAACCGGAATGTCACCTAGCTGAAACAATTTATCATGTTTCCTGGGTGCAGGGAGCGAGTAGAAACAATTATATATTATATATTTCGTCTACTGGTCCCGCCAAGCCCCGATGCTCCACCGTCACCGAAAAGACCCAAATTTGATCTTCAAAACCACGAGCAATCTCCTCGGTCCTTCCGACCAGGCTAGGAGAAATATTCTAGGCAGCAGCACACGGGTCTTTTTTTTCTTGGTTAACAGTGCAGATCCTTGGCAGAGCGTCGCGGATCTACGACATGCCTTATTCGGAGGCATTTGGATGTGGATTCCGGCCAAAGGCCCTGCCCGTTCCAGAACTTTAGAGGCGACGTCTCTATGACCTTTCATATCTTCCGATTTCTCTTCAACACCTGTACAGTCGTTCTCGAAATCGCCTTGACCAATTTACACTGAGAAACTCTTTCATGGCCCCTCTGCCAAGGCGTTAGTGCGGATCATTTATTCAGCTGGCCGCTTCAAACAGAGGGAGCAAAAAGATGTGCTTTTGTACTGTACCTTACATTACCCCAGTACATAAAATCACACTGCGTATGAAACGTCCGTGGAATACCATGAAGTCCATAGACGATCTGCAAATCACGTGGGGAGGGCGGCTTTGGTGCCTAGTAGCCTGATGATCTTTAGATAACTTCAGTTCTCCTTTATCCTATGCAGCATGTAAGTGTGGGTCACGACTTAGTATTATAGATATATGTCTAACCCTAACGCATGAGTAGTGCAAATCAGGGTAACAGGACAATACCATCTGAACAAGGGATCCAACACCTTGGGAGATGTTTCCACCATTGATACAGTACTACTTCCCAGTTTCCCATCTCCCTTTAACTACTGTTGCACACATATAAAGCTATTTCAGTCTGGAACTGTCTTAACCGCCTTGCCATACCTACAAAATGCGGAAATTACTGTGGCCACCTTCCTCTAAACACGAAAATTATCACCGAGTTTCTTTATTCACGAAGCAGCAACAACAGGGACGGGAGCGGTCGTGCTAGATGCGGTCGTCTTAGCCGCAGGTGTAACCTCGGCGGAGTCGAGTGTCTTAGCGCTGACCTTGTAGCCAAGCGCCGTGACGCCCTCGGCGTCGTTGAGGCCCCAGGCGTTGGCGCTGTCGTCGTGGACTGTCGTCCGGCGCAGGTCGCGGCGGTACTTGCCGGCGAAGGAGCCGCCTGCCGCGCGGTGCAGCGTGGCCCTATTGTCCCACATGATCATGTCCCCCGGCTGCTCCCAGTCGAAAGTATAAATATACTTGGGCTGGGTGACGTGCTTGTTGAGCATGTCGCGCAGCTTGACCGATTCCTCGTCCGACAGGCCTTCGATGTGGTGCAGGTGCGCGCCGACGTAGAGGCTGACGCGGCCGCTGCCCTCGTGGACCTGGACGAGGCGGTGGCGGGCCATAGGGAACTTGCTCGGGTCGACGGCCTTGAAGTACTCGGGAGAGCCGAGCTTGCGGGACTGGGCGAGGGTGTGGCAGCCGACGTAGTTGTTCTTGACGAGGTCACGCTTCAGAGCGTCTGGCAGCTCGACGAAGGCAGTGCGGGTGTCGGCGAACTCGGTCTGGCCGCCCGTGCCCTTGGGCGGCAGCTCGACGGCGCGCAGGAGGGAGTAGCTGGCGCGGCGGAAGTTGTAGCTGGAGTCGGTGTGGAAGAGCTGGTTGCCCTAGATAGAATTCTGTCAGTAAACCTGACAGCATTGAGGGTGTCGCAGAGAGAGTTGAATTTACTTACCCGGTTGTGGTGAGCACGTGTGCTCTCGGGGTCGAGGAGAGTGCCGTCATCGGCGATGTTTCCGGCGTCGAAAAGCTCCAGATACTCGTACCGCAGCTTACGCTCGTCGGTGATGAAGCGGCTGATGTTGTCGAGGTCGCCTAGTCTTCTAGAGAACTCGACATGGGCCTTGTCGGAAAGACCGGTATTCCGGAAGACGACGAAGCAATACTGCATAGAGCAATGGATGATTAGCATTCTACTTATTTTTTCTTTTTATAAGAAAATCGGGCTTACCTTGTTACAAGCTCTGCTGATCTCCTGGACGCCCTCATCGTCGAGGTTGTCCCAGTCAGAAACCTGAACCTCAGCGCCGAAAGTGGGGTGGACAGGCTTGACAGTGACCTTGCTGAAGGATTGGTCGATGTATAGAACACCGGCCATTTTGACGGGATGGACGGGGTATAGCTGCGTAGCACTTGGAAGGCGAGGAAACAATCTCTAGGTAGGTAGATCAATGGAGGGATGTTGTGTGCGAGTTGGAGTACATTAGACTGAGTTGCTCTAGGCTAAGCCTTCAAGATGCCTGAGGTGCCAAATATATGCGATTAGAAGTAGATGCGAAATATAAGCAACATGTGCCGCCTTGGACGATCTTACCTAAAAAGTTTCCCTCAACCCCGTCGCCTCTGACCGATTCGCGGAGAGACGCGGACGAAAGAGGAGCCCCAGAAAGGAGGGAAACTTGGGATAGGGGAAGGGAACGACCGGCTCTTCTTCCTTTTCAGAATCTACATAAACAAGGCGTCCTTTCGGGCTGCATAACTGCACCCAATCCCCACCAGTTTAAGGAGATGGAAGACGTCGGGGAAAGACGCGGACGAAAGTTGTGGAGAAAGGCGGGGAAAGCTAACAACCCGCTTTTCTCCACAAATTTTGTCCGCGTCTTTCCCCGGCATTTTTCATCCGTACGCTTCATGCGCAATTCGGTTTAAGACGTACTTGGCTTGTCTCCCTTCAGTAGCCGTCCCGTCTGGCAGGGAAGTGATTCTTGGCGTGGAGCGGGGAAGGCGTTAGCCATCATGGGAAAGAATTCGAAAAAGCATAGACACCATCTTAGTATACGGATCCTCCAGTTGGCTACCAGCGTTATGGATCTGGGGAAGAACAAACCTGGGGTAGGGAAGAGGAGCGCGCGTTACGAGTCTTACTCTGTGACAGCTCTCTCGTTCCCCGCAGTTGGAATGCTGTGACTTGGTAGGAAGTACGACTTTACGATGAACACAGCACGAGATATCAGAGTGGCCATCACAGTTGGAAACCCTGACATCCATGACACAGGCTACTTTTCTGGAGATCGGGGATGCTGACGCGGGGTTGTCTAAGTATTTTCCCCCTTCGAGATGTTAGGGAAAAGAAAAACTGGGGGTGGAATTTAGCGTAGAGCTGTATCTCGATTTTGCTCTGTTTGGTATGGCGCCCAAAAAGCCACACATCCTCCGCCGGGAGTAAATCTAGACGTTCTCCTTTTCCCTTCTCCCTCTCACCCTCTCTTCTTTCTCGGTCTGCAGATAGAATAGAACTCTTGCTCTGCACTCTAGTCAATGAGACGCGATTCTAATTAATTACGCGCCTTCAAATCCTTGTTGGTCGGTTTCGTCTTTTTTGTCTGGTTGTGCTCTCTTCTATTCAGCCAATTCTCTTCTTCCCCGGAAGGGTGTCATCCATCGTTGTTTTGACAAGGGCTTAAAGGGCCGCAAGACGAGCAGCCTCTTCAAGAGACAGTCATCAACGCCTTGTCTCCTGTGCTGCAAAGATGACGGACGCAACCGACGCTCAGCCAACCCTCGCCATGCGCGAGGGTAGCACGTCGTGGAAGGCATACATTCGCACCATCCTTTACTGCTTCATTGTCTCCTTCGCCACGCTGCAGTACGGTCTTGATATCTCCATAATCAATGCCGCCCAGGCCCTCAAGGGTTTCCTCAAGGTCTTTGGCTACCCGGACCGCAACGCACCCAACGGCTATGGCATAGAGCCTTCGTTCCAGCAGTCCATCACCAGTATAATGAACGTGGGTGTCATTGTCGGTTCCTTCACGCTCGAGTTCTTCACCCACCGCCTGGGCCGCAGAAAGAACTTTATTGTGGGCTCTGTGACGGGAATTGGCGCCAACCTCATTCTTGTCTTGTCTACCAACAAGAGCGCCATCATCTTTGGCCGCTTCCTGTTCGGTGTCTCCAACGGTCTCTTCATCGGATTCACCAGCATTTACATCTCCGAGGCGGCCCCGCTGCATCTCCGAGGTGCCCTAGTCACTTTCGTCCAGGTGTCCGTCTGCATTGGCACCGTCATCGGCGCCGTCATCAACAATGCGACCTCGAATATTGAGTCCCGCCTCTCCTACCAGATCCCCCTGTTCACTCTGTTCGTCATCCCGGTCTTCTGCATCGTCATGCCTTTTTTCATCCCCGAGTCCCCCCGCTGGCTCGTCCTGAAGGGCCGCGAGCAGGATGCTCGGGACAACCTGCACCGCCTACGGGGTCCCAACTTCCCGCCCGAGCTCATCGACGCCGAGATCGTCGCCATTATGGAGGCTATCGAGGCCGAGAAGAACAACACGCTTCGCGGCTGGGGCGCTGTCCGCCTCATGTTCAGCGAGGCCGAGCGCCGCCGGACCATGCTGACCATGGCTGCTGGTACCATGCACGGCGCGTCTGGTTTCCCGTTCATCTCCAGCTACAGTACCTACTTCTTCCAAATCTCGGGCTCGCAGAGACCGTTCATCGACTCCATCATCGTCACCACCATGTCCCTTGTCGGAGCCTTCTCTGGTGTCTTCCTGAACCGCTTCGTCGGGCGTCGTCACGTTCTGCTATCTGGATTCGGTATCCAGGCCATTCTCATGTTTGTCATCGCGACTGTTTGGACCGTGGACCCTGGTACCGTTTCTACCGGCAAGACGATCGTGGCTATGGTTGTGATTTTCCAGGCTGTTTATGCTGCTATTGTCGGCCCGACCTCATGGATCGTCGCCAGTGAGATCCCGAACAATCGTCTGCGTGCCATGACCTTCGGTTTCGGTAACGGTATTGGCTTTATCGCCTATTTCTTGATTGCCTTCACCACGCCTTACTTTATCAACCCCGAATCTCTGAACATTGGTCCCAAGGGTACGTTGTTATTCTATTTTACGATTTGCCTACTGATCGTTTCCCATGAAATATCCTTGTTTCCCTTTGGTAAAAGAATATCTAACGGCTAACACTATCACAGTTGGTTTCATATGGCTGGGATCCAACTTGATCGCATTCACCTTCGTCTTCTTCTGCATTCCGGTACATAAAATCTAAGACGACCCAGTCTCCTCAACTAGAATCCTCCCGCTAATACACATATTCCTGCAGGAAACTCATCGCCGCTCCCTCGAGAACATCGACGAGATGTTCTACAACAAGGTCCCCACTCGCAAGTTCAAGAGTATGTGCAGCAAAATCCTCTCTCAGTTCTTGGCCAGTTTGCATTTGAATGACGTGACTAATTATTTGTTTCTCTCGTAAAGGCTACCAGTGCACTGGCGTTGTTCAACGGCACGAGAAGCTCAGCGAGAAGGCTCTTGACATAGAGACCGACGCCGGCACCACCACCCAGCTGGGGGAGCAGCCGGCTCGCAAGGATTAATCGCTGGACCTGCATTCCTATCTTCGTTACATTTTAGCATTGGCTATTGTAGAAGCGTCACTTGAAATATCTCAAGCTTGCAGTAGCTGAGTATGAATGCGGGCCGGTGTGGACAGTAGAGTTTCTGCCGATGAATTTACGATCAAGAGATTATAGCAATTTGGACAGGGCTTATCGTGCATGACTCTGGAAGGTCGAGCGTCTTTGCAACCCTATCCGGGATGTCCAGAAGCATAATGTTCATTGCTTAGATAGAATGGTAGATTCTTGGGGAATTGAGCGAGCGAGCTGGAGTACGTTCTTCCTGAGCACGAAGTCTATTTTGTTGAGCGTCAGAAGTGGCCAAATTCAAACTCTCGACACACTTCCGCCACCACGAAAAGGCCGACACTTGGCCCTATATTTGCAATGATGAGGTCTTACAGAATCATGGAGTGTTTGAATTTCTGCATTCAAAATTTTATGAATTTGGAACGATTTATGGCTCTCGAACCTCGATATAGATCTAGCTGCTTCTGACAATCACGGAGATTTACGCGTTAACATGTTCCACACTGGACAGTTAGAAGACTGACTTAATCCCGGAAATTATTTTAAGATGCGCATATGTCGACCTAAAGACCGAAATGATTTATAAAGTAGTCGAAAACTATGTGGATTTTTTGGGTATCAATAGTGTATTGCCCTTCCTGACTACTTCTTATTAGAGGCGGCCATTGATCTGGGAGGGTTTGTGCTCGGCAGTTAGGGTCGTCCCGTCGACCTCAACTCCAATTGACGCGTCCATAGACGGGCAACAGTTCATCGCGAAGGCGGAAAGTCGACGGGACGGAAGAGAGGGGAACAAGACAGTTGGAACAAAACATGGATAACCACCCACCACCGCCCCATCGCTCCTCAGGGCCCTCTGCTCCGGCCTCTCATGCCCATACACCTCACCACACTGTCAAACAAGACTGCCCCATCGCAGCCGGCATCCACAACTGAGAATCCTGCAAAACGACGCGCCTCGTCAGGGCCTGACAGCGAGAGCATCAGCCCGCACACGACACGGCGGCCTCCTCCGTCAGACTGGAGGCAGCCACCACCTCCACCAGCGCGGGCCCCCGTGACGTGGACGGAACCGCGCATCTTCACTGAACGGCTGTCGGCTGCGACCGACCACCCCGGAGGTGCCCCAGACGCGGGCGCCCCGGATGAAGCCATGTCTATGCCGGCGGGGTCGTCGACCACGGGCCCCGCGACCACCGCCGAACCCGCCTCAAGGGCGGCGGTCGTCGTCAACCCTGCAGCAGCCAGCAGCAACATCACCAGCGGTGGCCCGTACGTGCGCCGCAAGCGCGCCCTCGCTGCCTGCCAGTTTTGCCGCCTGCGCAAGACCAAATGCGACAACGTGCGGCCCGTCTGCGGGTCCTGCCGGCACCACCAGGCACGGTGCGTCTACACCGACGGCTCCGAGGGCGACGGATCGCAGGTCGGGCTCGACGAGGCGGCGAGCCGGCACCGCGAGGTGCTCGAGCGCCTTGCCGACATTCAGAGCCTGCTAGCCCGGCAGCCGTCGATGCTTTTATCTGACGCGGGAGGGGCGCGCAGCAGCGGGGCGGCGTCCGAGATGGGCGGATCTGTGACGAGCGCGTTGGCCGGTGGCGGCGGCGGCAACAGTGTCGTCGACTGCGAGAGCAACGCTGGTGTCGGCGGTGGCGGTGCGGCGGTCGAGACGGAGAGCGCTGTGCCTGATTACCTGCCCTCGTACTCGTCGTCAGCCACGGCGTATCTGCAGTACACCAAGTGCGAGTCGATCCTCAAGTGGCCTGTTTTCGTAGATGTCATGACTGGTGAAGACGCTGAGGTCGACTCGTTCATCTTCGATGAGTATGTGCGCGGGGACGACGAAGAGCGTGAAGAGCGCGAATCGGTCTTCATGCCAGCTAGGGAATCGGCATCACCTGCTTCTGTTTATGGTGGCACTGGTCAGAAGAAGCCCAAGACGACACCTCTGTTCGGCCCGGGCGTGCGCGACCAGGCCTTCGTCACGTTGTCTCACAAGTTTCTTGCTCTGGTCAACTGTCGGAATCCAATCCTGGACGCCCACGACCTATTGTCATTTGCGACGTCTGTGGCGGAGGATGGACTAGATTGGGATGCTAAATCTTGCATAGTAGTAAGTCTAACTCCATTCACCTCTCCTACCCAGTCATGCCCAGCGCCGATCTAGCTCTTTCATGCATGACACACCATGTGAAATATAGTGCATCCTTTCCGCTAAGATACACTTCCAGCTTCTTGCTTGCGCCTTGGCCAGCTACTCCCGCGCCTGGACACCTCCGCCCTATGTCCGCTCTGCACCGTCCCCATCCGCAGCTCGCCGCGACTCAACTGTTCCCCCGGACGTCATGTCGGCGTCCGACGACGACGCGGCTAAGGCCTATTATGAGGCCGCCCAGAGACGTTTCGGGTCCCTCGGCTCGTCGCTCATCGATGTCCAGTGCTTCTACTTCGCATCTCTTTTTGAGAGGTTTGCCTTCCGGCCGCTGCAGGCCTGGATGTATCTGCAGCAAGCCGCGACACGGCTGCGTCTTCACCACATGCAGCGGCGTGGGCAAGACCGTCGTCGTCGTATGACTGGCCAAGATGACTCTCATATGGAATCAGGGCCGTCTACTATCAGCTATCATTTGGAACAGAGGGCGTTTTGGTCCATTCACAAGGCTGAGAGGTGAGTCTATCAAAGCACTACTATCGATCTTCTCGTCATCGTGGAGATTGTGTTGCTGACCGTGACTTCCAGAGAGTTCGCCACAGAACTCGGCATCGCCCTCGCCAGTGACCTTACAGGCTTAAAGTACCCGGCCGCTTTCCCCACCCCTCCAGAAACTCTGAAATATTTAATCCCTAACGACGACGGCGATGATGGCGATATTTCTGATTTGTTCTCGCCTCGGAGGAATGAGTTCATTTTATTCTTCTATCTCGCTGAGATCTCACTCCGGCGCACGTTTGATGAAGTCCTCTCTGTCGTCTACGAGAAGGGCGAGCAGAACTGGATTGAGAATATCGACCTCGTCTGCCGACAGTATTACGAGTCAGAAAAGCAAATATGCGACTGGTACGCATATCGCCTGTCCCCGGAAGTCTTCCGGAGACTAACCGTCCTGATAGGCAATCTCACCTCCCCCGAACAATGCGCTGGGATCCGGCATCTCAACCAATTAATGAGATGGCCTACTACCTCGAAAGCCGCTTCGAAGAATGGAACGAATACATCCTCCGCCCCTTGGCCTACTACTGTCTACACTACCCGCCTACCAAACCCCCGACGCCATCCATCGTCGCCCTGGCGCAGCGCGACATGACGCTCTGCGTGAACTGCATCATGCGCTGCGCTAATTATGATCGCCACGGCGGCACATGGCTCGTCCTGCGCCGGACCTTCCGCTGCACGCTCATCATACTGGCCGCTGTGATCGCCGATGGGCCTCTGCGGCCGCCGGAGAATTGGCAGGAACTGACGCGTATCTCGATTGCGACGCTTACGCGTTGGTCTGTGGGCGTCCAGGACCTGCAACGGATGAGAAAGGTACTGGAGCGAGTCTTTCGCGCGGTTTGCGAGACTGAGGCTACGAGAATGTCTGTCTAAGGCCGGGGGTTGCGCGCAGAAATTTGATTTTGGACATTAGGAACCAATACCACAAAATAAAATGATGATATGATGATATTCAAGCCATGTAAGAAGCAACCAGCTACTGTACCTTTGCCCGACTCGTCACTGAGCAATATATAGGCTATTTCTATCATACATCATATATTCATGATTGTGCTTTCGACGGAGGTGGTTCTTGTTATGGGTCAGACTAAATTGTATCAATTGATAGTGTGTCCTATGCACAAGAAGGATTCATTAAAGAAAGAAAACAAGGAAAGAGGGAAAGGCGGTCAGTAGTTCACAAAGCTTCAGCTGAATGATAAGTATATCAGGACTTCGTACGGAGGTTCTATAACAGTTCTAAGCTTCCTATGGTAGGAACTAGACCATGACAATTCCTAAGCTTCTTGGTTTGTTACGGAATCTACTCATAGGGTAGATAAGCCTGTTGATCAGGTAAGGGGCGATTATGGTGCAGGTCAGATAGTAGATTCAATCTAGAAGAGAAAGCAAGGAAACAATCAGAACTTAATAATAGGTCAGAGAGCGATTCGCTTAAACATCATATATGCAGGAAAGCAGCAGATCGGCAAGGACTCGGCACCGCGCCGGTGCGAGAGTAAGTAGCCAGGGTCTGTTGGTTCCTACTAACATAACAAGCTCGGAACTGCAATACCTCCGCAATGTACTACTGTGAGAATCAGAACAATAGATGAATCGCCCTAGAGCCAAGTAGGGTCTACCCGTACGGATAATTTCTAATCCGGCCACACCTCGCCACACCTCAAAAGGCGTAACATCTTGTCTTTGTAAGCAAAGCATTTCTCAACGAGAGATACACCCACGTACTTTATAATTTGTTGGAGACATCGGAAGGCAAATCTGAATTCTTGATTAGCGAGTTGACGCAGAATCGTTTTCGTCGCAGAACAAGAGAATGTCCTCCCTCCGCAAGTCAGCTTGTCATTCCTGCGTCGCCGCCAAGCGACGGTGTGACAAGAGTCTTCCGGCTTGCCTGCGCTGTCGCCAGAAATCGCTCAATTGCCAGTATTCGTATCCGCCTAATACTCCTTCCACTCAACCAGAGGAATACGAGCAGCTACCAGAACTCCAATCTGGGACAGACAACGGGCTCGCGTCATTCCAATGCGATGATGCTTTAATAATCAACCCCGACGCAAGCAGCGATTGGGATCAAGGAGTTATCTCAGAATTGCTTTCTTTGGATAGCGCTAGCTGGGACGGATTTATCCAATCGATCCCAATTGAGGATCCGACGCCCCTCCAAAAACGGGTCCTCGAGTTCTGGCCACGGGTAGATGATCTTCAAACGTGGAATTTCTGCACTCGCGCCTTCATGTCATATATAGATATGTTTGTGCAACACGGGTCTAATTCATTTATTCGCCATGCACAAGAGCCGAGGCTGCGCACCGCCTTCGCAGTTTGCGCCGCTTTCAAGGCCCGGACAGATGAGAATCAAAGAGTCGTTCAGCAGTTGATAGATACTGAGGTGGAGAGGCTAGCCACAGACGCTCGACGCTGTTCATTTGTGGAGAAGCTAGCTACACTACAGGCTCTGATACTTTATTATACCCTGATGTTATTTAGTGGGGATATACACCTCCAGTTCATGGCCGAGAAGCAAGAACCTCTGCTGGGCCAGTGGACAGTTGAGCTGAAGGATGCTGACTCACCGGCAGTATACGATACAGCAGAAACCTGGGAGCTGTACGAGAGCGCACGACGGACCGTCGTAATCTCATATCTACTCCGCGGGGTTTACCACGTTTTGAAATACAAAACATGGCACTTGATCGGCGACCTAGTCGGTCTGCCCGTTTCTTCAAGGTCGCAGTTTGGTTGGCATAGGCGTGAACCTCAATCGCTTCCAGCAGGGCCAAACTCGGTGCACGTCGTCTCGTATCATGAGTTCGTGAAAGAGTGGGAGGTTGGCCATATGTCGAACGTCGATGACTTTGGACAGTTGCTTTTAGTTGCCTGTAAAGGCGTCGGGCCCGTGAAACAGCGGAATCTTACGAATCCTTCATCGAGTCCGAACGCTCATTAGCTGGATTCCACTTTGATAAGCAACCAAAGTTGATGGATCACGCGCTGTCACAATGACATGATCACCTTTGAGCAAGACATGTTTGGCATGCTTAATGCCCAAACCAACGCAGGTGCCAGTGATGACAAAAGGTACGAAGAGCGAGGGTGCAGTTTGAGCTACAAAGACCTACTGTTACTCCCAAGTATTGCATCTCAGACTGATTTTCATGTTCCGACGGTGCTTGGTTTCGCGCTGTCTATTCTGGCAGGGTCGAAGAAAGTATTTAATATAATCTTTTCTCTTTTGGCTCAGTGCCCAAGGGGAGCAGACTTAATGTAATTGTTGCGTACTTTTACGGCATCTTTTCTCCGGTATGTCCGAACAGAAACCGTTGCAGCGGGCATATGTGGGCAAGGACGGTGGACGCAAGTGCAAAAGATATCTAATCTTTATTGCGTATCATCCACATGAGCAATTTTAGACCTTTTGTCTGACACCAGTTGAACTTTATACAATAATACAAGAAAGAAAAGTCTTCATAGCTCATTTCTGGCATTGATTTTATAGGGTGCGTCTCACGAGCTCTTTACATCAGGCCCGAGACCTAAGAATGACGATCCGGGGTAGTGTACTCATTCAAGCGCAAAGCGACCTATGGAATATACGGTGTCCGCGGGACCCACTTTTCTCCGCAAATCATTCAATAATGTTATAGTTACATATAGATTTACATTATGCAAGGTGTCATATATCTTGGATGATTCTTGTTGCCAAGTCAACTTACATTTACAAGAAAATGTCTGATCTCAGAGAATGGCTTCGCAATAGAATTCAAAGCAGTAAGAAAGCAAGAGAAGAACGATTCTTTGCAGACGTCCGCGATGCCGTCGTCGAAAGCCCTTTTTACCGTCTTCCCGCAGAACTCCGCTCGCATATCCTTCGCTTTGCATTTAGCGATCATACCATCCATTATATAAAGCCATCACATTCATCTCTGTCAGCCACCAGTCGGCCATTCGATACATCACCGCACAGCTGATTGCCCGCTCATTTCTCATTATAAAACCACAAACAACTGATATTTGTGATTGCTATCTTGCATTCCTAACCCCTTGTACCCTATATATTGTGCTTCACATTACAGCTACTATATTTGAAATTGATAGTGAAGTAGTAATTGTCTTTCATTGGTGACTAGATATAGGTAATCAATGGTTTATGATAGAGCCGGCAAATTGTTTTAAGCAATTCAGCGGGAGTTATCAACACATTGCCAAAATATCACGACTGCATACTTAGCTGTAGCAAATATGACAATACTTCGCCATATGTGGCCAGTATATCTAGCTCCCTCTTCACAGACTTGTTCTCATGCGCAGCCTCAAGTTCCTAAATGAGACTTAGTGACGTTCAAAGTTATAGAAAGACTGACAATTATACCTCAATAGAATCCCATCCAACCATCCCTGCAAATACATGCTGCGTGTCCTGCACCCCCCAAGCATGGAATACTTTGGTTTGTTTTGGAAGTTCTGAGACAAACTTCTGCCAAGTACTCGTCACTAATCCTTCATGCTGGCCTTGCACACCCTCGACTTTGAAAAGCTGGGTGTAATTTGCTGTTGTCGTCTGACCTGATCTCTCCTGTTCTTCTGAATGGAACAGATCCGGTGCCACGGGTTTGAGCAGGTATGGAGCCATGGTCTTCCTAAAAGAGGCAAACTGATCTGACACCCAGAACTTGTTGAACGATGACACTTCATCCCACTCTGTAAATTTTTAGCAAGGGCCAGTATAGTTTATCTTACCGGACGAAATGCAGTATTACCTAAAACAATAATAAGGCCACTATGCTCGATAGCCTTTCCCTCCGAGATGTTTTGTGCTCTTATAATTTTGCCCCGGTAGGTTGCGAATAGACCTAAAACATTGGCAAATGCTGCTTTCGCCGCGGTGGGCAATACCTGTCGGAGCTTTTCGAAAAGGACTGGGTCCGGGTTAGGACGAGGGAAAACAAGCTCTGTGACAGGCATTCTCAATAACCCGATAGAAAAGGTTATGGATCAAGTACGATGGAAATTCACTTCATCTTAGCTGAAATTTGGGCTCTCCATATATAATAGGCTCGATCACGGTCCCGCTTCTCTCCGAAGGGCATATGTTACATTTTCGTTTTTCTTTCCATAGTATATGCTAATAGTGGGCCTTGACGTCCGCGGAAACACGATCAAGACTTGGATGGCGGAGAAAAGTGGGCCCATATTACATATCAACAACTGGGCTGTGGTTAGCCTTATCTCATGACGAAGACTTATATGCTGATTACTCATAAGAATCTTTGCTGGATACATGGATATTCGCACGATATACAAGAGTGACGCTAATAATTATCATATAACTCAAAAATCGTATTCAGCGTTGTCTCCGCAGTCCGGAAGGCCTTCAGCATCGTTTGCCTCCAGTTTTCGTGCCGACATATCGCATAATTCCGCTATATGGTGATGTGTGTTGAGCCGAAGAAAATTGATCATGAAAGAGAACTCGGCAAGGCCTATTTACAAACCATCCAACAGATAACGTGCTGCTTCAATACCAAGATGGGGCACAAAAGGGTTGACCGATGCAATCCATACATAGAAAATTATCAGCCATCATAAAAACACTTATTACCCTAAGTTATTATGGATCGTGTCTCCTTTCCCATAGCACATGCGCGGGGGCCATCGGTCGTGAAAAAAGCGACTTCGGATGCAAGTCAGCAACACTAGTTCAATATTTGGTTGTCCATGTATGACTCACTGAATAATCTGTTGCGGGAAATCCTTGCAACTCAAACGACCGATTGAATTTGAAGTGACGGACGAGTAGTGTTAAAATAACCTCAAGTTGCACATATGCGAATTTTTCACCAATGCACCTGTGCCGACCGCCACCGAATGGTAGATAGGGACTGCTTGAGCCGGTACTTATGCTTTCCTTCTCGTCTTCGTCACCATCTTCATTGCCAATTTTTGTCATGTTGGCAGTGAAATTATTCTCCCATCGGTGCGGTTCCCACTTCATTGGCTCCGAAAAGTATACCTCATCTCGCGAACTGCTCGCAGGACTTGCAAGAACAAGATGAGATGGCGGAATAACGTAGCGAGAAACATTCCCGCGGATCACAAGGGGGCTTTTTACCTGTCGTAGAATTGAATGAACAGGGTTATGTAGACGTAATGTTTCTTTCACAGTATACTGATGCAATTTCAGCTTCTGCAGTCCATCGTACGTGAGAGGACTGTTCGTGGATCCTAGAACGCTCAGCTGCTCCTTCAGGAGCTCCTCCTGGACTTCTGGATGTAAAGCCAGCTGTAGAATAATATATGATATGGTTGCCGAAGATGAGTGGTGGCCTCCTAAAAGAAGCGCAATCATCATGTGCGCAATCTCCTTGTCAGAAAGGTTCCTTCCATTTTTGTACTGGCAGGACATGAGATTCCAGATCATGTCCTCATTCTCCACGTTGTGGCTCCCCATTCCTTGTTCTCTCCGCTTCTGAATGATATCCAAGTACACCTGGGTCATCTTCTTTTGTGCCCGGTCACGCGCACGATTCCTTGGTAGAGGTGCCCAGGGCATCAAGAAGTTTATGGGTGTGAAACCCATGTCCAGGTCATGGAAAAGCTCAGCGATGGTGGAGTCAAACTGTGCACGAACTTCCTTGCCTTGTAGAGACCGTGAAGCAGTGTAGATTGTGAGCTCCGCCATAGCGGGCGGAACATCCAATACCCCATTTGTGCCTTGCAGACTGCAATAGCTCGCGAAGAACTCCTCCGCTTCAAGTGCAATCAACTTTACGTAGCGTTTAAGCGACGCGTCTGTTAAGCCGAATTTGACGAACTATCCCAAGTCAGGAACGGCTCAGCCTTTACAGGCGACGGAACAATTGGAAACACGGCCGATATACCTTCTTCTGCTGCATCAGTTTCTCATTTGGACAATCGAAGACGACTCCAGACCCAAAAACGGGAGTAGTTAATGGTGAATAAACTTCTTCGGCGGAGAGGTCGCTGTGTTTACCGTTTAACACGAAGTTATTACCTCTGGCCCCCAAACAGACAGTAGTATGTCTTCCGAACAGGATGAACGTAAAGACATCTCCGTGCTGCGGACGAAATGTCAATAAGTGCATAGCGCCATCGTCCGTCAAATAAGGGCCTCACCTTCTTCTTACAATCTTCCAAGAATTTAAGCGGATCGATCCCATATGAAAGAGTGCTTCCGATGATGGGTAACCAATGAAAAACGAGCGGCGGTTTGTTAGTATCTTTGAAAAGGGCCTGTTTCAGAACATTGGCGAAAATTGCAAGGATAACAAAAGTCGCAATCACGAAAGGAGCGAGCTGAAATATGCCGGCGTGGTCAAGGTTACTTGTGAATATGGCCATCTCGAAGACTGGTTCCCGACAAAAGCGCTCAGTCACAATCCCCAAGTAATCTCGGATCCTGTTGGTTACATGACATTATCTGCCGTACCGATAGACCATTTAAGGAACAATCTTGAAACTAAGGCAATATGACACCTATCATCGTTACAATTCGGGAAACAGGGATCCGGTGTGGCATGATGTGTGAGTGTGTGGGTCGGAATAAGGGGCAACAAAGACAGTTGGAATTTTAGCGTTGCTTCCACATTAGTGTGTTCATCTTGTTATGGTCTATCCCTGCTCTTCAGGTTGCGGAGCAAAGTGGGGCTCAGGGAGTGGTGGCGGCACAGTACTCAAGGCCTTAAATGCCGGCTAGCCAAGGACGCATGGAGTCTCATGATGCGTTACATTCCATCACCGTTAGCAAAAATTGGGTGAACAGGTAAATCAAAGCCTCAACGGCCTCTTCCTGCTTTTAAACCCCAAGAAGATCTTTCATTTCTCGGGCTATATCGTCATGGAAATCGGCTTGATGCCCGCGCATGATCGCGCAGCGAAGTTGCGATTCAACTTCCAATTCAACTTCAAAACGCCAAGCTCACTATTCCTGAAGATTGTCTGCTTCTAAATAAGCCCAAATAGGGAAAACCATTAATGGACCATCTACGGTATAACCTCCATTGAATCCCACCTGCGGCAGCCCCTGTGCATTTGTACCTGTGCCAACCATCAGGGCCCAGCTATGAGATAAAAATCAGACGTGAAACTTTGTGGATTGAGACATACATGAACGGCTTCACCACAAATACTCTGCATAAGAGATTACAGTATTTTGGGAAAGTTCTATCTAGAAGCAGGCTGTCTGCTACGCCCAGTATGTAAAATTGCCCATTGACCTGTATCATCGTTCCGATACTTGCTGGTAACGTACTAGGAAACAATAACGCCATCCCTAATATACACTTCTTCGTAGCCGATGCACACTTCCAGAGAGGCCAAATCCACGAACTCTGCTTCTTTCAGGAACACCTTTTCCAGATATTCCTCATCTTTGAACAAAGAGATTATGTCCTCTATGGTACGCGCGTAAAGGCAAGCCATACCATCGTATTGCGAGACCTTTAATGATCCATCAGGGAATGCTGTTTCTATTGCCGACTTGTAGTTGGTAGAGAGATGATACTAGCCGATTGTCTTATTAGCTAATCAAGATATACACGTATCGCATGAGGTCCGGGAAGCATTACTTGCGTATACGTGATGATGTTATGCCGAGCTAAAAAAGGAATCACCGCTGGTGCAAGAGTTTCGCTCCACCAGCGATGGAATTCTTTCTCGGACTTCGCTTTATTGCGGCTTGGCATGGCCGTAAATTTGACAAGTGTCGTCTTTTCAGTATCCATAGAGAATGCTATGAACTTGGCTTCGGCTTCAACGATATGATGCAGGTAAGTAACAACTCCGGGGAACATTGTCCATGGCAAAGAGAGCCCACGTCGTTAAAACTTGGAAATAGTACATGATTACTCAATTGTCAGTGGGGAAAGATCCACAATACTCCGCAGAGAGGCACTTACGGAAGAGAGATTCGACTCCACTTTACTCCCTTCGGCTAAGTTAGTATGGAGCACCGAAAGTCCTGAGGGAATAAAGGTTTATTTCAAATGAAGTCACCGAAGTGTAGCAAACAAAGAGAAAAATACAAGTTGCTGTTCACGACTCTATATCCAACAGCTTTGAAAATGACCCGTCCCGCCTGTCCAGTAACTCTTGCGGATTGCCCACTTCTACCACCCGCCCACTATCCAGAACAGCAACCTGATCAAAGTCAAGCAGAGTACGCAACCTATGTGCTACCATGATTACGGTGCAGCCATGAAACGATTCTCGAATGACCTTCTGGACTTTGGCATCTTTCTCCGTATCCAGGCTACGGTATTTTGGTCAGCATACAGTGAACAAATATGATAAATCAAGAAAGTCATGGACGTACCTGCTTGTTGGCTCATCTAATATCAATATTTTACTCTTCTTTAGTAGAGCCCTTGCTAGACAGAATAGTTGCCTCTGGCCTTGGGATAAAATGGCGTCGTTCAATTTTGTATCCAGTACCGCTCCACCATGACCGTAGGTTGCCGTGAGAGTATCCCAGAGTCCGACGCACTGCAGAGCATCGATGATTTCCGTGTCCGTAATCACATTAAGGGGGTCAGCGTTCTGCCGGATGGTGCCTGGGAAAAGGAACGGCTCCTGACTGAGACAGCTTATCCGCTGTCTTATGAATGACCGGTCTATGAACGATATATCTTGTCCGTCAATCATGATTTGGCCTGATTTTATTTCATTCAGGCGGAGAAGTGACAAGGCCAGGCTACTTTTGCCGCTGATGTTGTGTAGTGTGTTAACTTTTCTTTCATACACCAGGAGGAATAAATAGAAATACTCACCTTCCAGTCCTACCACAGAGTCCAATCTTCTCTCCGGCATGGATGTGGAGATGGACACTGTTCAGTACGGGATTTGTCTCACCCGAGCAATCATACGTGATACTCGCACCAACAAACTCAATCTCACCCCGACTTGGCCAGTCAGGGGGTTGCTCGTAAGCCTGATCAGTCGTACCTCTCTCCTCACTAGGAGTATCTTCAGAAAACTCTTTTATCCGTGCAATCGCCCCCAACGATGTCTCAAGCAGAGTCCAATTCTGAATAAGCTTAGAGAGTACCTCTCCCAAGTCAATCATCATGACAAGGCCAATACCCAACAGACCTGGGTCAACACGGCTGCGAAGAGCAATGGCAGCTCCGACGAGAAGGACGGTCAAACCGGCCACAACCAGGTCAAGAACCAGACTAAGCCAACGTTGAATACACAGAAGAAGATAGAAGGGCTTCTGGGCAGCGTCGAGCATGGAAAGCATCCTGGATGTGCAACCATTCGTCCATGAGAAGGCACGGATGGTAGTAATCCCAGCGAGGGAGTCAATAAAGTGGGTGTACAGCGGACTTTTGAGCTCAATTCTAGGAGTAATTTAGCTCGGTTCATTAAGAAAAAGCGAGTTACCGGGGCTAGGCCGGGACAAGGGCTGAATGAGCACAGGGAACCTACTCCAACAACCGCAGCTGGCGAGATGTGCGTAGGTAAAACCGCTGGATTAGGAATAATAGAGCAAACAAAAATGGCAAAGCGGCTGCCAAATAGGGCAGGGAAGCTATTGCAACGGCGCCTTGCGCGAGGGCGGCAGAAAGCACTGAAAGCCGACAAGTTAGACAAGCAGCAGGAAGAAATTCAAGTCATTGATCTGAGGTGTACTTACGAAATCCTGTTGAGATAAAACTGCGAGGTAGGATCATGTCGATCAGCCTCATGTCCTGGCTGAAACGGGTCACAAGGGCTCCGGTTTCAACATTAGACAAGAAAGACAAAGGAGCACTGAGCCTGTCAGCTAATGATTAGGTGGGCAACCATGGCAACTCACCTCATACACGCGCGCAGCACACTAGCATGAAGATTCCTCGAGGCAGTTGGGACAATAATAACCCATGTCCAGCTTGTATATGGCAAGAAAAGTCAGCCAGCACACAATGCGAATGAGAAAAAAGGTGCAGGACACACAATACGGCCATGGTAAGCGCACAAGCTTGGATTACGGACAATGCTCCATATATTCCAAGCCAGTACCCCAAGCTTGAATTAGAGCCGTTCTCATCACTGGACGACCAAAGGTTGATCCATACATCTGTAGGAAAGTGAGCCTTATACCGCCCTAAAAACTCCAAGATAGGGTCAACATACAGCGGATTCCATTTACACCCGAATCAACAACAAGGCAAAAAAGCAATATAGAAAGTCGCAGCCAGCCTAGAGCAGAGAAGTAGTACTTGTACACAGCCAAATCGGCTATCAGCCGATTGCCATTAGTTGGAGAAGGGATGCTCAAAGGACCTGACGTGGCTTCTAAATACTCCAGTGGCGGATTGCTGTTGTCATTTTCTTTTTCGACGTCTCCAATCCGCTCGGCATGAATTCCATTCTTTTGAATGTAACCGCCTGGCTGGCTTTGAAGCTGAGGGTAGCTGCCTTGCTCGAGGACCTGGCCATCTTCCCCAAGAACAATTATATTATCGGCTTGTGGTAAGTGGTGAACTAAGGAATAATTAGCACGAGTGCAAACTGGAATGAAATAAGCCAGATATTTGGGGGATAGGGTGTACCGACTGCTGTGAGTAGCTAGGAAGACTATACAACCCAGTTGACGCAGCAGTCCAGCTGGGCCAAAGACATTGCTAAACACCAGACGCGCGGTCTCATTGTCAAGCCCACTCAGAACGTCATCAAAGCAGGCGATACGTTTGCGGGCATAGAGAGCTCGCGCAATAGCCTAGAACAAAAGCAAAGCTGTTAATGCCTGGCGGTCGGAATGTAATAAAGGGCTGCCTTCTCACAATCCTTTGCTTTTGTCCTCCACTTAGTTTGGCACCTTTGCTACCCACAAGCGTCCCGTCGCCAGCCGGCATTCTTTTGAGATCCTTATCCAAGGCACATGCGCTGATTACCATAGAATACCAGCCAGCGTCAAATTCAGAGAGCGAGTTCTCGCCAAGAACATTATCCCGAATTGATGCATTGGTCAACCACGGTGTTTGCTCACAGAAGGCCAGGTCCGGATACTTGATGAAAAGCTCTCCCTCCAGCACGGGAGTTTCACCTGCAAGGCCTTTGAGGAAGGTTGACTTACCGCAACCAACTGAACCAACAATGATGACAAGTGTACCTGTGGGAGAAGGCCCTAGCGTGAGTGTGATCCCAGACCTGTCTTGGGGAGAGGGGTTCCATCCGAAGCGAACGTTTTGAAGTGATAGAACTAGGCCGGTTTGCTTCTCCTGAATCGGTGGAAGAGGAGATAGCTCGATATCGGGTACCATGGCAAATGGAGTAGAGGAGTTTTGTTTCAAATGGGCAAACTGTCTCTTTTCTGTTTATAATATGATTTTAGTTGGCTTTTGTTTCCGTGTGCCGAGGGGTGTAGTTTGAAGCCCAGTAATACTGAATCATCGGCGTGAGGCTCTCTGAATGGAGAAGGATTTAAAAAACTTACCCAGACGATTCGGGTTTCTGAGAAAGTCCTGTATTCTACCCAGGCATCCCATCGAGGCAAATGTGTCCGGAATCGCCAACAAGAGGGAACTCAATGGGTTGATCATCAAGTTAATCAATGAGAGCGAGGTGACGGCTTGCGAGACGGAAAGGAAACCAGAGCCTCGAACTGCGGCTACTATACCATATGTTGTAAATGTTACGAGCTGTCCAACGATTGCAGGAGAATTGACTAGAATTCTGTGTCAGTATTTGACATTGATTCAACTACTTGAGGCGGACCGAGTTGGAAGGGCCACACACCCATGCAGACACGAATGGTCTGGATGCGGCGAAACTTTTTCGAGATCTTCAGCTCTTCCGTGCGGGAGGCTTCAATCATGGCTCCCATGTTCTCGGTCAACCCAAGAAACTTGACATTTCGAATAGACCCGAGTACAGCAGAGGTGAAATTTATGCGCTTCTCGGTAGCTTCAAGCCATGTCTTCTGCCGAGAAGACACGACATTGCCCATGCCAAATGACGCGGCCGTGAAAACTATAGAATTTCTGTCAGATAATGAAGCCATAAATACGCAGACCGGACAACATGGCAAGCTCACCTATGACAACCGCAATGGGCGCAATGCAGACAGCACCCATCTGGGTTTCCAGTAGCCAGGTAGCTAGCCCCAGTTGTAGGATGTTAGCCCAAGTCTCGCAAACCGTGGATTGGAAGTATTCAGCAAGCATCTCTATGTCAGAACCCATAAGAGACATAGCACTCGATTCATCAATGTTTCCCAGTGGCAGGTTCATCATGTGCTTGAAAACAACGGCCATGAGACCACCACGGAGCATAGTCGTAGTACGATACCCCAGGTGCTCGTAAGAGGCCTTTGATACCTAGAGAAAACAAGATATTAGTGATTTCTTTGCAAGAGGGGCGGAAGCAAGCAAGAGCGGGCAGAAACAAGTAGCTTACGGCAATTCCAATAAAGATCAGGGCAGTGGCTCCAATCAAGCCGTAGCCCATATCCAGCGAGAAAGAGTCAGTCTGCTGCAGAACGGTGGTAACTTTTCCCACTAAGAATGGCTGCGCAATACTGAATCCCACAACGCAGAGCCGGGGGAAAGCAACTCCCACAATTTCCCAGCGCAGGCACTTAATAACAGCTAGAAGTAACGGATTCTGTCGGTTTTGATTGCAGCGTGCCCATGAATCTGCGAATCTTGTGGACAAATCCTGGGAAAACAATTTCTCGTGGATAGCAGGCAGCGCATCCCCGGTTAACAGAACAGAGTACCCGTTTCGCAGCAGGCCGTTCAACCAGGCAAATAAGCCTCTATTGAACGGTCCACTAATGCTCTCACCAGAGTTCGTCTTTCCGCTAGGTACAAACCATTTTCGCTTTTCGACGTTCTCTAGCACCAATAGAACGAATTTGATGGCGAGAGAGGCCGACAGGCAGGCCGGGTATGCTCGGTTGTCAGGTTCCAGCCAGGCCGTGCGCACGCGAGGAAGGTCTAGAAGCAACGTGGAAAACAGATAAGCAGATACAAGAAAAGGTGGTCGAATGGACCGGATATACTCCAGGTCAACCAGTAGGACGACGGCAAGCGCCGCTACGAGATCAAGGATGGTGCCAGTAAGCACGACGCGCCCTCCAGAGGAGTGCTGGGTCGTGACAAGTGCAAGAAGAGAGACCTGAAGAACCGCCAAGGATATGGAAACAGCCTATGCAACACGTTGAGATTAATCCCTATGGATAGTTGTAAATTGGCGGGAGCGCTCACTAGTGTTGCCACACGAATAGCAGACGAAAGTACTTTGGGCGACTGTCTGAACAGGTGAACCAAGCGAATGGGCACCAGCAGGAGGAAACAAGCAGCCGGTACGATGTTCAAGACGCTTCCTTCGAAAAGCACGGTGAAATCGAAGCCCCCGCGACAGCCCACTGTTGTGACGACAGGGCCAAACCTGTCGTCGCCGCATGTATTGGTTGTCGGAGTTGATACCATGGCGGCCAAAATGCGAGGAAATCACTGTCTTGTTTCTTGAAGCCCTACCGAAATAGATACAGTTTATCGACGGGATTCATGTGGATGTTGGTAAATGTAAATGGTCCTTCGATCAATGATGGGTTGCAGCCTAACAGTGGCTTCACATTAGGTTTATTTCGCGGGGGCCTTACGGGTGCTCTGGGATTATCGGCCCCGAGTCGATTCTAGCGCGTTGCACTAACTACTAACTAACTAGCTCAATTACACCTATATTCGAAATTGGCTTTCATGGTTTACTGTGTTACCGTAACCTAGCATTGGAATGTAGTAATTGTGATTGGAGCAGTTTCATTTTCACTGTCGCTCTACTCTATACTGCGATGACCCACTCTGCCAAATGCAGGCAGGGGGCGGGTATATCTGATTTCGATCCATGCTATACCTCTCATGCCATTTTTTCTTCTCAATGAAATAACCACAGAACCACGAGGGTTCCGGATTTATTTAAGAACTTGACTCTCGTCCCTCGCTCTGTTTTTCCTTCTCCAACTCCGATACCACCCTATTGTATATGTGGTATAAATCCCAAGAGTAATTCTGAAAATTCTGGAGCTTGTGCATGAGTGAGAATCTTTCCTTTTCGACAGCAGGAGTAGCGTCGGCTGTTCTACCTGTGGTGAAGGCTATTAGTTTTGGACGGACAGGTACGTTGGTTGCTTTAGTTTGGGTTTTGGCATCTCCGGGCTGTGTATGTCTATGGTCATCGTTGAAGAAGGGCAGAGCAGTCTACAAATGAATGAAAATCTTTCTCTCAACTTGTATGAATCCCTAAACTGCCATTATTAGGGACGAAGGAATCCCGGGCGTGAGTAAATTACCATTGTGAATTGTGCCAATGACAATTTGCTGTCAGGATAGTGGCAGGATTACCCGCCAGCGAGAGCGGTGAGGGCTCAACTACACAGGGTGGGTTGCCGGTCTCCCCGCCACACCTCTCTGGACTTATATGCCGTTGGATGCATTAGAATGCCACCCCCGGAGAGCTATCCAATCAAGAGGCCTCGACTGGCCTTGAGCTGCATTGTCTGTCGTCGCCGAAAAGTCCGCTGTGGGAAAGAGCAACCTCAATGCAACAATTGTGTGCGTATGAACGAAGCATGCGTCTACAATATTGGAGCTCGTGATCCATGGACTGGCAGAGTACAAAGAGCAGCGGAGGAAGATGCCGTCTCTCAGAAGGCGAGCAGTAATGACAAAATGGCGCCGGATGTGACAAACCAGCGAGCGAGATTAAATCAGGACATCCAGAGGAACAGAGGCAACTCAAACAGCGGGGACCCGCATGGCAAAATTGGATCAGAAGGGACTCTCGATTCACCGTTAAAAGAGACCATTTATGCTCTGCCTTCTGATTACCTCATTATGCAAGGGGGATCTCGGACTCGCTATATTAGTAAGTCATTCTGGGGATTTATGAATGGAAATGTAAGATACAACTACAGAATGCACTACAAGATGATGGAACTAATGTTGATAGCCAAATCTCAACAACGCATTCTTCTTTGACGAGGATTCAGATGCATCTACCGATATACCACCTCCACATATCTCTTCATTGTTCCTAGTAAGGGCTCTAGGGTCTCTCCCAACAAAGCCCGTCTCCGATGCATTAACAGACGCATTTCTGGTGGGCATATACCCAATATTGCCTCTTGTACGTCTTCCAACGTTTAAGCCTGAATATGATAGATTTTGGCAGTGGTGTTGGAATGCTGGTAGCAAAATGCCTCCAGCAAAGCTCGTCCAAGATCCCACGTTCATCTGTCTACTTTTCGCAATTCTCTTTACTGGTGCCTCGGTAGCACCGGAATCAGTATGGGGTTTACCAGCATTCAATGGCCTCGAAAAACAGACAAATGTGAGCCGGCTCAAAACAGCAGTTTATGATAGTCTGGCTGCGTGTCAACATTCTAAATATCCGACACTCAACACACTAGTATCCTCACTACTAGTAAATCAACTTGATAAGCCCGAAGGACGGAATATTGAAGATGCGGTATTCGTGAGCACAATAATTCGCCTTGCGCAAAGCATGGGGCTCCATCGTGAAATCAATTTTGCGGAGCTGGATGAGCCTTCAAGAGAACATCGACGTCGGCTATGGTTATATATTGTTTGGCTGGATGTCCAGGTCAGCATTTCCAGTGGCTTGCCACCATGCTATGGTTCCGAAGCACTTGATGCAGTACGTATGGTGGTCGAAACAAGAGATGAAGATCTGATTTCGGCCTCACAAGACCCCTCACAAGACCCATCAGTTATCATGTTATATGCTATTGGAAGATATGAAACAGCGGGCTTTCAGAATCGACTGCTCAATAAGCTTGAGGGTGCACAGGGATTGCCACAGCGGACATTTCAAGAGGCCATCGCAGAAATAAGGGATCTGCATTGGAAGATCGATACCTTGATCAGAAAGATTCCAGCGCAGGGGATTCCAGAAAAGGGATTTATTCCATTTCAACTGGCGAATGCATCACCGCAGACCCACCGGCCCCTCTACGAGGACGGTACAAAAGAGCCTAGTGTGCTAGGTGCATGGAGCAGAATCATGCTTTCACTGCTCAAGTCAGAGATGGTGATAATGGTCCAACAGCCATTTTTTCCTCCTGTGGCCTCAAAAGATCAGTATGCTCAAAGGCTGTGGAACAGGTATGGCCCTCGAATTTTAAAGCGCTCACAGTGCAGTCTGAGAATCATTTGCTTCTTTCAACATGGAACAAAAAAAGTGTCGAAGATAAAGTCAAAGAAGAAACTAAGGAAAGGGGCAAATGGTTCTGAGATTCTACTGCAACAGGATGACAGAACTGATAATTTAATATTTATGTAGTCTTGCTCAAGTAAGCACGAGTTACCTAAAGGTTTACCTGCAGCTTTGTCGGACTTCAGCCTTCCAGCCCTACGCCTGGTTTTTCTCGAGTTGCTATGGGCCTCGGCAAGCGGCCCTGGTCTTATTGACCTACCTCCAAGGCCACCCGCAACCCAAAAATTCACAGTTAGCACGCTACTGTGTGGACGAGTTTGTCGAGTTTCTCACTATGCAACAAATCTCTGGTGCAGGTCCTGATGGTTCTCAGGCGACATCTCTGACCAATATAGCCCTTGTTAGCCTTCACGAGAGGCTGAAGATATCGTGGAGAGATAGACCACCAGATGAATCCACCATGGATTCTGTATTTGCAAACGAAGACGTTATACGACATAACATGGTCTCTGATCCCGCTTGGCAAATCTTCGTCGATGGAGTTGAGGATCTGTCTGCATCTTTAGTTCAAGGGACAGACGAGATGAACTTTGGGTACACTGTGGAAAAGCTTCGGCGTCAATAATAATACGACAACTAGTAATTTAGATATTTCGAAAAACAAGGTCACAAAGGCTGAACGTATGATAAACAAGACAACAGTCGATATAGAAAGCCTAGGACCAAAAGCGCATTGTAAAACAGATCCTACTTTTCCACTACAAATTGAACAGGTAGTGAAGTCAACTTCTGCATTTCCTCCATTGTTTCCACCCACAGCTTCCTTTGAACCTCCTGACCGGCAGGGGAGCGAATATATTCTGATACACTGATGGAGACAAGTTAGCAAATGCGTATTACAAGACTGTCCCAGACAAGAGAAAGAATCAAAAAACTCACTTAAGAATATCCTTATCACCAAGATGCCTTCCATGTGACTCCGGTCCAGCAACGACAGCAGCATTAACAATAAGCCATCCCCCAACCTGCAACGGGCGAGCACGAAGAGCTTTGAGGACATTCACGGGGAGACGGAGGTACACGGGCAGCGAATCAGTTAGACCCGTATCAATCATTCCCGGACAGATCATATTTATTATGACCTTGTTCGTGTCGAGACGTGGAGCAAGAGTGTACATGAACATCGCACAGAGGAGTTTGCTGTCCCCGTATCGGTTATAGGGCAGGTGTGCCTCCTTGGAGTCCATCCGCTCGAGTACAGATTCCGAGCGCTTGATAGGTGCCTTCTTTGTAAAACTGTTCATTGTATCGTGCATTCGGCTTCCAACCCAAGTAATCCTTGTGGGAAACCCGGCTATTTCAGCGCTAGCTTCGAGGTAGGGGAGGAGTTCTGCAAGAAGGATGACGTTGGAGAGGTAGTTGATTTGGAGGTGATTCTCGTGGCCGTTCGGACTGCGACTGAAAGTGATATTACTGATGCCTGCATTAAGGATGAGGATGTTCACAACCGGGACCCCTTGCTGGAGGACTTTTGTGAAGTCCTGCACGCTGTCGTAGCGGTCAACGTCGAGCTTCAGGACCTTAATGGTGGCATTGGGGTTGATTTTCTTAATTTCTGGGTCCCGTTGAAGGCTCTCTTTACAGGTCCCACCTTTGGAGATGTTCCGCACGGCAAGGATAACTGTTGAGCATTTGAGCGCGAGAAGCTGCCGTGCTGTCTCCAGACCGAGACCTGCACTCGCGCCGGTGATGACTGCGGTTTTCCCGCTAAGATCAATTCCCGGGGGTAGGGGTGTCACTTTCGGCTGGAGAACTGGCATATCTTTCGACAATGTAGGGTTGACTGGTGACAATGAATGTAATAACGGGGCTTCTTGCGATACCAAAGGGTTATAATGGATACAGCTACTACCAGGGGTCATGGTTTCTTTTTTATAATGACGGAAAGAGCCTTAGAATCCACAACATTGCAAAGGAATATCTACGCTCGATTATCAATCCGGGTAAAAAATAGTAAGTGCCGAAGGCAGGTTTGTAATGAATGAAGTTTATTGCGCGAGGCAATCCGGGCCACACCAGTAGATGAGTCAGCGTTCGGCCGACGCCATAGTTAGTTACTCCAAACGGAGGTTCACGCCGGACCTTAAAATCCAGCAGACGGAGGTCAATCGCCTGCGCACGGATTTGATGAAAATCGGGGTTATTATTTTTTAGAAGGTATTGAGGGCGCATGATTAGTTAATACTTTTCGAGTTTTCTCTTATAAATCCCTTCCTTGGTACTAGTTTAGCAAAGGTATACTATTAGACCACACTCTTCCACCATCACGTATTCAAATTAGACTCACCATAATTTATACTGTAGTGTGTTAGAATAAACCGTTCAAATTAGCAATAAAAATCAAGCGTTTGAATGGAATATTTGCTTTCCCCGGACCCATCGCTGAGGTGAATGTGAATAACCACCTACTAGACGACTGGGTACGGATTCGTATTTTGGTCTAGTGGGAGAATCAACTTAGCGAAGGGTCGGAGTCACTATCCATAAGACACCAGCACATGACTTGCCCAAACATTAGGAAAATATGATCTACATTAAGATTGCATTGTTCTAACCACCTAAGCTTCCCTCATCTCCCTCGCGTAATCCCATCCCATCTCGCATCTCGGCCCGATCGCCATGCGATTTTCTATACTGAATAACTGTCTTGCATAAATGTGCGTTAGGTAGTTTAGCGCGTTTTCGATGTCTTCTGTGCGACGTATCATCATCACTAGGTTCATTCGAGGTTTTTTCGGCATGGTAGTATTATGAAATTCAATTTGAATATACGAAGTCCAACCGTAGCACGGACCACGAAGCTCTGAGTTGTCCATCAAGGAAGGTCGAGATATGGACAAGCTTTAGGGTCTTCATAAAAAACGCCACCTGACTTTTCAATCAACTCGCACCGCTCTTGCATCGTATTGGCGTTTTGGAGCTTCGCTAAACCTTTCTCGCTCGCTTCGTCTCTTGTTGTCTGCAAAACCCATACTCCGCCTCCGGGGGGCCAACCAGCGCGGATGTAGTTGTCTTTACCGTTGTCACGCCCTTCAGAGATTTCCAACATCCCACTATAAAATCGCGCATATTCGCTCTTCCACCAGGTAGGACCAAGGCGACGCACTGTTAGGAATTAGAAATGCACTTTAGGAAGACGTGGTCATGACTTACTCCGATCACAGTGCGCATTCTCTTTGTTCTGCCACTCAGGATTGGATGCAGATGGGCGCAAAGTGTTGTTAAATAGGTCTAGTTCCAAGAATTCTAGTTCCACGCGGCTACAAACCTGTAGCGTATAGATTCCTCCTTGAGAGGGCCACCCTGTAACTGCAACGCCAGGTCCAGAGCCATAACGTGCCCAGAATTGCGGCTCGTCTGTGAAATGATTTTGGGGAGTAATGTGGTCATAATCCATTCGCGTTAGCATGTCGGGTCGTTCCATTCGCGTTAGCATCGCGGATCGCTCTCGAGGAGTCGAATAGTGAGGGCGTGAATAGGCTAGGTATCGGTATCCCAGCCAAATAATCAAAGAGGGCACAAGCAGTGTAATCGCAGTCTGCAACTTCGCCATTCCGAGTATCTGGAGGAACAGGGCGGGGTCGGGTCTTTTTTGTTTGGGCAACCAAGGCAGATATATTTCATGAGCGGATTGGGACGCCAAACCAAAAAAGGAAAAACTAATCACGGAGGGAATTCATAGGTCCCAGTCTATAGCATACAAAGTTAGCCCACCAAAGATGGGTTACCAAGGTAAAGAGCCCATTACCAGTCTCTACCACCAGGAACATAGGCAGATAGGATACAAAGGTCTTCTTCGATGAACCAAAAACGCAGTATACTGGGCAAGCCGACAAGCTCCGATCAATAATTTATTCTCATGGCGGTGGAAGATTCAAGATTCAATGTTGTGTGTGGGAATGGACTCCTCTAATAATGGATCGGCTGTAAGACTCATTGCAGTCACTCAGCAGGATCAAGTTGGTAATGAGGCTAATTGAAACATGAAGATTTATATTTGGAAGATTTTTCGTTGATGCAGGGAGATCAACAGACGTCCCAAGCCAACGCGTTAAAGAATTGTCGTCTTGGCATAGGCGTGGATCCGAGAGACATGGGGTAAATATGATTTCGAGCGCTTCTGTACTACACCCAATAATACTATATGTTTACACATCCTCCGAGCAGAAACCAGATATAAAAATAATTCAACCCGTGACCCTCAGCACGAACCGAGAGACAAAGACCGAACGAAAGAGAGTAGTATTATAAATCTATTCCATGAGAAAACAAAAACGACACGCCACAACAAAGCAATCCGTCAATCCGTCACATCACATCATGTCATGAATCTCCCTCCGCTCTTGAGGGGTGTTTGTAGTAAGGGGCATACACAGGACAGTATGTCCGAAAGAAAGAAAAAGAAACCCAGCGCGCTAGAGTCGGCACCAGGCCCAGGACTCAGACCAGGCAGAAGGAAGCAAAAAGGTTCGTTTCTATCGGTGTCCAATTCAAGCACGATTGACCCGCTTCATGGTGATCGGCGCCGACAGGGACGAAGTCTGCTCGCACGGCCCGTCTTCCCAGACGGTACTATCAGAACCGTTGAAAAGAGACCCGTTCGGGCTGGAGATGGATCCGTTCGCAGAGACGACAGCGATATGGGGCACGACGAGCTCAACACCCTTAGTGGCAGGGGCACCATTCGAGAAGCACGGCTTATGGCGCGGCGGGAGGGGGCGCTGCTGCATGGTCAGCGCCGACTCGTACATGGATCCCAGATCGTCCGAGGCGGTGCTGCTAAATGACGACGCCACCGTGGACGGGGTAGCGGGCATGTGCATTTGGCCCGCGCTCGCGCCGCCGACCAGAGCGGGCAGGCTTGTGGTGCTGCGGTTGGAGCTGGGGCGGCGGGCGAGCATTGCTTCTTTACCGCCGTGGAACTGGGAGAGGTAGTGCCACGCATCGGAGGAGGCGAGGCTCGCCGAGGACGACGTGCTGTGGCCGCGGCCATGGATGGCCGTTATTACGGGCTTCCATTCGGTTGGGTCGAGATCTGCCCGAGTGTCGTGCAGGTCGCTGGGTATCCGGATGGACGGGACGCTCTGGACTCGGGTGGGAGTCATGGGGGCGACGATGGTGCGAGGAGACAGAGGGGGAGAGGTGGGAGGTGTTGTTGTGGAAGTGGAAGTGGGGGACATGGAGGGCCACGAGGCAGACAGTGGCTTGCAAGAGTCCTTGCGGCGGCAGCTGAGGAAAGAAATGAGCTTTTGGACGACAAGGACAGAGACGTGGACAAGGGAATATATAGTCGATCACATACCTTTCACTGCAGTACAGCAGAGCGTTGTTCGGCACGGTAATCTGCTTCTCGCACATGGCACTACCGATAGAGTTAGGCCCCGAATCCTGGTTTGTGCATCCATGACGGCAAACGGCATGGTATGTTGCCCTTGCATAGATAAGGGGAAAGGAAAACCTACCAGAAGTTCAGAAAGCTGGCCGCCATATCAAACTCGGTGATGTCTTCGGACTTGCTCGCTCCCCTTGCGTGCCCAGAGCCCAGCTTGGAGATAGACAGGTTGACGGCCGAGGTCCCTCGGCGGTTCAATGCCGGGCGAGAGGACTTGGTCTTGGAGGCAATGGCATGGCAAGAGGAAGGGGAACGGCGGTGATGAGAAGGAGCAGTTGGTTGAGTCATTTTCGGTGGTCTGGCGGTGTCGCCGGAGTGGAGTTGAACAAATGCCTCGCTCTTTGTATCTCTTATCGTGAGTACCTTGCGCTATTTGTGGAGCACGAGGACCCCCTGGGTAGACGATGGTCTGAAACAGGATGATCGGGCCAGTGCAGGTAAATATGTAGTTCGAAGGAAGAATGCTGGAGATAAGAGTCAGTCGGGTGGGACAGGAAGGAAGGCCGTGGTTATCGTGGGCTGTGAGTGGAGGAGATAAAGGCGAGATAAAGGCGAGATAAGAGGGACTGACCGAGTGTCGGCAAGGGCGATCATTCAACTGTGGTCGTGCAGTCGGGATGGAGAGAACAAAGAACAGGTGTTTCCGTGAAGACGGATGTGGTGCACGCAGAACAGTTATAAAGAAACGAGCCAGTCTAGACCCGCATTGGGCGAAGCCATTGTCTCTCGATTCTATTTTGGGGCGGTGAGCACCCTCCCCACCACCCCCCTTCCCGGTCTAGAACGGGAGTTACCCTGACGCCATCCTGTCGAATGGCGTGACGGTCTGGGAGCACGGAAATGGTTCAGCGAAAAAGTGGACCAGGTCCCACGCCCCCATCCGGTTGCTTTGACGATGACACATCCTTGACACGTCGAGCTGGTCCACTAAGTAACGACTGCAGAGTCTGGACTTTGTCGATCTCCGCCATGATGATGATGATTATTATTATTATTGTCTCATAAATCAGAATAGGATGGTAGATGATTTGAAGAACGACTCCGGAGAACATGGTGGTTATGATGGTCATCCACGACAAGAAGATCGCGTTCGTCAGGGCCACGACGGCGGCGCCCTTGAATTCTTTTTTTAACCTCCCGCCGCCTTCCGCCGCGCAACCCAGGGCCACCGCCGGCCTCAACCCAGGGTTCCACTATGATGGGTAGACGTGAGAGGATATTTATTTTGGGTCTACATACAGTCAATGACATGTCAGGCTACAGAGTTTTTTGGGGGAGGAATCATGACGTTTGTTGTGCTCATGATCGAATGGAATAGAAGAAGCTCAAAAATTGGGTATCGATTGACGTGAAGAAGAATTACGACGGCTCCACAGACTCGCCATTATTGGGGACCGTCGCGCCCGTCTCAGTGCCCGGCCCATCGCCTAAAAACCGCTCAGGGACGCCGCGGGCAGCAACGCCCGCCGGACCCACGAAACACCCTAGCATCGAACTCCAAATATGCCCCTGCGACAGCATGCGGCGAATCTGGCCATACGCGTACGAATTGGCGTATGGCAGCGATGTCTCCGGGTCCCGGTAGCGCGATGGGAGTGAGGTGATGACGCACAGCGATGACGAGATTTCTGTACAACATCATTAGTAGTGATTCAAGCGACAGACAACGATTGCGACATACTGGTCAGCCGCGGTGGCTTTTTCGCGTTGAAGTAGATGTTGTATTGCTTGCTGTGCGCGGTTCTGTCGTCAAAATTCTCCAGGATGGTGAGTGTGCGCCCGGTATGCTCGACCACGGGCGGCGGTGGCGGGATCGCAGGTTGCGAGGAAGTGCCGTTCACGCCATCGGCAGAAGGAGGTTCTTGGATGGCAGCGTTCTCAAGGGGGATGGCATCAGCCGAGTCCCCAGCTGCGAGGGTTGCAGGTGCATCCGCGTTTGGCACTCCGTTTGGGGTGGTCGTGCTCAATTCGTCTGTTTTGGATTTGGATTCCTCGGCTGTCGGTGCTTGTGACTCAACGGTATCCTTGGTGGCATCAGTCGGGGCCGCGCTTTGGTCCATATCCATGGCATCCGCGTCCTCGACGGAGGATGGTTCCGGCATGGTGGACTTTGGACTAGATGCCGACGGCTCACGACGCACCGGAGTCTCAACCGCAGGACCTGGCTTCTGCGCTGAGGGTTCGGTGGTGGGTTTCGGGGTCTCTTTGTCTAATTTTTCATCTTTTTCTTCCTCTACCACAGTTGCTGTAGCTGGCGGATCTCCCGTAGGTTGCTCCTCGTGCGGATTGCTGGGAGGTACTTCAACAGACGGCGGAGGAGCTGCTGTATCTGCAGGCTGGTCAAGAGGCTTTGTATCCGGTAATATCGAAGCTGTTCCGGATATTGAGGCTTCAGAGCTTTCCGGCTGTGGTTGTAATGTTGTTGTATTTGCAGCACTCTCTTTCGCGCGAAGTTCCGCAGCAGCCTTCTCTTCCCTCTCCATTTCTTCCCTCTCCTTCTCCAACTTCTTTGCCTTCCTCAAAGCCAGCTCCTCTTTGCTGGGCTTGGGCTTCACGTCGACTTTACCCACACGGGTGAGGCGGCCATTCACCCAGGTCGCCAGACCACTCCAGTACGACATGACGGGTCCATCCAGACGACGGTTTTGGAGGGCTTCGATCTTCAGCCGTCGTTCATCTGCCTTTCTCCTCTCTGCCTCCTCCCATCGATTCACGGTCTTGCTATTGAGCCGCTCTATCCGCGCCGCCTCGACCAGATGATCTTCTTGCGTCATTTCCTTGGGCTTCAGATGGGCCTTGCGCTTTTCTGCTTCCTTCATCGTCGCAATGATCCGCACCCGCTTCTCCTGGCTGTCTTTCAGACGCGCATGCGTGAGTTCCTTGTTATGCATCGTCTGTCTGCGCGAGGATGACCGCGTAGGCCCGTCTTCAGGCGTTGGGATCCACGAGATGCGTTCGGATTTCTTCTTCGGACGAGGCGGAGGAGCAGGCATGGAGGAGAGGGCGGTGGGATCAATTTTGACGCGTTTGCGCAAGGTCTGGAATCGGAGGTTATTCTGTGCTTTGCGCTTCTTGCGCTCTTCCTTCTGCAGCTGCTCCTCTCCTTCGTAGTCGTTGCCCGCGTCCGGCCCTTGGTCGTCGTCATCGTCGGAAGACGAGTCGAGCATGTCGTCTTCCTTGTCGGCGCCCGCTTCGGGACCGGCTTCCATCGCGAATTCGTTGTCATCTTCCACTTCCTCAAACAGGAGTGTCAGGTCGTCATCCGCGGCGGCGTCGATAAGGGCCGACATGTGTAGTCCGGCGGTGCTTCGTTTCGCGCGGCCGCGGATGAGGGATTCGATCGGCTCCTCTTCTTCGGAGGAGGACTGGATCCCCGAGGAGGGGTCCTCGTCCATGGTGTCTGTCATATCGGAGGTGTCGGTCGTGGCGATCGGGTCGAGACGCGAGATGGGATGAGATTACGCGAGGGAGATGAGAGAAGCTTTGTTGAGATGGTGGCACGGGTTTCGTCTCCACAGAAACATGCAGGAGCCGAACCCAGGCAGTGTTGGGGGAGCAGGGAAGGTGTCGACAGGAAGATGTGAGAGCGCGAACTGCAGGGAATCAAAGTGTGGCGGTGTTGCGCACCAGCCACGAATTCGACGGCGGTGTATTTGCTGCCCCAGGCATCTATCAACTGGTCCAGCGTTCACAGGGACTCGGACGAACACGCTTGTTGCTTCCCCTAGGACACTGCTCTGCAATACCCAAGTCCACTACTCTCTGTATACGCTCAGGTATACTACCGGCTCTCCAGTATACGCCTACTCAGCGCCATCATCACCCAATGCGCCATCACTGTACCTAACCAGGACATCCCTTCGCCTCCCTTGCATTCATTGCATCACAACCCCCATCTCAGGGACGGCCCTTCATGACGCAGGGAATGCGGGGCCTTGTTTCGGTTTCCCATCAACATGCCAGCACGAAGCTTGGCTGGGTTGATGGGCTGGGTGACCCGGGGGCTGTGCCGTTATTCTCTGGATAGTGACCGATCAGCTGTGGGATTCCATTAGTTATTAGTATCGTTAGTACCGAGACTAGAAGTCGATACCGAATCATCATCATTGTTCACTTGGAACGAACGGTACCTCCCTCCTACACCCTGTTTGATCCACCAACCACATCCGCCGCGGGCATCCCGGCCAGCCCCAACGCAACATCGTCTTCTCTATCCCCTTCTTCAGTAGCCGTCTCCCTTCTTCCCTTCCCTTCAACCCTTCTTCTTCTTCTTTCTTCTTTTTTCTGCTTCTTTTTCTTCTTGCTACCCTGGTGGACGTCCTCCCGGTCAGTGGCCCTTACCCGTCGCCTACTGCCGGACCCGCGCAGACCAAACTAACCGTCGCTCCAGCCACCTCGACCGATCCCTTCACTCCCGGCCGACAATCCACTCCCATCACCGCCCACCTGACATTCCCTTTCCTGCTTACATTTTGCGATTCTTTGGATTCCGACATCAAGCGAAATCGTTATTTTCGAATCCTCGGCTTGATCCGCTTGGGAGACCCCAGCCGGAGAGACACACCGGCGTTGAAACCAGTGAGATTCCCCATCCGAGTCCGATTCCTTCGTGTTGATCCTGGTGCGCTTATCTCCTGGTCTCACGGTCTTCCTGCACACTGCGTGGAGGCGTGTGGCACTGGTGGCAACCGCTGGCCTCGTCCGAGCATCCACTGACTTCATCTCCCACACCTGCAGGCTGCGATCGCGTTTCTCCCCAATCCGCGGATCCTGCGGAATTCGAATTCGTCCCGGAACTTCTATAGTGTCTTCGGCACACCTTCGATCATACGTTTGAGCAGTCGGCTTGCTGTGTCAGTTTCGCCCTGGTGCCCTTGTGTGGAAAGCATAGAGTGGAAGGAACATAGAATACTGCCTTTTTGGACAGGCAACCCGCCGATAATCAATAATGCTGCCGGTCTCACGACCTGAAGGTCAGATGAGCTTCAACTACAGCCAGCCCTCGACAGGGCGCAGTTCGCCCAGCGACTTGGCTGGGTCGGGGACCACGAAGGCACCGTTTGGCACCTCTGCAGGATCGATCGGTAGCTCACGACTAGGGGCTGGATCCCCTTCGCACGATTTGGGAACTCGTCTATACTCGAAACGGTAGGATTTTGTCCATGATAGAAGGGTTTTGGCTGACGCTTTGCTATTTTGCTCCCCACCACAGAGCCCGCGAAATCCAGGCACAAGAAGGCGTCTCTCCCAGCATCTGGGGTCCTCCGACCAGCGGTCACTCCACCCCACTGCGCGAGAATATCCCCGAATCTCCCAGCCAGGACAGCTTTCCTGACCTAATCCCCAGCTCGAATGGCTCCATCAACCCCACTGGTCGGCGAGCCCGGGCGGGCACCGTCCCTTCTCGATTCCCTCCGATGGGCACCCTGAATGAGATGGATCTCCAACAGCCCTTCATGTCGCAGACATCTCGACCGACGCCTTCAACGAGCCCGTTCCGCCCGCCGGGGGTGTCTGGAATAGATTCGGGTTCCAAAGTGGCCAGCTCTGCTGCGGCTCCCAATCCAGCTATGCTGTCACGTCTTCGAGCTGGCTCGATGCCACAGAGGAGCAGTCTGTTGGGATCGGGCGGCCCTTTTGGCCCGTCTCTGTTCTCCACGAACTGGTCAACAGGTCGCGATCGTGCTACGACGTTGACCAGTATCCAGTCCTCCGATGGGCCTACCTCGCCCAGTCAGGCATCTTTCTATAGAGATGGACTTGCGGACACCGATGTGAAGACGCTAGATTATCTGGGTCTGGCGGAGACCCCGCAGCAAGCAAGGGCTACCCTTGCGCGACCTTCCATGGAACAGCTGATCCAACACCAGCAACAGCAACAGCAAGCTTCTACACTACCGCCTCTCTTAGCTGAGCTGGCAATGATGAAGAACAACAGTCGGTTCCGATCGTATTCAGTGAACGCCAAGGAGAAGTACGCGGATGATGAGGATATGGAGTATGAAAGCCGCTACTCCCAGGCCTCTGGTACACTCACACCGTCTGCGGCCGCAACAGCCGCTCAACTGGCCGCCACTCAAGCCCAAATCCATCAGCATAACCTTGCCGTTCAGGCTTTTGCCAACCACGCGTCTGTCTCTCGGCCTCGGGCTCGGACGGCTGGCATCTTGGAAGCTCCTCCCCAACGCTCCTCGATTCGGAACTACCTCGCCACCCCTTCTCGCCTGGATAACAGCTACAGCGCTGCGGATCTGCAGATCGCAGAGAATGGTGAATATGATGAGCTTTCTGAAGCGGTTCAGATGATGCACCTTGGCGCCGGTGCTGCCATCGGCATGCGGTCTGCCGGCGAGATGGCAGATGAGAATAACCAGGATGGGCCAACGCGAGCGTTGTGGATCGGTAGCATCCCCGTTTCGACCACTGTGACATCTCTAGAGGCCATCTTTGGCATGTACGGAAAGATCGAGTCCACGCGCGTGCTGACTCACAAGAACTGTGGATTTGTCAACTTCGAACGCATTGAGAGTGCCGTGCAAGCCAGGTCCCTACTGAATGGCAAGGAGATTTTCCCTGGTGCTGGACCTGTGAGGATCGGATACGCCAAGGTTCCTGGCGCTTCAGCAAATGGTACACCTGGTGCGAATGGCGTCCAGTCTTCTCCGACTCCGGATCCGAATTTCAAGTCCAATTTCGCATCAGGCGACAGTACTGATCAGGCTGAAGCTCTCGGTGTTGTACCTCAGATTGCCGCACTTGAGGATCTGTTGCCGGAGATGGTGCAAATTGTCCAAGAATTCGGTGCTACCGAGGACGACTGCCGCAACATCACCGCAAGCATTGAAAGTGCTATTGCGTTCCAGGAGTATGAAGATGAAATCCCTCCCATTCCTGAACCGAATCAGACGAGAATGTTTGACGCGCCTCGCCTACGTGATATTCGAAAGCGAATTGACAACGGAGCCTGCTCTATCCAAGAGATTGAGGAGACTGCTGCCTCGATGCTGCCCGAGATCGCAGAACTAGCCTCCGATTACCTTGGGAATACAGTGGTTCAAAAACTATTTGAATTCTGCAATGAATCAACCAAGGAGCAGATGCTCACCCACATTGCGCCTCACCTCGCCGAAATCGGTGTTCACAAGAACGGAACCTGGGCTGCTCAAAAGATTATCGATGTTTGCAAGACTCCGACCCAGATCAAGATGATTGTTGATGCTCTTCGGCCATACACCGTTCCGCTTTTCCTCGACCAGTACGGAAATTACGTGCTGCAGTGCTGCCTTCGATTCGGTGCCCCTTACAACGACTTTATTTTTGAGACCATGCTGAGCCGGATGTGGGAGGTCTCTCAGGGCCGCTTTGGTGCTCGCGCGATGCGAGCTTGTCTGGAGAGTCATCACGCAACCAAGGATCAACAGCGGACGCTCGCGGCTGCCATCGCCCTTCACAGTGTGCAGCTGGCCACCAATGCCAATGGGGCTCTGCTGCTGACTTGGTTCCTCGACACCTGTACATTCCCGCGTCGCCGGACTGTTCTCGCTCCGAGATTGGTTCCTCACCTCGTCCATCTCTGCACTCACAAGGTCGCCTACCTTACGGTCCTCAAAGTGATCAACCAACGCAACGAGGCGGAGGCGCGAGACATTGTCCTGAAAGCTCTCTTCTTCAGCCCCGGCGATGAGGTGTTAGAGAAGATCCTTAGCGACCAAACCTCGGGAGCTACTTTGATTTTCAAGGTCCTGACCACGCCATTCTTCGACGAGTCAATGCGATCTGATGTGGTCAAGAATGTGTCCAAGGTGCTCACCAAGCTGAAGGTCTCCCCAAGCCAGGGCTACAAACGTTTGATGGATGAAGTTGGACTTTCTTCGCGCAGCAGTGGCCGGGAACACCACCACGGACGCGAGGGAGCAGGAGGACATCCGTCCACCGTGGAAAAATCCCAACATCGCCAATCCTCTCGGCATGGCGCCTCCAACTACCCTTCGCAACAGCCCGTGGAAAGGCAGTACAGTGGACAATTTGCTCCCAACATAGACCCCTCGAGGCCTATCTCCGCCGATAAAGCCAACGCACCGCCTCTGGACGCATATTCCAGCAACGGCATCAACGGACTCAATGGCGCCGCCTTCGGCCATGACCCCATGGCCTCACTCAGCCAACAACAGCTGCAGTATCAGGCCTACCTCGCCTCTCAAGGCCGCGGTGTTTCCCCAGGCGGTATGTACGGCGGCATGCCGGGCGCTGCTAGCTTCGGGTTCCCAGGCGGCTCGCCTTCTGTTGAGAACCTCCGCTCCTTGCAGACACAGCACGCCTCCTCCCCCTTATCCGCTGCGCCGAGCCAGATGAGCTCCAACCCCATGCTCGGCCAGTCCCATTACCCGCCGCAGCAGTTCAGCCCCGTTGTCAACCCAGCCCAGCTGTACCAGTATTCCCCGCAATTCTACCCCCCCGCACAATCTGTGCAGGGCCAGTCCAGCGGTGGTGGTGGGGCCGGGCGACGTGGCCGGCGGTGATTTTCTGTCTGTCTGTTGAAGGTGGCTTGGCTTGGCTGGGTATGACATCTTTTTTTTATTATCGAACTGCTATTTTTCCATTTACATGTATAAATCTTATTCTATTGACGTCTTTTTTTCAAACATTTTTTGAGATCAAGCGGAATTGTTTCTGGCTATGCTATTTTTGCGTTGCTGTGCTGCTGTTGCGAACGTAAAGGGAACGGGGGTTTTCATTCGTCTTTGCGCATGGGCGGACGCTGGATCGTTTCCGCCTGAGCGGAAGGAGATGGGGATGCTATGGCGATGACGATATGACGCGAGGATTGGGAATCGGGGTGTGTTGGATGGATGGATGGATGGATCGGTGAGTGGGTTGTTAAAGAGGGTATCTAAAAGTTTTACGGCTGGAGTGTCTGTCTGTCTGTCGGGGGAGACACCTTTCTTATCTCTGTATCTTTCATGGAGCAGCGTGTTGAATGACCATACTGTGCATCTTGGATTTGATTTGGCAATTTAGCATGAATATAGCATCCCGGACCCTCTATTCACACGTATCTTATTTACACATTTTGTTATTGTGCTTTGTGTTAGTCATGTTAACGCCCTAAATTGCGTCGCGAGCACTAGGTAGTTAAGCAGAGTTGATATATTACATGCGATAAACAGCTTTACTTGACGGACCTCTTACGCGCATAGTCACACAGTATGTACTTCATGAAGTGAAACTCTGAGTTGGCTGCTTGCTTACTAACTATACTAGGTCGATCCTCTCTCCCAATTCGCCACTTTACGGTAGCTCTAGCCCGAAGTACTTCGGCTTGTCCAAAAGTCTTCGGAACCAACTGCGTCATGGGTTCTTTCCACCTAAGTCTATAAGAGGCGCGGATTGTCCGACTGGTCTTTAGGAAACAAAACCCATCCGATAAAACGCAACCACAATATCATCTACCATTTACGACTGCCGCAATGTCTGAAACAATTAAAACCGTCAGTATCCCAAACATTGCGTGGGACACCGCTGCCAACATCCACTTCCCACCCAACTTTGACGAGAAGAAGAAGTACCCAGCTATCGTGTCGGCCCACCCTATCGGCTCATGCAAAGAGCAGACCTCGGGCAATGTCTATGGCAAGGCAGTGGCTGAAGTAGGCTTCGTGGTTGTCGCGTTTGACGCATCTTTCCAGGGCGCCTCGGGTGGAGAGCCCCGGTACGTTGAGAATCCCGAGTTTCGAGTCTCCGACTTTCGCTACGTGGTCGACTACATCCAAACGCTCCCGTACGTCGACCCCGAGCGTATTGGGGTGCTTGGCATTTGCGGTGGCGGCGGCTACGCTTTCAACGCCGCCATGACCGACTACCGCCTTAAGTGCTGCGTTGGCATCACGCCCGTTAACTTTGGCCGTCTCAGTCGGGAAGGCTTCGGCAACTTCGACCCAGCCGGTTCACTCGAGAAAATGGCCAAACAGCGCACCCTCGAGGCCCAGGGTGCCGATCGCTTTGTTATGAACTACCTCCCTTCGACAGTCGCCGAGGCCAAGAAAATGACCACGGACCCCGATGTAGTCCAGGCGACTGACTACTACAAGACCGACCGCGGGAAGGCGCCATGTGGTGCGACTAGCGGCCTTTTCTCATTCAATAGCGCCGCCCTCGCATGGGATGCTTTCAACCATGCAGAAGTTCTCATGACCCGGCCTTTCATCGCTGTTGTTGGCGACATCCCTGGTAGCTTCGGCGCCTACCGTGATGCCCACGAGATCCATGGCCGTGCCGGTTCCAAAGAGAAGTCTATAGTCGTAGTCCCCGGCGTATCGCACTATATGCTTTACGACGAGCCTAAGGCCGTCAAGAGCGCTCTCGATCAAGTCCTGCCATTCCTTAAGAATCATCTCGGCGTTGCTAAATAAGATGTGGCTGTTATTGCAAGGGGCCATTTCAAAGCCTTCTACCTCTCAAAATTTCTCCTGTACCGCTTTCGTGTAGCGGAAGATAACTGGAGATATTTAGATTATATCTAGCCTATTCATACAGTTTTAAAAAAATTTGAGGTTTAGTGGTTCGAATTTATATATTTCTGGATAAGCTTGCTGCAGATAAAGAAGAATTGACTAGCTTGTGAGAATATAAGTTTCCCATCCACAACGGTCCAATCATGCAAGACAAACACGTCACATCCAAGCCAATTCCTAGGGAATTCGAGGATGAGAATTTCAATTAGAGTCTACTGGTGGGGATTGAAGTGGTTGGTATAAGCAACAAATTCAGGACTCAGGCGGGCGGTAACACGTGCACGGAAGCGTATTAGCGAGACGCGTAATCAAATGCTTAACGTGTATTTGTCTTCTCAGATACTTTTCATTTCTATTCTGGCGGACAGGGATGACACGAAGGCTACCTACAGTTGGATAGGCTTAGCTGTAGCCTTGGTGTTATGGGTTGAGATAGTTTCTGTGTGTAAAACATGGAAGCCAATTTCGAATTTCGAGTGTAACTAACCTCCCTCACTCACCTTAAAACACAACCGGGAACTCAGAACCCACCCCAACGGCCATGAATAGACACAAGAAAAAAGAATCGGCGACTATCTTCCAAAACATCCAAAACACAGTCTTTCTCATCGACATACCAACCTCTATCGCCCTCGCGCAGAACTGGACTCCAGCGCAGGGCCAAGACCCACCAGAACCAAAAGACTCTGCTGAATCAAGCACAGAATCACACCAGAAAACGAAATGTCTCATCTCATCACCACCTCTCAGGGCCCCGTACCCGTCTTCCACAGAACCCAAGACGGACGCGGCGCGCGCAAAGCTCTTGCAGCGCTTCTCCGGAGAAGAGAGGCGGTTTCATGAGGAGATTGTGCAGCCGCTTGTAAGAGACGCTCTGGATGAGATTCGGGGTGCGTTGAAGTCTTCTTCTGGGAGAGAGTGGTGTCTTCCGCGGTGTGTGCTTGATGAAAATGAAAAAGACAGCAAACGCGAAAGAGAGCCACAGAAGTGGGAGCTGTCGAAGGATTCTGGTTCTGGTTCTGGTTCCAGGAAGAGGAAACGAGGATATGGTAATTCGAGCGAACCGCCTATTGTTCTGTCGTCAAGTTCGTCCAATACATTCGAGTCAATGGCGGATCTTCAGGGGATTGTGAAGAATCCCTCATCATCAGAGTCTGCGATTCTGACTGTTGCTGGTCTTGGTTCTGGCTCGCAGACTGCTGAAGCAAGCACTTACATCGTACCGCCAACGTCAAGCTTCGTGCTCTGCACACTACCTCTTTCCGACCCAGGAATATCTACACCCATCCCAGGTCTTCCAGAGGACCACCGATTCAACCTCATGCTTCTCGATCCGCCATGGCCGAACCGGTCTGTCCGCCGCAGCGGCCACTACAATACCCACCCTTACTTCGGGATGGAAGAACTCACCCAGTGCCTGGGGGCTATCCTCAGGGCACATAGCTATGTCCACGACGATGTTTCGTGCACGAATACAGTCCCTGACCACCACCCTTCTTCTGCTGCTCAGAGCCGACAGTCTCTCGCAGCTATATGGGTGACCAACTCCGAACGATCTCGCAAAGCAGCGTACGATTCTCTGCGCAGCGCGGGGTTTCGCGTCTGTGAAGAATGGATATGGATTAAGATTACCACTGACGGACAGCCGATCTCAACACTTGATGGTCTCTGGCGCAGGCCGTATGAGACCCTGATTATTGGTCGCAAGCCTACCGGGAACGAGGTGGAGGACATAGTCAACACGACCATCACCAGACGAGTCATCGCCGCCGTGCCGGACCTTCATTCTCGCAAACCGAACCTGAAATCCATCTTCGAGGAGGTATTCTTTGCCTCTGATTCTTCCGACAGATACAATCCTATTATTGTCCCATACGCCGCGCTCGAGGTGTTCGCCCGCAACCTAACAGCCGGGTGGTGGGCATGCGGCAACGAAGCCATTAAATTCAATGCCAGCCAATGTTGGACGGACATTCCTACGCATTTCCCGAATGCGGTAAACCCGACCCTAGACTGATCGATAAGCCCGAGTCCGAATCGACAAAATGCTCGTGCGCAACCGGCAGCGTGGCCCCACCCCGGATCTTATCAAGGCTTAGTTTAGTTTACTAAGTCTGGCCCGTCTTATTACACTACGCGAGGCGGAAATGCGCCGCAGCTGACAAAAGGAGATTTTTCATCATATGCTTGGCGGTGTCGTGCAGTTTTTTTTTTAATTGTTGCACCCACGACATCATACATCGCACAGTACGTGTCCTCGAGGATTCGTTGGTCATAGTTAGCAAGTTCGGAGTTAGCCGCCTCCGCTTAGGCGAGTTCCTTTAAAGTCGGAGATTTCTCTCCCCTGACCCGAGCTGCGGAATCCATACTATCATTCGACCAACTACGGTCCAAATCTCTAAATTTTGCCATGCTCAACCATTGATCACCCCCATACCTCTCAAATCCGTCCAGATCGGACATCCCTCAAGAATGGCGACCGAGCAGCTGCCACCGCCGCAGGCGGCGGTCAATCTTATCGATCAAGAGAAAGGTCCAGAAGTGGTTTTGGCCGCCGAAGATCTTCAGTCCGACTATGGGCGCCGTCCCAAGTGCTTCAACAGTACCCTCCAAGAATGTCTGTTCGTCTTGACGGCTACAATGGCCATTGGCCAACAGTCTTTCTTCCAGGGTGCCATCGTTGGTGTAACGGCGTCCATTGGCAAGGATCTGAACATGAATTCTGCGGAGATCACCTGGATTAACGCCGGTGCATCGTATGTATTCCTTTGTCTGTGCCTCACCTCCGCCGCCAGAATCGCTAACTGTCCGTCCTTACAGTCTTAGCAGCGGCGCCTTCCTGCTGACATTCGGCAAACTGGCCGATATGTTCGGCCGCAAATCACTCTTCATCTTTGGGATGGCGGGTTTCACCATTGCCCTGCTGGTCGCCGGATTCGCCTCAAATGCAATCTACATGGATGTCTTCTCCGGAATCCTGGGTCTATTCGCCGCGGCTGTGGTGCCGCCCGCCGTCGGTGCCCTGGGCGCCGTTTATGAGAAACCATCGAAACGCAAGAACCGTGCCTTTGCCTGCTTTAGTGCTGGGAATCCGCTCGGATTTGTGGGCGGTATGATTATCTCCGGCATTGCGTCTAACGAATACAACTGGCGCGCCTCTTTCTGGGCTCTGTCTGTTGTGTACGCCATCTTCACGGCGCTCACGCTCTGGACTGTGCCCCCGGATGGGTTCCAGAGGAAGCCGGTGAACTGGGACTCCATTAAGCGGATTGACTTGCTTGGCACGGTCCTTGTTATTATTGGGTTTGCTGCGTTTTCCAGCTCGCTCTCGTATGCCACCCCCCTCCTCCATGTTTCCCATGTCTCTCTTTGGCAGTGCTGACTATACCCATACAGATTAGCAGGCGATGCCCCCAGCGGCTGGCGAACCGGCTACGTCCTCGCCCTCTTCATTGTCGGCATTATCCTACTGGCGTGCTTTTTATACTGGCAGTCCCGCGCACGGCACCCGCTTATGCCCCTCTGGGTTTGGAAAGACCGCAACTTCTCCCTCCTCATGGCAACATTCTGTCTCGGCTTCGCTGGCTTCTCATCTGTAACCTTCTGGCTATCGCTCTACCTCCAAGAAATCAAGCACCGCACCGCGCTCGAGATCACCGTCCGCCTCCTCCCAATGGTCGTCAGCGGCGTCCTCGTCAACGTAGTTTGCGGCCTAATTCTACATCGCGTCAGCAACAAGCTACTCACGGGCATCGGTGCGCTAGCATACACAGCCTCATTCCTCATTCTGAGCTTCATGAACGCCGAAACGACTTACTGGGCATTCATCTTCCCGGCACTGGTCCTCGTCGTTGTCGGCGCTGATATCCAGTTCAACGTCACAAATATGTACGTTATGTCCTCGCTTCCGCCCTCCCAGCAGTCCATCGCGGGTGGCATATTCAACACCGTCAATAAACTCTGCAATAACTTGGGCCTGGGCATTTCGACGTCCGTCTACAACTCCGTTGCCGCCCAGATGACTGCCGAAACGCCCCGTATCCGGCCGTATCTCTCTGTCTACTGGTTTGCTGCGGCGGCGGCGGGCTTGTCTCTTTTCTTGGTACCGTTCTTGACGCTGGGCATGCAGGGTGGTGACCCTGCTTCGAAGAAGAGTGTCTCTAGTGCGGATGGGAGTGATAGTGGAGAGGCTGGGCAGGCTGAGAAGGGGACTGTTGATGAATCTGCTACGAAGGATCCTAATCCGGACCCGGTAGATCGAGATCCGAATACCGAGGCTGGGGCTGAAGCACTGGAAGGACAGGAAAGGAAATAATGGACGGTACTTCTCTCGGGTTGCTTTTCTCTATTGATTCGGCAAGTGCGTATATAGATATAGACATAAATAATGAATACACACAGTCTACATATAAACTTTTACTCTCTCGGACAAATCCATGCGCTAGTACCGACATCTCCTTTAGCTTTCACTCTGCCATTGACTCGACCCTAATCCGTTGTTAGTCCGGCTGAAGTACACACCATCTAATGGCCACTAGGGGAATGATAGCTGCTTCAAACAGATACTCCATAAAATGCAATTCTCAGGGTATATGATCAAGTTAAAAACATCATCGCTTGCGCGTTTGCTTCTTCTTTTTCTTCTTCTTCTTCTGCCCATCCCCCTTCTCGGTACTCTCCACAGCCACCCGAACAGGCCACTTCTTCAAATGCTCCCTCTCAAACGCATCCTTGTCGCGCCGATATAACGCCATCGTCGCCCTGGCGTCCTCCACACTCGAATGCGCGCCCTCTTGGATCTTCAACCCCAAAAACTCCTCCGCCAAAATCTTCAAACGCGGCGACCCACCGCCCGCAATCTTGCGGTAAGCCGCATGCTTGCTTGTGTCTCGAATATCGCGCTTGGGATGGCCCAGAAGCAGCGCATCCAGGTCGTTGCTCACGGCATGGCCTACGAGAATCCGCCCGTCCATGATCGCTGCCACGTCGCGCTGGACTTCCTCTAGCGAGCGCGCCTCGACCATGTGCTTCGGCGCAATGCCGCTGACATGTGTCCGCCAGTCGGTGACCATCTCCTTGGGCCGTACATATGAGTCGTAGATCTGGTCGCCGTTGAAATTGACGATGCTGACGCGCGCAAGCACGGAGTCGTTGTCTGGGTTAGGGCCGACGCCGACCATTTCGCAGTCCATTGCGACGTATTTTCCTAGTTCGGCGCTGGTCGAGAGTTAGTCATAAGCACTGTGGCACAGGTAGCGGTAGATAGACTCACGTCGAAGAGCGACCCTCATTGACCTTCGCTGTGCGCGATACTGGAGCCGTGGCAGAACTGCTCGCGCTGGATTTTCTCCGCGCAGGAACAGCGGCGTCGGCTGTGGCCACGGTCGTACTAGACATTGTCTTTCGCTTATTTGTTTTTGTAACTGTCCGTTCCGTTTCTGGGGCCCTGCGTTTCTTCGGCGTCCCATGTGCGGAGTCGTGGTCGGTAGCGGCCTTGCGCTTCTTGTTGGCCGGGGCTGTTGTAGTGGAGGGGCCCTTTTTCTTCAGCGTCGCCTGCAACTTCTTCCAGTTACTCGATAGGCCGGATACGTCCATTCCGGCTGAATCGATGTGCTGGGGGAGGTCAGCGCATTATGGTGTGTGTGAGTAAGTGGTGGTGAAGAGAAGGAAGAGGAAGATTGATCGGGGAAAATTTGGGGACCCACTTCTTTCTCTGTTTACGCGATAAGATAACAACACGGCACTATAACTACATACAGCCCAGCCAGAACTCCATCCATCCATCCATGAGCAGATAGATGAGACACTGGGGTACATGATGTTACGCTAGGTACTCGCCAGAGCCAAGGCTTCCGGATCATGGTAGTGGCAATCCAATTTGATTGAGAATATACACCACCATTTCATTCTTCCTGTCTTTGGATCACAACTCATGCTCTTCCGCCAATTTTCTCAACGCCCGGATTGTACCTTGAACGGAGGATATCGCGATCTTCATATGGTCTTCCCAGGCCTGCTGTGCCTCTTGTGTTTCAGGCTCTATATTAGGAAAATTCCATTGATATGTAAAAGTCAGGTACAAAACCTGGTCAGGCCCCATAGACAGGATATTTTGAATGATCGACCCGCCAGGCAGCGTGAACTGACTCTGTTGTTTAGTTAGACAATTCTTAAGCACATTGCAGGCCTTCTAAGAACTATCAGGCCAGTCCAGCGATATATGAATCCCTTACCATGACCGGCTTATGCAGTCTGCATTCTTCTCGGGACCATTTCCCTGCCATAGGAGATCCGCGGAGATTAGAAGCAACATGGGCTTCTCGCAGAATATAGCAGCCATTTTCCCGTTCCTCGATGACTCGGGAGTCATCGAAAGAGGGAATGAAGTCTTGAGGGCGTCGGGCCTTTAATTCCAAGCCTTTCCAGATTTGTTCTTGCGTTAAGGAGGGAGTGGAAGGATCAGAGCAGTTCACTGGCTCGGAATAAGCGACGTTGAGAATGACCATCCTGGTAACCTTCTTTGGACCTTAAATTCGCCACGGAGTGAGGAAATGTAAAATAAGAATGTCAAGGAAAGAAGCCCGGAAGAGACCCCGCAGTACGCCGCCCCACGAACGTAAGCTTTGTGATAGCTTCGTTTCCACATCCACTTCTTCTTCCTCCCCTCATGGGCCACCAATGCCTACTAGCAAAACAGATAGAAATACAAGTAGAACCAAAGACTCCTAGTCTATTAGATCACCTATGCTTCTAGCTAGATCATTAAAACATCCCCTTCTGAGACAGCCGGAGTAGCAAATACAACTAGGCAAGTCTCTCTCATAACCCTGGCGTCGCTAGCAAGTTTGAGAAACTGAGGAGTGGGTTTATACAGTTTATCTACTGGGATGATTTGCATGATATGCGCGATCTGGGAGGCAACAAAGAAGTTCGTGAAGATGGGCCGCTCTCGTCGGATTCGTGCACGGTTATGTGAATTAGCTCGTGCGCAGCTACTGTAGACCGAATCGATGCACCCTTCAATAGCAGTTAGATCCCTGCAGAGGACTCTATCCTACCTACCGTACATAGATCACCGTCTCTACGCGCCTCGAGATCCCTAGAGCCAATGGCGGGCGCCGCCGACTTTCCCCGTCGGGCTGCACTGCCAACGCATCAGTTGGTCCGTGTTGCATTCCACCTTACTTATGATCCCGCCAGACTGCTACTTCTTTTTTCTCAATTGCATTTACCGTGTTTTCCAGTCAAATCCAATATTCATCATCATTCATCACACGCTGTGCTATGAACGCCGAAAAAAAAGAAACAGAGAAAAAAAACCATAGAAAACACGTCGACATCGTTACATCTTGAGGCTGCGGGCCAAGTCGCTAAGAGTCTACAGGATATCAAGACGAGCAAACGCACGAATCTGCACAGAATGAATAAAAAAGAGAGAACCCATAAAAAAGAAGCGAACGGTTCATCGACTGGTGCGAGCGATTAGCCAGTGCAGGACGGCGTCGAGATTCGTTTCTTCTTTCGCGCTGATCCCGTAGCAGCTAACTTCGCGGTGGGTGATGGATTTCAGGTCCATCGCCTCGATCAGCTCGTCGACGGAGAGCTTAGTTGGCAGATCCGACTTATTGCCGAGGACGAGGAGTGGGATGCCGTCCAATGTCGGCTTGTTCATTAGGTCGTGCAGCTCCTCTGTGGCGACTGGGAGAGCGGGCCGATCTGCTGCATCCACGATATACCTGGACCGGGTTGTCAGATATTGCTTATTCATGTTCTCTACTAGGGCTTTACACGATCGCATTCACGCCCTGACAATACCGCTCCCACATCGGCCGAAATCGAGGCTGGCCGCCCAGATCCCAACTGCGAAGAGTATCAGCGATATCCTGCGATCTGTCGATGGATTACTTACCATTTCAATGTGACATGGCCTTTTTGGACACACTTGGTGTTAAAGCCGATTGTCGGGATGGAGCTGTTGGTCCGGTTAATCAGAGTCGAGCCCAGTCTTAGCCCACTTACTCGATCGTGAACTCCCCGCCCTGCGCAACGCAAATCAGCCAAAATGGACTACACAGAAAGAAAATAGAACACTACGTACCGCCAGGACCCGCAGCAACGAGGACTTGCCGGCGTTTTGCAAGCCGATCATGGTGACGTCCATCTCGGTGGCCCTAGTTCGCAGGCTCTCGTTAGCCAGCTTCAACTCGCTGCGGGGAAGCGGACCGGGGGTGGGTTGGTAGTGCTTCGGGAACCAAATCCAACGCGGGAACGGGCAGGCCCACACTTACCAGAACATCCTCAGAAGCCAGTCATAGATGGTGCGAAAGATCCCGGCCATGGTCAATAAACCAGGCCGATTTTACGGGGAGGGAGTTGGTTGTTGGCTCAGGAGTGGGGAGACCACAAAAAGGAACGGACCCAAAAGAAAGAAGAAAAAAACAAATGGCGAAACAAAAGCAAAAAAGCAAGAGATGAACGAAGTTGGCTGCCCGCAGCGGAAGGTGAGAGACGTGATGTGATGATAGTTAGAAATCAAAGGAAGAAGCGAGGGAGACAAGAACAAGACCAGACGGTGACGAAGTGGCCCAGAGGATGACACCAAGTGGGGTCAGCGTCCGTCTAAGTAATAATAAGAACAGAGACCAAATAATCGAGGAAATTAACCGTCGTACTAGTTAGGAGCACCCTGATCTACAGTGCACGACGCATGACCCACGAGAGAGGGGAGCGCTTCGCAGGGTTCGACCAGTAGTGGCGGAGTAACTAGAGCTGGCGGAGTCAGGCGTTTCGCGGAGCGCGAGGGGGTTGGGTTGAATCCCGTCGCGCGCGAGAGTGGGCGCAGCGGTTGCCTGGAAATGACTCAGGGCACTGGATGTTTCGATGGCATGGAATCAATAATCATGTCTGGCCGGGGCAGGCATCAAGAGCCTCTCAGGATGGATGACGGGATCATGGGTGCCTGAGGCATGGATCTATCTCCACGTGATGATAGCGACCTCGGCTCCACCTTGAAATTTTTCCTCCAAGAAGATCCGAGCATTGCTCACGCAATTGGGATATACACCACACCCTCCACGACAGCTCCTTCGCTGCTCGTGTGATAAACCCCGCCGCCATGGCTCCTGCTGCGACCGACACCCAGTGGTCGGTCGACTACGACACTCTGCGCCGCGAGAATCTCTTCCGCAATCCGCCCACAGACCAGACCGCCTACCCATCACTGGCCGAATCGATTCGACCGCACGTCGATTCGTTCAATGCCCTCTTTGAAGACAGCAAGATCCTCGAGGCGGGTCTGCGGGACATTGGCACCAAGAGTTTTCTCGACGGAGATGCCGAGACGGCTGAGCAAAAGAAGGCCCGGCAAGCGGAAGGCCGCCGACCTCCCAAACGCAACCGCCTGAATGTGCGCGTGCGAGAGATCTTCCTGGATAAACCCACCATCCCGCCAACCAACAAGTTCTCCACCCGCAACCGTAACATCTACCCCTCGGAAACGCGCGAGCGCCATGCGACCTACCGTGGCAAGCTGCGTGCCCGTCTCGAGTATCAGATCAACAATGGGGACTGGATGGAGTCGGTGCGTGAGCTGGGCCAGGTTCCGATTATGCTGAGAGTGAGTGAAACGGTAAATCATCTTGGGGACTAGCTTCTTACCAGTACAATTTTTAGACCAACCGATGCCATCTCGAAAAAGCAACCCCGGAAGAGCTCGTTCGGCACAAGGAGGAGTCCGAAGAGCTGGGCGGCTACTTCATCGTCAACGGTAACGAGAAGTTGATCCGGATGCTGATTGTCGGCAAGCGAAATTTCCCCATGTCGATCGTCCGTAACTCGTTCGTCAAGCGTGGACACTCCTACACCAAATTCGGCGTGCAGATCCGTTCTGTCCGTCCGGACCAGACGTCCCAGACCAATGTTCTGCATTACCTCAACGATGGAAACGTCACCTTCCGTTTCTCCTGGCGCAAAAACGAATTCCTTGTTCCCGCCATGATGATCCTCAAGGCACTGGTCGAGACGAACGATCGTGAAATCTACGAGGGTATTGTTGGCAATGCTTCCTCCAAGGGCTCGAAGAACACCTTCGTCACAGACCGTGTGGAGCTCTTGCTGAGAACCTACCACGCCTACAAGCTCCATACCAAGTCGGACTGCCGGGCGTACCTGGGTGAACGTTTCCGCCCTGTGCTGGGTGTGCCAGCTGACATGCCTGCGGAGGAAGTGGGTGCTGAATTTCTGCGCAAGATCGTCCTGCCGCACCTTGGCAACTACAATGTGACGGAGACTCAAGACTACGACAAGTTCAAGATGATCCTGTTCATGATCCGGAAGCTTTACGCCCTGGTTTCTGGTGACTGCGCTCCGGACAACCCCGATGCGGTTTCTAACCAGGAGGTTCTGCTCGGTGGGTTTTTGTATGGCATGATCTTGAAAGAGCGAATTGAGGAGTGGCTTCGGTCCTTTGGGCCCATCACCCGGGACTGGTGTATTCGGAACAGCGGTGCCAAGTTCACCGATTCGTCGTTCGAACGGGACTTCTTGGCCAAGATTGTCAAACGGTCCAACGAGAACTTGGGCAATGCCCTCGAATATTTCCTGTCTACCGGAAACCTCGTCAGTCCCACTGGTCTTGATCTACAACAGACGTCGGGTTACACGGTTATTGCAGAGAAAATCAACTTCTACCGGTTTATCAGTCACTTCCGCATGATTCACCGTGGTAGCTTCTTCGCGCAGTTGAAGACCACCACCGTCCGCAAACTGCTTCCCGAGAGTTGGGGTTTCCTGTGCCCCGTCCACACCCCTGATGGATCTCCTTGTGGTCTACTAAATCACCTGGCGCACAAGTGTCTGATCTCCACCGGAAATCTGGATGTCTCGCACCTGCCTCGGATTCTGGTTCAACTCGGCGTCCAGTCCGAGTCCTCCGTGGCCCTCGATGAAAGCGTGTCGGTGCAATTGGACGGCCGAATTATCGGCTTCTGTTCTCCGAAGCAGGCTCAGCAGATCGCAGACACCCTCCGCCACTGGAAGGTTGCAGGAACCAACAACATTCCGCGTGAACTGGAGATTGGATATGTCCCCAACTCCAACGGTGGCCAGTATCCCGGTATCTACATGTTCTCCGAAGCGGCTCGCATGCTCCGTCCTGTCAAGTACTTGCCATTGGAGAAGCTGGACTTTGTCGGTCCGTTCGAGCAGCCTTTCATGGATATCGCCTGTGTGCAGTCCGACCTGATCCCGGGCCTGTCGACACATATCGAGTTCACACCGACCAATATTCTCTCCATCGTGGCCAACATGACGCCCTTCTCCGATTACAACCAGTCGCCCCGTAACATGTACCAGTGCCAGATGAGCAAGCAAACGATGGGTACCCCCGGCACATCGATCGCGTACCGTACGGATAACAAGATGTACCGTCTGCAAACCGGTCAGACCCCAATTGTGCGCCCGCCCCTCTACAATGACTACGGTCTGGACAACTTCCCCAACGGAATGAACGCAGTGGTGGCCATCATCTCCTACACGGGCTACGACATGGACGACGCCATGATCATTAACAAGTCCGCGCACGAGCGCGGTTTCGGATACGGCACCGTGTATAAAACCAAGACGCATTCACTCGCCGAAAAGGATTCGCGAAAGAGCCGGTCCAAGCGCGAGATCACCAAGCTGTTTGGCTTCGCGCCAGGCGACCTGATCAAGGATGATGTGCGCCAAACAATTGATGAGGACGGCCTGCCGCACGTGGGCACTCGAGTGAAAGAGGGCAGCAAGATTGCCGCATGGCACAGCGTCCGCTACGACGCCGCGTCGGACTCGTACATCAATGTCGACGGGATCACGCATTTCCTCAAGTACAAAGATGCCGAGGAGGGCTATATCGACAGCATCCGTGTGCTGGGCTCTGAGAACGGCAACGAGCCCTGCCAGTCCATTAGCGTCAAGTATCGCATTCCTCGCAAGCCGATCATCGGTGACAAGTTCTCGTCGCGTCACGGTCAGAAGGGTGTCTGCTCGCAGCTGTGGCCTGCTGTCGATATGCCATTCTCCGAGAGTGGCATTCAGCCAGATCTGATCATCAACCCCCACGCTTTCCCATCTCGTACGTCTTCCCTCTCCCCACCCATGATTAATCCACAACCAGCTTCTAACGGAATTTACCAGGTATGACAATCGCCCAAATGATCGAATCGATGGCCGGCAAAGCCGGCGCTCTGCACGGCCACCCACAAGACTCAACGCCCTTCCAATTCTCCGAAGAAGACACCGCAACCGACTTCTTCGGCCACCAGCTCCGCAAAGCGGGCTACAACTACTACGGCAACGAGCCCCTATACTCGGGCATCACAGGCCGCGAGTTCGCCGCGGACATCTACCTCGGCGTAGTGTACTACCAACGTCTACGTCACATGGTGAACGACAAGTTCCAAGTGCGCACAACGGGTCCCGTCAACGCACTCACGGGCCAACCGGTGAAAGGCCGTGCCAAGGGCGGCGGTATCCGTGTCGGAGAAATGGAGCGCGACTCGCTAATCGCCCACGGCGCGGCTTTCCTCCTCCAAGACCGATTGATGAACTGCTCAGACTCCCAACTTGCATGGATCTGTCGCTCCTGCGGCTCGTTCCTCTCTACCCAGGTTGCTGTCTCGGGCTCCGGCTCGTCACGCGCTCGCGCGGCTGTTAACCCCGGCGCGGCGGCCGCGGCTGCGAAGGTGGCCCCGAATCAGAATACGGTCGCGCAGCAAGCCTCGGGTGGCGGTGCCGGCGGTGCGCTTGGTGGAGTAGCGGGGATTGTTCGCTGTCGTCGCTGCGCGCGCCGCGCGCTGTTTGATGATTCTCGTGCGGAGGTGTGGGAGGACGGTGATGGGTTACGTTATGTGGGCGGTGCTGATGTTACGGTTGTTGCTGTGCCGGGTGTGCTGCGGTACTTGGATGTGGAGTTGGCAGCGATGGGTATTCGGATGAAGTTTTGGGTTGATCATTGATTGATACTAATATCCTCGTGCTGAAAATGTGGAGGACGGGGAGGAGGAAGAGGACCAAAAAGTGGTTGGATTCATGTCATAGATGGCGCAGAGGCTTTTTGTTGTGCTTTTGTACTTTTCATATCCATTTTCTTGTGGCGTATATAGCTTGCAATGCAATGCATTCACAAACTCAGGCCCTTGGCGAGTAAGAGACCGTTCTCCTCCTGGAAAAGCCACTTGAGGGAATGTTCTCTCTATCTGGTTAGGCTCTTGTATATGAACTTGAGTTAGAGCCAGAGAGAATATAATAATACACCTACAGCTTACTTCAACCACAAGGTCTTAAGAGAACCATTCCATTCAATCCTATTCCATCCCCCATAATCCAAACAGATCAAATAATACAAAGCCCGTCCCCTCCTAACCTAGCCACATCTAATCTTCTCACCAAACCACAACCCAACCCGAGCTTACAGCTGCGAGGTAACATTCGAGAACTCACCATGATCCAGCTTCGTCTTCCAGAAGATAGGATTCATATCATCGAAGCCATGGTGCACCCAACCCTCTTCCTTGACATGATAGCAATTGATAAAGCCTCCGGAGTAAGCGTCGCGATGCATAGCGGCCAGGATGGCCCGACGGCCGAGATCCAGCGCCTCCTTCTCCGACAGATCGTAGCGGTAGTTTGCGTCCAGCACGCCGTAGGCGAATGTTTGGCCGGACCCCACGCAGAACATGTTTCCTGGTAGGCGCGTGCCGTCCGAGTCGATATAGTACAAAGCTGGGCCTTCTTGCGGGGTCATCTTTATGAATTTTGAGTTAGTCATTTTTACTTGAAGGAGGGAGGGAATTGATAGGTGTGGCCATACCCCTGCCAGCATCGTTCCCATGCTCAATCCGTACCCCTTGTACGCGTAGGTCAAGTTGGCGAGGATCTTCGAAGCAGCCGCAACAGTGATGCGGCGCTTGTGTCGGATTTCTGGGAGTCTGTATCAGCAATCAAATTCCACAATGGCAGCCCATTTAACAAACATACCGTGGAGAGTACACTGCTGGCTCAAATATCTCAACCAGTATTGGCAATCCTAATTTTTCGGGGCCTTCTGTCAGCAACCAACTTCCCATATCGCCCACAAACACAACACAATAACTCACCGCCGCACCACCGGCCATGGTACCCAGCAGACCAGGTGTGGGCTTGTCCGACGCTTTGTCCTCGCCCCGGCTCAACCGCGACACGGGAATGACCTTCTTGACCGTCTGGCTGGCAATCCAGCTGCCGGCCGTTGCTCGGGAGTCAGTGCACACAATCTGGGAGATGGCATTAGCATGTGCCCGTGGATATAAAGGATACAGCAGTAGAAAGAGAGAGGAGGTAGCGTACAATGCCGCCCTGGAAGCGGAAGGCCAGGGTTGTTGTTCCGTGAGCGAGCTTGATGGGGCAGCTGGGGTTGGAGTGGTCGTCGGTCATGGCGCGCAGGAAGGCAGAGTGCTAATACGAAAAGAATATCAGTACGCGGTTCGTTCAAGTTCATCAATGGGTTGCTGTCTCTCATTGTGGAATTCTTTTAGTCGGCAGGATGATTGGGGAGAGAGGGCGTAGCGGCTCGACTGGACGTCAAATTGGCGACGATGATGACTCCAACCGAATCAAGCCCATCCAGACCCAAAGACTGCTGTCTCCAACGACAGGGAAACTCACATTATCGACGGGAGGTAGGCTGAACTTGAGAGAGAGCGGGGGGAGGCTCTCGGTGAGATCGAGCTGCTCTTGCTCCGAGTAGAACTCATTCTGGTGGCGCGGGCGCGAGTACTGCGCGACTAGCTTGTCCATGGCTGTGTGTGGAGGATGGGATGACAGGGACCGATGAGGGTGAGGAAGAGAAGGAGGATGAATGAAGAGGTGGTGGAGGGATTGGGGGATGGGAGCTTCGACGGAGCTTGGGAGGTTCCGCGTCACTTTGGCGCCTGAGATCACGTGGTGCTGACTTACAGAGAACACACGGACTCAACTGTACAAAAACAACAATTTAATGACTGCACATACAGTACACATATTAAAACAGAACCCATTCCCAATCCCAGCCTGCCAAAGCTCTTGGTTACCAGTCCCATCACACCCAGTCTCCAATCCCGAGAAACAAAACACAAGACAGTGCAACACTACTAACAGTGAAGACATATAGAAAGGCAATTAGAGGAGGAATATTTAGGCAGGAATCGGCTCAGGATTGAGTGCACCGGACCCCGATGCTTCCGCTCTCTTCGCAGTCTTGGTAGAGGTTTCGGCGAAGGAAACGCCCTCCACGTCGCCCGAGCCAGTGGTCAAGCCATCGGAGTCGCGGTCCTGCAAGCCCTCCGCGCCAGTCGCGGTGGCAATGGGCTCCACGGACGGCTGCCACGCACGCATGTCATTCTCGGCATCATCCAGAACCTTGCGCGCGGCGAGCTCGTGCTCATACGCCTGCCGGGAGTCACCGGGCACGACGGGGCTGTCATCGATGAAGTTCAGCAGGCGGCGGGCATGCCGGGCGAGGATCGTCTGCTTCTCGGCGCGCTCGATCACCGCCGCCAGGTGGATGTCAAAGGCTTCCTTGAGCTTTTGGCGGGACTACACCGGGTGATTAGCAAGGGGCAATGCCGGAACTGTGCGATATTAATACGTACAATATTGGACAACTGCGCCTCAGCAACCAAGTTCTGCGCCTCGGCGCGCACAAGCTCGTGCTCCAGCGTCACAAGCCGGGTACTGGTGGGATCCTTGTACTTGAGCTTGGCGATCTCATCGGTGACCTTCTGGCGCTGGTCGCGGGAGGGCTGGACCGAGCTTTCCATATTACGGATCTGCTTCAGGACGCCGCGGTAGTCTTCCAGGTTGGCGGCGAAGACGTCTTCCTGCTCGCCCATCTCAGCCATCATGACGCCCAGTTTGTCGGAGATGTCGGAGATGGCGTCGTCATCGGTCGCCTCGCCCCAGTCGGACAGCTGTGCGGCGATGGAGGTGCGCTCGCGGCCCGCGGCCTCGTAGGCGCCGATGGCGGTGTTCTCGCTCTTCACCAGCCGGCCCATCTTGCGGCTTAGCTCGGGCGCCATGTTGCCCCGCAGCGTAGAGATGTTGAACCGGGGACGGCCATGGCCTTGGTCGCGTCGCGATCGGATGGAGAGTGCGCGGTTCCTTCGGTACAGTTAGTTCTTATTATTATGATGATGATGATGTTAGCAGTACGTACATGGTGGTCGTTTTTCTGCGTAGGGATGTGAGAGGTGCGATGGGAAGTAAAGTAAAAAGCACCTTCCCCAGCAAATTAATGAATGATGGGCAATGACATGTAGAGGAAGTGTCTCTCCGGTGGCTCGTGCGTTGACGTCATGAACGATCGTTGAGATCATGGCCTACGATTGACCGTTTGCGGAGAGGCCGGTGGAGAACTACGCCCATCATCCATCTTTAATCCTAGTGATAGGCAGGTATTTTTATCCTCTAGTCAGTACTTTTACCCGTTCACTTCCGATCATATTGAGTTTTCAATTCTATCCCTCATATCCTAGGTTTCCGGAAGTAAGTTACAAATTTTTTGAAAGATATTAGTTCATAATTTGATCTTTTATTCACCGAGTACATGGATTTGAGTCATTAAATTATTGAGGATGGAGAGCGTGCCTATAATGGGTGAATCACACATACATCGCGGTCGACTGTGAGGGAGGCTCCGAAACCGCCAAAGTGAAAGTAACACAACTTGAGGGATGTTTCACAGCAGCCAACAATTTCAGGGATGGAAGCAGTTCTATAAAGTCACAGTGACAGGTTTTCTGAATTGTGAGAATCTTTGTAAAAGTCTTGCGCAGCGTTGAGCCTATGTACTCAGTGGTCTATAAAAGTATATATCGAATTCAAGCCAGTTGTATATCGGATCAAAGCTGTCGTTCTAAAGCAGGAGGAAGCCCGACCCCGAGTGAACCCAGTCTTTGAAGCTAAATGATATTTGAACGTGCCAAGGCAAGAGCCACACATGTTCCGGCCTTATAGTACATATCAACCGCGATGAAATGCCACACAACCCATATAAACCCCCAGATAGAAGAAAACACAATACACAACACCAGAGAGCAAACTGCATGGCCCGCAGTGCTGCTAATCGCAGAATAAATCAACCCCAAAAAAGCGCCTCATCCATAGCAGCCGTACCTCAACCCATCTAGGACATTTCATCCGCGTCGGGATTGTGCGAGTGCTCATTGTCCGAGGCGTGGAATGCATCCCCAAACGCTGAGTTATCCAGGTCGGGAAGGTCAAGACTATCATTCTGCTCGCTGTATGCGGCGAGCGCATCGCCGGCACTGTCGATGTTGGTGAAGTCGAAGCCCCCGCCGTCCAGACCCGAGTCTCCCGCTGCATGACCTTGGTCTTTATGTTCGTCGTTGACCATCACCCAATCGCCTGCGTCGCCGCCACTGCCCGGAAGCTGGCCGCCGCCTAGATCCATGTCCACATCGCCAGAGATGTCGGCGTCCGTTGCGGCAAACTGGTCGAGCAGGTGAGAATCAGCTTGGTCCATGAGCATGTCGCTGGCCATGGCATCGTCGTCGTCCTTGTGTTCAGGCTCGATCTTCTCTAGCAATCCACCTTTCTCGACGCAGGAGATCTTGGGTTCGGATATGATCTGTTTCTTGTAGGCGCTCTCGACATCCCGGACCACGTCGTCGACCTTGTATTTGGCCTTCTCTTCTATGTACTCCATCTGCGGAGCGTCTTCCTCGTTGGGTACCACGATACGCCCCTCAAGTCTCCAGACCTCCGCACCTGTCTCGGCCGGATCAGCAGCGGATTCCCGGAGGCGCAATTCGGCCTCCTTGAAGACGGAAGTTTGGTTGAAGCGTTCCATCCGGAGTGCGTGCTGCTTCTTGAGCTTTTCGATCTCCGTGGTCATGTCGGCCACCTTCTTGGCCACGCGATCCGCAAATTCCTCGGCTTTGGCCGGTTCCATCTTAGTTGCCTGCGGTGCGTCACCCGCCTCCTGACCGTCTCCAGTGGAAGTGCCCACGGGGGCATCGAAGAAGCCTGCTGTCAACGACTCCAGCTCTCCTTTCCGACCCAGGCCTAGGGAAACGGGTGTGATCTGCGTGATGGCGTAGGGTGACGAGAATATTTCCTCCATCCACTCGTGATGCTGTTGATACCGCATCTTACTCACTTCGCGTGGCGTCAACAGATCCATCATGTCGCCGGTGGACACATCCTCGTCCTCCATGGCAAAGTCGGCGGTCGCAGCATTCATAGCTGCAGAAGAAGCGCGATGCCCGCGCGGGCCTTTAGCTGCAGTGACACCTGGTCCGACCGCCCCAGGATGCCCGGGCTGTGGGAAGAAGCCTGGCCGTCCAGGAGCAGCATTAGGGTAGCCTGCTTGTGGCTGCGTGAAGCCTTGGGGCGCCATTTGTGGAGGGAAATTGATAGTTGGCCAGTTGTTGCGGTCGTGAAGCATGAAATCCTTGCGGGCAAGTTGGCCCTGGCTTTGGAGGAAGCGTCGCTGGGCCATCATCCCCTGGACTTGTGGCGAGACTGGAATCCGGTTTGCGGGGACATGGTCGTTGGCAGGTGCCCGTGAGTAGTGAACAATCCACAATGATGGGTCCGGCGGAGGCGCGTTGTTGTTGGGGACTTTGGAGGACAGAATACGATAGCGCTTGCGGCAGTGAGCTGCCACGGACTCGTTCGGAGGATGGTATCCGCTGCGGTGAAGGAACATTTCCACAGTCTATAAACATCTCATGTTAGATACTCATCCCCAGTTTGATCGGGGCTAGCGTTGCGTACATAACCGCGGGCTTCAAAGGTGAAGGCTTGCTCGGCATCAGCCCAGACATAGCCGTCGCTGGCGAAGTTGTTGCCAAGATGGGCGAGAGGTTGCCAGGTGAGCATGACGGTACCATCGGCAGGGCCATCCAAGAAGGTCCAATGCATGGGCTGTGATTGACAGACCCGGGGCGCGCTAGTCAGGTACTCCACGGCGGTCTCGGTGGGCATCATATGCATACTGGGAAAGCGGTTACGCGAGACCAGATGCATATGTGGGAGCTGTAATCATGGCGACGGGGTCAGTGAGATCTCCGCGATGTGTCCGATGGTGGTGGTCTTACCAGCTGTCCCGGGATACGAGTCGCCGGGTCGTCCATGGTGGCCAATCCCGTCTGTGGGAGAGGAAATTCAGACAATGGAGTCGCAAAGTCCAGATAGATGACACCAAAGGGTTAGCGAAGATACATCCGATGGAAGGAGGGTGGATCAAGAGTCAACTGGGGAGCTCCTGGCAACGCGACGCGGGAATTTTCGATGGGGGAGCGATGCGCTCCGGGAAGCAGGAGAGACCAGGACTGCAGGACACCTCAGGCATCAATTTCATTCCTCACTCCCAGCATCCACAGCAGCGGGGATTCTATGCTTTTCCTTCGTTCAACCGACACGCTGGACGACGCCTGGCTGCGATCGATCGCAGCGATTATATGTCCAAAATGTCATAGGTAGTCTGATGGATATTTCCTCAGTATAACTAGTTGCGCAACAATAACTAATAGTTCACCAGCCTATCAAACAACCGAGGCCGGTGCCGGCTCCCGGGCCTCTCCCGGGCCTCTTCCGTGGCGCCTACTGTGGGGAACGCATGCGATGACTCCAAAAAGTTGGCTGAAGCTTGCTCCACTCAAGCTCTTCCGCCATTACTCGTTCTCCGGCCTCGATTACCCAGTCCGGGGATGGACCCTAGTCCATTATTTCCAGGTCCCACCGCCAATCGCCGAGCGGCACAATGAATAATGAATGGTCTTGCTCCATCTTTGCGGCCGCCGACATTATTATTCGCCGTGCGCTGCGGACTATTCACGCTAGTTTACCCCGACTCGCTTTTCTTTATTTTCGCTTCCCCCACACGTATAAGTCGGGGTTCTCCCCCTCCCGCCCACAGATCGTATTCATTCCTAGCCGAAATTTATACTCTCTTCCCTTTTCACTCGATACGCCATGGGGTTCTTTGGCAAGTCTGAGCCGTCTGACGACGCAATCCAGAGAGCTCCCGCCGACCAGGATGTCGAGAAGCGAGTCCCCTCCCATGAGGAGGCCGGCCCGAAGCAGCCCTCCGCGGCGATCCCAGCCATCGATCCGGAGGTGGAACGCCGTGTGCTGCGGAAGCTGGATTTGCGCGTCCCGACAATCATGGCCTTTTTCTGTATGATCAACAACCATACCGAAAAACGATCCGTGTTTAACATCTCTTGGAATTTTTAGATCTACTTGCTTTCCTCGACCGAAGCAACGTCGGGTTCGTGTGTCTGCTCCACATAGTGATGGGAGTACTAACCGCTCGGCAGCAATGCAAAAATTGCGGGAATGACGACCGATCTGTCCCTGACGGGAAATCGGTACCCATGGCTCCTGACCATCTTCTACATCTCCTACACTATCTTTGAATTCCAGGCACTCATGTGGAAGATCATGAAACCGCACCAATGGGCGACCATCGTGGTGTTCGGATGGTATGCTCCCCACGTGCCCGCCCCCCGGAAGCGGAAATGTGCAGGACTATCGCTGACACGGTTGGACATGGAATTAGGGGTTTGGTTGCAACGTGCCAAGCGGCAACGGTGAATTGGCAGGGGATGATGGCACTCCGGTTTTTAATGGGTGCATTCGAGGCCGGGTTTGGGCCCGGTGTGCCATACTTGCTGTCGTTCTTCTACAAGCGCCACGAGCTCGGTCTCCGATGCGGCCTGTTTTTGTCCGCCGCGCCACTGGCGAATACTTTCGCAGGAGCGCTGGCCTACGGTATCACTTCTGGGTATCCTGCATTGGCGAAATGGCGGGTGCTGTTCCTGGTGGAGGGGCTTCCCGTTTGCGCCGCGGCCATTCTGGCTTGGTTCTTCGTGCCGGACAGCCCTGCGACAGCCAAGTTCCTCACCGAGGAGGAGAAGCAAGTCGCCCGTGCCCGCGCGCTTCAGAAGACGGGTGAAAGCGAAGAGGAGGGCAAGGTGCAGTGGAAAGAGCTGCTAGAGACCCTTGCGGATCCCAAAGCATGGTTCACCGCGGTAAGTGTTTTCAATCATCGCTATATCACCCACCACGACCACTGATATCTCCTCTGTATAGCTGATGTACTTTAGCTGCAATGTCAGCTTTTCATCTCTGCCTGTGTTCCTGCCGACTATCCTCAACCAAATGGGCTTCACAGCCATTGACGCGCAGGGTCTCACCGCGCCGCCGTTCTTCGCCTCGTTCCTCGTGACGATCGGGACCACCTGGGTGGCGGATCGGATCCAGCAGCGTGGACTCGTGATCGCAACCCTCTCCGCGATGGGTGGTGTGGGGTATGTGCTGCTTGCCGCCTGCAGTTCCGTGGGCGTGCGGTACTTTGGGGTGTTTTTGGCGGCATGTGGAATCTTCCCGGCGATCGCAAATATCCTGCCGTGGGTTACGAGTGAGACACCATCCTCTTCTTTCGTTGAATCTAGGGTGGTTTGGTCCTGACTGACTGGCTTGTAGACAACCAAGGCTCCGATACTCGCCGTGGAGGAGGCATCATCCTGCTCAATGTCATTGGGCAATGCGGCCCCTTCCTGGGCACCAATATCTTCCCCGATGATGAAGGCCCGCGCTATTTCAAGGGCATGTGGATCTGCGCCGCGTTCATGTTCTTCACCAGCTTGCTCGCTCTGTCGCTTCGCACTCTGCTCGTGTGGGAGAACCGCAAGCTCGACAAGAAGTACGGGCCCCGCGTCGAGGCTGACCCGACCAAGGAGGCCGAGATTCCTGTGGGGGTGGAGAATTACGGCGCCGACTATCGGTTTGTGCTGTAAATATTTATTTGTGCTTCGATCTATACCCTTGTCTGCTTGGATTTCATGAAGTGATGATGGGTTATGATGTCAGAGCTAGTATTGGTTGGTACACAATCATGAACATTGTCGCGGCGATGGATCCGGTCCCATTGGTCGTAGACTCTTGTAATCCTCCAATTGTTGGTCTCGCACCCTTTCGTGGTCCACATCTCACCCTTCGCAGCTCACCGAAGACCGGAGAGAGTCGGAGTCGATGATCAATAATACTGAGGTGGGGGACACATAATTCGTATTTAGGGTTGCTCTGCCCCTCTTTCCATTCTGTTTTCCCTCATCCCACTACTTTCCATCTGAATCTACCAACACAAGTAATTATGGCTCCTAACTTGCTCGATCCGAGCTGACCATTATTCCCAGACCCAAAACAAGTACATCTTGCCCCCCTTCCCCTTCCTCCGAAGGACAGGAAGAAGCCATGATGGAACCTCTTTGGCTGGGCATATTATCTCTCAGGGATCAAGGTACTACCTATCTCAGGTAACGTCTGGGCGTGGGCCGGTGTTCGTTCCCGTCTGATTGTTTGTTTCTGACAACACATAACGATGGGTTCGTTCTGAGAATATACGGTCAAAACTTGATCTGGATAATACCAGCGAAAGGATCATGCCTTCCCCTTCTCCTCTTTCCCCTTGTAGCAATGCAGACTAACATAGGTAACAAGTTCCCATAACTTGACTTGATCCCTTGATCATCTTTTTACGGTCAAAATGTCTCCCCCTGCTGCACTCTTCGAGCCTACCACCGCCGCTCCCACCGGCGTCAAGGGCAAGGTCATCGTCCCCGAGACCGTGACCACCACCCTGACCGGCCAGGACCAGAGCAAGCTCCTGGAGCAGTTCGGCGGTAAATGGGACGAGTTCAAGTTCGCCCCAATCCGCGAGAGCCAGGTCTCGCGCGCCATGACCCGGCGCTACTTCCAGGACCTGGATACCTACGCCGAGAGCGATGTTGTCATCGTCGGCGCCGGGTCCTGCGGTCTCAGCACGGCGTACGTGCTCGCTAAGGCGCGGCCGGATCTGAAGATTGCCATTCTGGAGGCCTCGGTCTCGCCTGGTTAGTCCTTGTTTCCTTGTATATATTTCAAGATTGCTCGAGTTCTAACAAGAACACAAAGGTGGCGGTGCCTGGCTAGGCGGCCAGCTCTTCTCGGCCATGGTCCTCCGCCGACCAGCCGACGCCTTCCTAACCGAACTAGGTGTCCCCTTCGAAGAGGAGCCCTCGAACCCGAACTTCGTGGTCGTCAAGCACGCGGCCCTGTTCACCTCGACGCTCCTGTCGAAGGTGCTGTCCTTCCCGAACGTCAAGCTCTTCAACGCCACCTGCGTCGAGGACCTGATCACGCGACCGGACGTCGATGGCTCCATCCGTCTGGCCGGTGTGGTCGTCAACTGGACGCTCGTCACCTTGCACCACGACGACCACTCGTGCATGGATCCCAACACCATCAACGCGCCGATCATCATCAGCACCACGGGCCATGATGGCCCCTTTGGCGCTTTCTGTGCGAAGCGTCTTGTCTCCATGAGCGCCATTGAGAAGCTTGGCGGTATGCGTGGTCTGGATATGAATGCTGCTGAGGATGCTATTGTCAAGAACACCCGTGAGGTCGCCAAGGGTCTTATTATTGGCGGCATGGAGCTGTCGGAGATTGATGGCTTTAACCGCATGGGTCCGACTTTCGGGGCTATGGCTATGAGTGGTGTCAAGGCTGCTGAGGAGGCTTTGCGTGTCTTTGAGACGCGCAAGCGCGAGTGTGCTGAGTAGGTGTTCCAAGATATCATCGGTTGCTATCGTTGTGTCTTACTGGCCTGTTTCACTCCTTACCACTCGATGGCTGCTTGGACTGGAACTTTTCGGCTTAGTTAGTCTCTGAAAAAATCACCCACGCTCATTTAAACTGGCCATCCATCTCAAGAAAGAAGAAAGTAGACTCAACATTATTGATAAATTGTCCAGCGCTACACGACTATAACTATACTACATTCTCTGCTCCATACACCCTAGCAAAGACCCGCCATCATTCAGCCTTGTGTCCCTCGGTCTCACCAGAAAGACGACCAGCGCCTGCACCAGCCTCAGCTTCCATAACCAATCTCTTCGCATTAGCGACCTCCCACTCAAATTCTTTAAGAGCACGTATCTCACTCGACACAAACAGCCCCCCAATCAAGCCGTCGAGAATGCCCGCGCCAAAATTCAGCGTGCTCACCAACACCAACACGAATCCGATGTACGTGCGGCTGCCGACCCACCATACACCGACCATGCATCCGATGGAAACCACGATGGATACCAGGAAGTGCGCGAGACGCCAGCGGCGCTGGCTGCGTTCGCGACGCACATAAACGTGGATCATCTGTGTGATAAGGTCATATGTTTCTGGAGTTAGGGCGGCGTTTGGTGCAAGGGAGATAGACTTTGTTTTGTGGAGAGGTGGCGAAGATGGTTCGGAGGGGGGTATGACTGTGGTAGAGATGGAGGTTTGGTCGATGGAGAGCGAGTGATGACGGCCTCGACGGCGAAGTGGTCGCTCAGCGAGCAGCGGAGCGTGGGATGGCGCTCCGTCATGGCCAGACGAGCAGACTCGACCGACCAGCGCGGGGGCGGAAACTCGGGAGCGTAGCCACCGTCACCAACAAAGATATAGTCTAGTCGTTTGGCGCGCGGGTCAGGAGAATCTTTATCAATGGTGATGTCCTCCCCTTTGTCGAGTTGCTTGCGCATGGCCTTGGACCAACGCCAGGTATTAAAGGCTCCATCGCAGGTTGCGCCGTTCTCGAGCATATTAAACTCGGCCGATGGGATAGGCCGATTGCGGGCCTTCTCGACAGCGTCAATGGCCGCGCCGACGGACGAGTCTGGGTGCAGCTCGCGCCAGACGTCGCGGACGGGGCTCTGGGCGGTGATGAGCCGGTGGGCAAAGGAAGACGGCAGCATGTTGAAGTCGCCCAGGCCAATCACCAGGTGCCCACGTTCAGCGGCGCCACGCATCAGCTTGGAGATCTCCCAGGCCTGCGCCGTACGGTGGCACAGGTACGAGTCGTTGGGCTCGCGCTCATAGGGGGCATGTAGATGCGTGGTGAATACCTCCGCAACATCGGCGGTGCCGTGGCCAAAGCGGATTCTCGCACAAGCCACTCCTTTACCCACAAACCAGTCTCCACGAAAGAAAGCGGTGGGCCGGCCGTTCAATGGGTACGCGTACATGCTGCTTTCCTCGATGGGCCATCGCGACAGAATGGCCAGGCCGGCGCCGAAAATGCCTCCGAAGTAAAATTTGCCGTATGGTAGAACGTGTCGTGTTTGCTGCCGAATGCTCTCGTAGTCCTGCTGCGTCCAGCATTCCTGTAGGCCGACTATCTCAGGCGGCGGACTGGTCAGCGCCAGCTGCCGGCCGATCTCGGATAGTCGTTCATGGCGGTATTTGGCGATGAACTTGAGGCCCCAGCAATTGAGGGTGAGAATGCGTATATGCGTAGGCGTCTCAATGGGTATCGACGAGGAGGCCATCGGGCCTGAATTTTGTACACTTGAAGCTGAAAGAAAGTTGGTCAGTCGATGATGATGATGATGATGAACCCTGGGCTCACCGCCTTCCATTTCTACAAAAATCGCGTTGATCTTGTTCGCCTCGTCGCTCTCCACGCGCTTGCCTCCTGTCTTTGTTTTTCCGATGGAGTCCCGCAATCGCCGTCGGAGCCAGCGCGCTCAATCGCCCATCGAATCCTCGTCCGATGAGTTGGCGGCCGGCTCGGAACACGACGAGGCCGAGCGCCGGCGAGCCAGCTGGACTGCTCAAAAGGTCTTTACGCCGCAGCGATCACACCACCGTAAACGACCATACCAGGAATCTGATAGTCCAGATGAACTTGCAGTCGATGCAGACGACTACTGGCGCAGCTCGCGCCCCGACGAAACCCGCAGTCCGTCGCCTGTGAACCGTCCAGACGAAATCGAAGGCCAGTCGGATGACAATATGGGTGGACGTGCTATGAACAGCGAGGAAGGCCATGCTGAAGACAAAACGTTGGATCGTTCGGCTACACCAGTTCCTCCGCCGCCGCCTCCCAAGCCGGAGCGGCTGAATTACAAGGAGAAGTTTGTGTTGAAGCGGCATCTGCGCGGTGTTTCTGCGGTGCAATTTTCTCCAGATTGTTCTATGATTGCAAGTGGAGGTATGCATTGGTTTGCTTCGAGGTCAATGGAATGTAGCTGATTCAATTACAGGCGCCGACAGGACTGTTAAGGTCTGGGATACGCTGACAGGCAAGCTTCTTTTCAACTTCGAGGGACACTTGGCGGGCGTATCGGCGATTGCTTGGAACCCGGACAATACCCTTGCATCTGGGTCGGACGATAAAACAATTCGTCTGTGGGATGTTTCTACAGTAAGGATTTGTTTCCGTCGGTCTTGTCTCCACACTAATCACATACAGGGCCGAGCACACCCAAGACCCCTCGTTGGCCATCACAACTACGTCTATCAAATCGCCTTTTCCCCCAAGGGCAACATTCTTGTCAGTGGCTCCTACGATGAGGCCGTATTCATATGGGATGTGCGCTCAGGACGGGTCATGAAGTCCCTACCCGCCCACTCCGATCCTGTAAACGGGGTCGATTTCATCCGCGACGGCACCATGGTCGTCTCATGCGCAACAGATGGACTGATCCGTGTCTGGGATACCGCCTCTGGCCAATGTCTCCGCACACTTGTCCACGAAGACAACCCACCAGTGACATGCGTGAAGTTCTCGCCAAATGGCAAGTATGTCCTCGCATGGACACTGGACAACTGCGTGCGGCTATGGGACTACCGCGAAAGCCGCTGTATCAAAACATATCAGGGCCACGTGAACATCAAGTACAGCTTGGGCGGGGGATTTGGCCGGTATGGTCTCCCAGGCGCGATGGAAGATGCATTCGTCGTTAGTGGAAGCGAGGACGGCGCCGTTATCTGTTGGGATCTTGTCAGCAAGAAGATCCTGCAGCGGATCGAGGGGCATACCGATGTCGTGCTGGGTGTGCATACAGGCACGCTGGCGGGGAAACGTCTCATTGTGAGCGCTGGATTGGACAAGACCATTCGCGTATGGGAAGAGGTTTCCGAAGATGACACTGAGATGGCTCGCTCGACGACTAACGGCAACGGAGATTCTCCGGATAACGACGCTGACGGCGACAATGCCATGACAGATGCGCCCCTATCGGCGGCCGCGGCTGATACTCCTATTGACGATGCGATGGAGGCTTGAGGGGGTGTTACGATTTCTCTTTTCGGTGGTTTTTTTTATGCGGAAATACCCTGGTGTTGGGAGTCTTACTGGATGGGGTCTGCATCTTCTGTCGGTGTATTAGGGCATAGGGTTGCGTTATACCAGGCATAATATGGCTGCATTCTGGGATTGAGGCAGTCTCAGACAATCAATTTTGTTTACTACCCTGTTTTTTTCTAAGTCAGCTGGAAGAGCCCCGGCTGTCTGATATCCAGCACGCGTAGCTTTTGAAGAAGAAGCTTTATCATCTATCATCGCCGTCCATTCTCCTTTCCTCACTTATTGTGTGCATCGGTGAGACACCACAGCCTGCTCTTCAACATATCCATACAAGCCTACTAATTCCTGCTCTCTCATTCTCCCACTACCTCAACAATCATCTTACGCTCATCCATCTCCAGGATCCAATCTCTCAATCTCGGTCCAAATCCAGCTACGGCTCACTTACTCTTTCTTCATCTCGACCATTCTTCTTTCTATCAAGTTCGAATCATTTCAATCTTGTTCTCACTCATTTCCAGATCTAAGCGCATTCGACCAGGATTCAGCATCAAGTCGACTCTCCATCAACCCAGCTCTCCTTACTTCTCTCAATTTCTGAATTACCTCACGACTTGCCTGCGCGGATGCTCTGCAACGGATTCGCTCTCAATTCACCGAATACGCCATCTTCATTTCGACCCAACCACCCTCTCTCTATCTCTCTCTCTCTCTCTGATTTCTCTGTTCTACCGGCTTCACTTGCCTTCGGCGCAATCTTCAACCGTGCTGTTCTTGCACTCCGCCTTTCGAAGTAGACTCTTCGACTCGATTCTCAAAACTCCAACTTCAACTCGGCAATTCAGAATGTCGTCCATTCGGAGTTTGCTCAGCATCACCGAAGTGAATGCTGAGAAGAAGGCCAAGTTCTTCGATAAGCTGGCAGAGGCTTTTCGACTTGTGAGAACTGAGGAGCATATGGAAATCATCGAGGAAGTCATCGCCTTGTACAACTTCAAAGAGCAGGCGATCAAGAAACTACCTGGCATTCAGCGGATTTTTGAGGTATGCTGGGATTATTTTTATTGGTGCAAACTGGCTCATTGCATCGAGGGTGCTAAATTTCACGCTGAAAGATGTGAACATTGCCAGATGGTATCTGAGTATTGGAGTTTCTGGAGTATGAAAGAAGAAGCTATGAATAGCAGCGCAACTGCCGATGCCCCTGAGTTGGACCGTGCTCGAGAAAAACTTGTGAACCTTCTTCACGACGAGTACTGAGAGCTGCGCTTGCTACACCCTTGTTCAACCGCCGCCAATGCAGTTCTCTCCGTTTTCCAGTTGTCATGGACATCTCCTTCTCAACTTTCAGCGCTGCCACTCTATCTGCATTTTCTTGTCTTTGCAACTTCGACATTCCAGCACCTTACCGCCTTATTTCCGGTTTAACACTCTGGTTCCTTGTCCTTTTTGCGCTTAGTCTTTAGAAACCGCATGGATCGCGCCAGTTCTTGCCTCTTTTGTCCTTAAAGTTTTTCAAATACAGCAACAGGACATGACGTTCAATAAAATTTCTCTGAGCATGTGGAACATACTCACTCTCAAGTAGAAATACAACCATCCCCATACCGAAAAGTATAGGTTGGTTAGTAACAGGTACGTACCCACACCCACCCCCACACCCAAATTTACGGTTCCACGGGTTAGGCCAGACCAAAGCCTAAAACCCACAAACAAGACCCATCAAGACCCTAATGTAATTAGCACAATCTATAGCTTTAAGGTGGAAAGAAATACAAATTCAGGAGAATTTCTGGATATTTGTTTGAAACTCCGAGACCTGTAATGGAAACTCCGAGTGCTAAAAAATATACACAGAAAATGAACCACAACACCTCACATACAGAGCACATCATATATCTGGTTAAAAAAAAATCAAGAACGGGAAGAGAGATTCGTATGCTCATTTCCACCATTCGGTTTCCTCACATCATCCATATATATCAATAACTCCTCAGAGAACCATTTAGCTCAAGCTCACGCTTACGCAGCACCAACATAAGCCAGGCCAGCGTCGTTGGTGGCGCCATTGGTGAAGAGATAGTTCTCAGCAGTCATGAAGTAGGAGTAGTGAGTGACCTGGTCCTGGCCGTCGAGCCAGGGGAGGACTTTCTTAAGGAAGGCAGCGGTGTTGTTGGCATTAGCGACGCCGTTGACATCAGCGTTGAGCGCAAACTCCGTCAACCAAACCTCGGGCAGGCCGTACTGGGATGCCGTGCTCATAGCCTGCTGGACAAAGGTGGTGAACTCATCAACGGTATCGCCGTACCAGTGCACAGCGAGACCGGAGAGATCGCACCCAGTGCCGCAAACGCCCATGAATTCCTCGAACCAGCTCAGGCCCATGCCCGGAGTCGTGGACGAGGTCACAGCCGGCGAGATCAGCTTGGCGTTACCCTTAAACGGCACGATCTGGGTCAAGTAGGCATTGGCAGCATCGGTGGGTGCCATGCTGGACTGCGAGGGCATGTCCGGCTCGTTGAAACCGAGGATGTACTCGCAGCCACTCTCGAGGAGGGCTGACAAGACAGTGGTCACGGAGCCTAGGTCGCTCGGGCCCCAGATCTGGGGCACGAACTGGACACCGCTGGGGAGGCCGAGCCCGGTGCCAAGCGTGCTGTCCAGCGACCAGTCGTAGGCCCAGGTCACGGCGTTGGCGCCGCCGAGGGAGTTAACCAGCGAGACGTCGTTGTAGGCCGCACCGCGCTTGGATGCCGCGCGCTTGGCGTGCGGCATGGCCATGGCCGAGGTGGCCATCAGGCCGGCCGTAAACCAGTTGCTGAAAGAAGGCATTTTTGTTGTCTTCTGCAATAGCAAAGGTGGTTGAATAAAGCGAGAAAGCCTGTTTCTCAAAGGAGGGTTGTTGAAAGGAAGGGCGACGCTGTCGAAGCAGTCTTGTGGAGATGTATAGAAAGGAGAGACTCCAACTTCCGTGCACGGCACAGGAAGTAGTTAAACGACGAAAGGAATGACTTGGGCCGAGAAGGATGAGAAAAGAGCAGAAAAAAGGGCCGAAGAGAGTGGGAGTTAAATGAGCTAAATGTACAAGCTGGTGGAACTAGCACCAGAACCGCCATTGGCCCTGCCGGGAACAGAAACTGTACTCTTTCGGAGTACCCATAGGTCCCTTGTGCCTGACGTCGAGCGATGAGCGATTGGTTGACCCCTGTCTGATACCTTGCTGCTAGCCCCGATCGGGTTTGGCAGGGCGACGTAACCGTGGGTATTATTAGCCATATGATTGCGTTTGATTGGACAGACTTGCACACGCTGGGGTCGTTCCATGGATTTTGTCAGGGACGTGGGGGTGATTGGTTGGACCAGAATAAATTGACACACCAAGTGTATCGCATCCAGCACTTCCCACAAAGAGTATACACACTAGCAGAGTCTAGACTCAGTACATACAGTCGAAGTGACAAATATGATAGTTACCCAGGTAGTGACTGAACACTACGGACTACTCGCACCTGAGGAACCCGGAACCAAGGCAGACCTGCTGCCAATTTCAATGAGAGCCGATCAGGGGGCCGGCGCCGATTATCATTGCCATCGCCATCTTAACTACGTAAGACTCCCTTGCCTCCTGCATCCTGGCGCCCCACAGCCCATCTCTCTGTGGCTCCGGCAAGCCCATCCGACGGCCGCCATTCGACCCATTAGGCGCTCCTGGAAGACCCCCGCCGTAAGTGGCCCCACTGCTAGGGCTTACACTCGTCCAAATAAGCACCCACTAGTCCATGGTAAGGGGCCAAAGCAGCCAAGATGGCAGTTAGCACGACACCAACACCAATACTCTTCATAGGCAAAGTCGCAGATTGGGGCCGATGGCAAAAACAGTATCTTGTGTGTGGCCACATAATTTAGATGAGATCATCTTCGTGTCATGATGAAGGGCGAAAATGCCAGCCTCAGCAACGGACGGACCCAGATGATTCTCACCGGTGGATGGCTGCTGAAACCACTGGTACCTCTGGTGGGGAGGGGAGGGGGTGGCTACCTATAACCTAGGATTTGAGCCTTGTGCACCTATAGGAAAATGTCCGAGGGGATGCAATCGACAGCCACAAAAGATTTTTCAGGGGTAGTCCCTACCCACTGTGCAGTTAGTTAGTCAGTTAGACTTCGCCGTTATGGCCGGTCGCTGCGGTAGTTGCTAGCACCATGCTCTTTCCGTCGGATAGATGCACGATAATTGATCAATCGAACAATCGGGCTATCCCTTGCAGTGTTACTAGGGAAGTTATGGATGTGTTTCACTCTGGACTGTGTAAACAATCTGTTTAGGACGACCTGTCTCAGAGACAAGATTCGCCAGGGAAATTACGGCTCCAGAATGAGGTTCAAAAAAGTGTGCCTCTTCAATTTACTATCTTTTGTTTGATGGTCCCCTTTTTGTCAGTGTGTGCCTCGTCAGGGAGTATCAACTTCACGAGAGATAAGTGTATAACACCTATGTGGTACCATCTTGGTATTTATCGAGACAACCTTACCTCATGTGTTAGATGAACTGGCTAGGTGGGTGTTTATGATACTATGCTGTACCGAATTTGCCGGGAAGCGACAAAAAAGTTACCTAGGAGTGAATAGCGCTCTGCTGACGGACTTGCGATATCGAAAGCGGAGCGGTTATAATCCACATTCATGTTCCATACATGATCCATGTCATATATCCGTATCTGATCACAAAAGCCTTGATCTTGTCCTTGAAAAGAACATGGAGGATGGAAACAAGCCATTCTGCCGGGCTTTCACAGCCTCACCCACCGTTGTGCCGACCTCTACTAGTGGTTACACATAGGTTACACATAGAACAGAGAGATTGCGATTGGTCCTTGATGCTTGCATACTCAGGTAGCATCCTCAACCTCTCTTCTTTTTGCTTTCGGCGCCTTGTGATATTAAATAACATATCCGTTAGCCGCGGGGTATGTATTCAGTTTTGCTATCCTGACGGAGTCATTTCATTGATTCCCTCCTAGCAGCAGTCGATTCTCCGTTATATTAACCAGTTTGACATGAGTAGTCCGTGCAGACTCGTCCATCTGACTGATCTTGGTGTACTCGGCTCCAGAACTGTTGAGCCCGGGGTCAACCTTCTCGGCACCATGATAGAGCATGGGCAAAATGGACGACTTCCACAAGCCGAGTCGGTGGCGTCGGTTGACTACCACCGTCGCGATCCAAAAAACAAACCCCAGGACGAGTAGCACGGACGGGAAAGTCAACCACTGCCAAGATACTGCGACGAATGTTTGCGAGAGCATAGCCGTGCCGATGGCGGACTCGTTGCTGGTTTCCAAGGCGTACTTCGTGAGAGCTGCAGCCATGTTTGACAACACCGCCCCCAGACCCAGGTCGATGACTCTGTCGAACGCTGCCCCATAATCAGCGCTGTTCTTGCCGCTGGAGGGCTGTACTGTCCACACCGAGCTCTCGTTGACGACATAATCCACACTCGAGTACCCCAAAAACGGAGGGGTAATCAGGTCGGTTGAGAGAGAAATAAATCCGGTCTCGCCATATTCTGTGCTGCTCGTTCGGAGACAGAAGGCGAATTGTTCAGTATCGGCCCAATTTTTCGTGGGTAGCTTAGTCCAATTGAACGGACCAGATCGATTGGTGGGCCTCCAGCAATCAAGGTCATTGAAGTAAGGTTCGTTATTGTTTGGAAGTTTGTGAGTAAATCGCTTCCCGTAGTCAACCGAGGTGACATTGACTAGCGACGTCCCGGAGGAGACAGAAACATTATATGTCTTCAGGCAGAGGGAAAGAATGCATTCCTGGACGCTGCGAATGCGGAGTCCGCGGACCAACTTTGTAATGTTGGTATCGGCTTCGGCTTCGAGTTCGGCATGTGCGAAGACGGCAAGCGGACTTTCAAGTCCCAAGAAAGTCTCGTTAAGCGGACTATTGAGTGCCCACACGACAGCCGTGGGGATATATGTGCCCCTGAATGTATCAAAATATTCAATGGGGACGCTGCCGTTATTTCCGTGGCCGGCGTTTATGAGGCAAAAAATCTCTTGGGGATTGGAGGAGGAGGAAGCCTCTTCATTATCGGCGGAAATGTTAGCGTACGTCCACTGATCGCAGCCATACAGGGAGGCTGAGGCAGTCACATCCTGACATTTGCTGCAAAAGCCAAGGGACTGGAATTCGGGCCAGGTACAGTTCCCGGACGGGCAAGTGGGATCGATGGCAAAATCCGTGTTCCAAAGAGCAGCGTTGAAGTACTCCACGAAGGAGTAGTAATTCGCGTTTTGCGCGAAAGTCCGCGCTTGGGGCATTGTCGCCTGAGCCGTGCTGCTGGGCGTTTGTCGAATTGGGTAGCTCAGGATCTGTTGCACGAAGGGATCTAAAGCCACTGCAAATATGGTGACAATAGCCCCCAGAGAGGCGAGTGAGAGCCCCTGGTGCTGGAGGAGAAGAATCAGAGAGCCCATCGGCCCTCGAGTTGCATCGTCGAAGGCCTGCATATCTGAGACAGGGCGTTCCCTGCGCTGGAACCAGATCCATTTCAATTGGCCAACCGCCGCAGCCACCACGAAAAGCAATGATGATCGGGATGCCGCTGCTAGTAAGGAGACGATTGTGTTGAGCGTCAGTCCATAAGACAGATTGGGGGATGGCTTCTGGTCGCAGATCCTCAGAATGATGATGATGGCCATGAACGATGCGACGCTGAACGTCATGGCGAGGCACTCGAGAAGCCATGTATCATCGAAGGAAGCCCAGCCTCCACAATTAGAGAGAGATAGGCCCTTTCTCTTGATTCCGTCATGATCAGTCCCCGCAGCGAGTAATTGCGATTGAGAATCGCCGCGGTAATACCGGAGACCAGTCAATTTCTTGGCATGCTGCGATCCCGCTGAGGAAGATCCTCGACTGCCGGTAGAGGGCGACTCAACCCAAGGCTCCTGGTTGTAGACCTGAGCTCTCGTTGTATGCTGAGGCTGCTGCTGCTGTTGCGGCGCTGCCAAGTATATAGGATTGATATGAGCCCCCGGAGGAATGGAGGGGAAGTAATTGGGTTTATGAGACTCCATATTTTCATCCATGGATGGAGGCAGCTGATTATTCCTCCATTAGACATACGGACTTATTATGTATTGTCAGCGCCAATCGCTGCGGAGGGGCTTCGCTACTCAGCCTCATGGTGGTGGAAGCGACCGAAGAGGTAAGTCATGAAGCCGGGGGGGGAGTGGTGGATCTGTGCACCCCCCGGCTCGGCCTGTGAGGAGTGCGCTCTAGGCGCGCGCTACCTAGCTAGGCCAAGAAGACCGCTATGACGAAGTTCTCTGACTTCTTCATGCCTGGGCTCACTATATATAGTAGTATCGCGCTTGTCAGACCGCAGTCCCGACACGGCCCCCAGGGCGGGACGTCCCGGCAAGGGACTAGGCTTTTAGCCTAGCGGCCATTAGGGCTTAAACATTCCTACTTAGCAGTTAGTAAATAGGGAGTAGCGAGCTATTTATCAGCTAAGATTTCACTTGTAGTTTATTTCTTCACATGATTGATTGATTTATTTACTCAATTAAATCCTGATGCAGCTTCTCTATGTCTTGTTAGACGCTATGCAGATTTCCACGGCTAAGATATAGGCGGTATGTCCCCGTATGTGGAAATGAGGATACTATAGTGGTGTTCCAAAAGTCTGCAATCCTCTACCTACCACCTAAGCGGATAGAGGGTTTCAGACTTTTGGAACACCACTATACATATTGCATATTGTCACGGACCCACAGGCTGCAATGACAAATGACAAAAAGGGCCACTGATAGCCAACCAAATCGCATGATGAACCTATTTGTCCACCACAAGTGTGAGGGGTGCGCCTAGGCGCGCGCTACCCAGCCAGGCCAAAAAGACCACTCTGACTCTGACTTCTTCATGCCTGGGCCCACTACATACAGTCGTATCGCGCTTTCCAGACCGTAGTCCTGATAAGTCACGTGTGTTTCAGTATACCTGGAGGGCCCCAGGCCTAGAGAAGGAAAACATTTCACCTTTTGATCAGGTTCCGGATCAAAGGGGGGATCAGATCCACCGTCAGATATTATGCTGAGTATATGTGTGAAATAATTTATTATCGTTAGCCTTGGACCAACTGAGGCTTATGGGCGGGTATTCATTGGCCAAGATATTTGCATGTCGGGGAATATACATAGTGAAATGCCTCTCTGTGGATTGAAGGACAAAGACGTATGGCCTAGGTGACCAAGGGTCCATATCAGATCTAAGTTGCTTGTTCTCAAGCCAGTCGTGATTGAGGTCGTCGGATGATTAGCGTCCGTAGTGGCCTTGGCTCAATGATTTCAAGAAAATATTCTCCTGGGAACTGCGCTAGTTCATGCTTTGGAATGCCATTCTTCTAGGTACGTACCATCCGACTCCTAGGTCTGACCCAATAGGTACAGGACTACACACTGTTATCCTTAAAATTAACTCGCCCGGTCTATAGCCCAACTAATGGACCCCACCAACAATAGCCGAACGTGCAATCGACTGACTCGGCTGTGGTCTTCTTCCCCGCATATAAAGACCCTAACGTCACTCCCCCGCATGCTTTTGTATAACCGAGGGCAGCCAACAGTTAAAAGACTTAAAAGGAACTATATCAAGTCGAATTGAAAGTATATAACTACAGCTACAATATCCAGGGATCCAGAGCGTAAACCACTATATATTCACCTCAATCATGTCCTCGGAACAATATCCCGTGCATCACCACGGCATCTATCATAACCTGCCCACCTTCCCCCCATCCACCAAGAACCTCACAGCAATCATAACCGGCGCAAATGGGATCTCCGGCTTCGCAACCCTACGAGCCCTTCTCGACCACCCAGACCGCTGGAGCAAGATCTACACCATCTCGCGCAGTCCTCCTCCGGCGGAGATGCTCAACCTCCTTACACCCTCTCAACAGAGCCGTATCCAACACGTCTCCGCCGACTTCCTACAATCCCCGCAAACAATCGCAGAGTCCTTAAAAGCGTCCGGCGTAACGGCAGACTATATCTTCTTCTACTCCTACCTGCAGCCGCGGCCACCCGCCGGAGCCGCGCCATGGACAAACGCGCAGGAACTAGTCCGGGTGAACACCGCGCTTCTCACCAATTTTCTGTCCGCACTCTCCCTCTGCAAGATCAAACCACACCGCATCGCCCTCCAAACCGGCGCAAAGAACTACGGCGTGCACCTAGGGCGCATCCGCACTCCAGCCATCGAATCAGACCCCCGCGTCACCCTCGAGCCCAACTTTTATTACCCCCAAGAAGACGCTCTGTGGGACTGGTGCGCGCACAATAACGTAGAGTGGAACGTTATCCGGCCGTCGTGGATTATCGGCGCTGTCAAGGCTGCTCAGATGAATGCACTGTATCCATTTGCTGTTTATGCAGCTGTTGCGGCGCATCGCGGGCAGCCGCTGGTTTTTCCGGCAGATTGGTCTGCTTGGTTGATGGAGTCGCATCACGCTACGGCGAGACTGACGGGCTACCTGACTGAGTGGGCGGTGCTGGAGGAGAAGTGTAGGAATGAGGCGTTTAATGCGCAGGACACCAGTCCGTTAAGTTTTGATCGGTTGTGGGAGGAGCTGATAAGGTGGTTCGGGGTTGAGAAGGGTGGTGTTGGGCCAAAGGAGGATGAGAGTGAAATGAATGCTGTTGTTGGAAAGGGCGGCAGTAATAATCCTGCTGGGTGAGTCTTTTTTTTTCCTTTGGTCATTCAGATGAGGCTTGTTTCCTTTTTGCTGACCGCTGACTGCGATGCATGATCTATAGCGGCGGCCCTCCAGTTACACTCAAGTTCTCGTTTACTCTCCAACACTGGGCCAGCCAGCCCGAAAATGCCGCAGCGTGGCGTGAGATCATGGCCGCGAACCCCAGCGTGACAGTAGATCCCTTCCAGGACGTGGAAGGGTATTTCACATTTGGGGATGCTGCTTTTGGGGGTATTGGTCAGTTGTCCATGAATAAAGCACGACGACTGGGCTGGACCGGGTTCGTCGATACGAGGGAGAGTATCTTCGAGATGTATCACGAGATGGAGGGCTTGGGTATGTTGCCACGGACCAAGGTGGATGTGGCGAGACCGTTGGTGTAATTCCAGTGGTTGACGGGTGTCTTCTCTTGATCATATTGTTTTACGTCTCTGCTCTTGGTTTGTGGCGAAACCGTTGGCGTAATTCTGTCTTTCCCTCAACCAGATTGCCTTGTTCCTAGTTAGACTTACATACTGAACCCCTCAACTAGGCCAATCGGAGTGAAGCTCCGGTGTCTTATAGGTAGGGCTGAAGATGAGGTTGAGGTAGCCTTTGGTTTTGCAATAGGCTAAGTGGTTTTGGATAGGTAGGCTATCGAAATATTATAAATTCAAACTGAATACGTATCACTTTAGACTTTACCGGGTTGTATGCTGCAAAATTGCTAGTTGTTACACATTGCCTGCTGCAAAGGAACCTAGACTATGTACACCTGTTGGAACATATCATATCCCAAACCAACCAGCATCGACTCATCCCAGACTTAGACCCTAAATTTCTTCCCCGCCTCCGTAAAACTCATCCCTTTCCGAATCTCTACCGCCATCTTCGCATCCGCATCCGCCTGCTTCGCCATAAGCGGGAGCACCTTCTCCGCCAACTCCTTCGGCAACACAACCACACCGTTCAAATCCCCGATCAGGTAGTCGCCCGGGTTGATGGTCATATCCTGCTCATCTGTTTGCAGTTTGACGGGAACATTGACGTCTACCACTTTGACTAGCTCGTACGGCGGTGCGGTGCCGATGTCGCGAGCGAAGACCTGGAATTGATAGGATATGTTAACGTCAGATTTCTCGTAGCTGATATCACATCCATGGACGACACTAGCAGGGGAATATACGAACCGGGTAGTTAAGCTCGCGCTGTTCCTGCAGATCTCGAAATCGGCCATCAATAACCGATCCCGCGGCTTTGCTTGCCTGTGCCCGTGCCGACATCAACCCCCCATACACGGCATTGGGCGTTTTCGGTGGACAGGACACGAATACCACTGCGCCTTCGGGGATGGAATCGATCTGTCATTGTCACGTCACTTAGCATTCACTGCTTAATTATCTGATGTTTGTCTGGTCCTTGCTTACGTAGTGCGTTGGGTGCTTCGGTGCTGGGTCATCCAGCGGCGCATATTTGACCGTGTATGCGGGGCCGACGATCTTCGTTGCGCCTTCTTGACGCTGAGGCGACCACAAAGTCAGCCCGGATAGGAAGCCTCCGTGTCGGAATTTCAGCTTGCAGAGAGCGTCAGAAACGTCGCATCTTTAGTTGGTGTTGCTTAGTATGTGCGCAGTATGGTTTGGAAAGGAAAATGGCCGAGCGATACTTACGTGGTGTACTGCTGCAACGCCTTGACGATGGGATCTTGAGTGGAGGCCATTTTGCTGGTAGTGGAGAAGTGGGATGATAATGGACGTAGGAGAAGTCTGAACGTGTGCAGCTGCGATGGAATCCTAGAGATGGTTCGAGACAGTAGTGACATCGCACGAGTCAAGAATGAAAAGACCGAGAGCTCCGGTGTAATCAACATCCCCGGGATCTGGAATGCCGCGACAGCTCCTCGGCCGGTGACCGACCGTCCGCGGGGTTCGACCGCGGCGAAATTCCGGGTAAATGGGTGAAAGTGGGCCTTTCAAAAAAAGAAGTGCCGAACGATATAGACAACGAAACAATTCTGGAGACGAAGTTCTCACTTAAACACAAGCACAATGGCGAAACCGACAGTCTACGTGCTCGATCCCTACCACGAAGATGCAATCGCTTGTCTCAAGTCTACCTCGTGGATCGAGCTCATCCTCCCCAATGATCCCCGCAAAGCCGACTGGCACAACCACGCAGATGGGATCATATTGCGATCCGAAACACAACTCCAAGCCGACGACTTCCGCCGCGCCAAGAAGCTGCGCGTTGTCGTGAAGCAAGGGGTAGGCGTCGACAATATCGACCTGAATGCCGCCAAAGAGGCCGGCATCGCGGTGCACAACACCCCCGCGCTGAACAGCGAGTCCGTGGCTGAATTCTCGCTGGCGCTAGCCCTCTCCCTGAGCCGGCGGGTGGCGGAAGTTGATCGCCGTGTGCGCAATGGGGATAGGATTGTGCGCAGCCAGACGCTGGGACTGAGTCTGTTTCGCAAGACTGTGGGAGTGGTCGGGATGGGGAATATTGGGAAAGTGGCGGCTAAGAAATGGATTGGGGCATGTGAGGCAGATGTGATCGGGTTTGATCCTGTTGCACCGGTGAATGTGTGGAATCAGGCGGAGATTCCGCATACCAGAGTCCAGACACTGGACGAGTTGATCACCAAGTCGGATGTGATCACGCTGCATGTTCCGTTGCTCGAGAGCACACGGGGTCTGATTACGGCCCGGGAGCTGGGGATGATGAAGGATCGAGCGATTCTGATCAACGCGGCTAGGGGAGGAATTGTGGATGAGAAGGCCTTGCTGGATGCATTGAAAGAGAAAAGGATTTGGGGCGCTGTCCTGGATGCCATGGAGGTTGAGCCGCCCACGTTGGAGGCATATGGGGATTTTTTGGAACTGGATAATGTGATCATGACACCGCATATTGGGGCATCCACCATCGAGAACCAGAGTAACAGTGGCCTTGCCGTGGTGAAGACATTACTGGCTGTTTTGGAGGGGAAGACTGATGATGTACCGGGGAAGTTAGTCTAGTGTATCTATAAAATGGAACATTCGATAGCTACAAATTTGCTGTATATACTTCAAGTACTATACTTCATGAGTACCATAGATAGAACTACCAACTTCCATACTGTAAATAGAAGTCCGGGTATCCCCGCATGGAAAGATTCTGAACTCCCCGCATACTCCCCCGGAGACTCTCCGGGAGGCAGCGCTGCTGCCGAAATCGGAAGACAGTCTCATGACGCTATATATTTCTCGCTCCAGTTCGCTCTTTCTCTACAATTATCGTGCATATTCCCTCGACTGGCATCACAAAAGAAACAGAAAATGGCCAATCCATCATCTACAATCGTGAACGTTACGCCCTCATCCGCGCACTCTTTTGTGACAGCGGTCCTCTCCAAATACAATGTTCCCTCAGATCGCGCCGACCTGATTGCGGACTCGCTCGTCCTCGCCGATCTTCGTGGTGTTGACACACACGGCATCAATCGACTGGGAGGATACATCGAGCGTATCAAGCACGGTGTACTCGATCCCAACCCCGATCTCAAGTTCGACTTGAAAACACCCGTTATGGCGCTCTTGGACGCAAAGAACACGTTTGGGTTCGTTGCTGCATCCCTCGCTATCGACAAGGGCGTCGAGATGGCGCAGACGTATGGGATGGGCGTCGTGGCTGTCAAACATAGTAATCACTATGGCATGGCGGCAACGTATCTCCTTCGGGCGATCAAGAAGGGTTGTGCAGCTATGGCGTTTACGAATGCATCGCGAAGTATGCCGCCGTGGGGTGCGAAGGAGGCACTTCTTGGGACGAGTCCCTTTGCCGTTGGTGTCCCTGGTGGCGAGGCAGGAGATTTCGTCCTCGACATGTCGCCCAGTGTGGCAGCCAGAGGAAAGATTCGAAAGGCAGCTCGGCGGGGGGAGAAGATCCCGGAAGGGTACGCGCTGGATGCAGAGGGGCGATCTACGACGGATCCAGAGGCTGCATTGGCTGGGGGTGTGGTTTTGCCTATTGGGGGACCTAAGGGGAGTGGGCTGGCGATGATGATGGATATGTTTGGCGGTCTGATGTCCGGAGCTGCATTTGCAGGTGATGTGAATGATCAGTACAAAAATCTGAAGGAGCCGCAGAATGTCGGCCACTGGTTCTTGGTATTTCGCCCGGAGGTCTTTCTGGATGGCGGAATGGAGGACCTGAAGGTGAGAATGGACACGTTGCTGACGAGGGTCCGGGAATGCGATAAGGCTGCTGGAGTGGAGAGAATCTATACCAGTGGAGAGATCGAGGCAGATGTAGAAGTGAAGAGAAGGACAGAGGGCATTCCATATTCGCGAGGGGAAGTCGATGCGCTGCATGCATTAGCGAAGCAGACAGGTGTTGATTTCAAGTTGGAAGAGATGAAATAGATATGTTAAGAAAGAATGTACAGAAATTGTTTTCATGTATTCGAGCAGAGCAGAGTTTTCTAGACTTGCTACTTACGGCCCTGCAAGCCCAAATTAAGTGATGAAGCGGAACATCGGAGCATTGTCCGCCAACTCCGTAACATCCACCGGCAACCCAGGCACAGGTTTGCCGTACATCTTGTCCCGCCGTTTATTGATAGCCTTCAAAGCAAAGTGATTCGCCAGCGCAAACGCCGCCGTGGCTATCGCCAATCCCATACACGCAAAATGTCCCCTCCTGAACTGCGGCCCGTCCGTGCTGGGGTAGAACCAAGTCCCTGCAATGGAGCCTAGATTGCCAATTGCTGTATACAGGCCCATACCAATGGATCGTTTCGTCTCATTGCCGAAGTTGTTTGCAGCCCAGGCGTGTGTGGGCGGGTACGTGGCGTAGACGCAAGCAACGGCAATGCAGACACATGCGTACTTGCCGCCCAGCTTGGACTCAGGCAACGTGGCTAGAAGAGCGTATGCAATTGTTGCAACGCACATTAGAACGGCGATATGTATGCCTCGATCGCGGAAACGGTCGGATGACCAGGACGCGACGAACATGAGACCAAAGGCGCAGGCGTACGGCGGGACGGTCATCAGATTTGCCGTCGTGGCTTCTTTGTACCCCAGGTCTGTATCCAATCTGTCAGTATATCCAAGGAGGTGGCCTCAAGAAATACATACTCGCGACAATAGTAGGCAGAAAGCCGGATATCGAGGCCAGAAGTGCTGCAGTGGGGAGATAGATCGCCGCTTGCACGTACAGCCGCCAGTCGGTAAGCGTCCAAATAACATGTTTCTTTTGAATGGGGCCAGCCTTGTCGAAAGATTCGTTATGGTAACGCGCTTCCGCAATTTCCTGGTTAATGCCGGAGAACCGGGAGTTCTTGAGTGGTCGATCGGGCAACCAGTACATGCAGAACAGCCCGAGACAGAAGCAGGGCAATCCCTCAATGAGGAAAAGCCATTTCCACACAGGTGTGCCACTATCAATGTGGCCGATGCCGAAAGCAATCAGGCCTCCGAATGCTCCGGCAATGGCAGTGGGCCCCAAGAACCAGAAGACACGGACGCCCATTTCAGTCCGATGGTACCACAGAGAAAGGTAGTAGACAATTCCGGTGCCGAAAAGGCCTTCGAAAGTGCCTAGAAAGACTCTGCAGACGAGTTCACCTGCAAGGTTGAAAGCGACATCTTGAAGGAGACTTGCAATGGCCCATCCACAAACACCAAAAGCAATCCACTGCCGAGTATCAACACAGTCCGGAGAAAAAAGATGTCGTTCTTACCTTCGACGGCGAGAAAACACGGTAGCCAAGGCACCCAGGAACTTGGAATAGTACCAGTCCAACATAGAAGATCATCACAACGAGCTGCCATTGAGACGAGGAAAGAGGGGTGATCCCTGCACTAACCCCCTGCGAGGGAGTATTGTGTCCATCATCGAGGCCGTATAGTTTTGCATTGGCAACATTTCCTCGATCCAGGTATTCGAAGAAATACAGAAGGGAGACAACGGGCAAAATGATGCAGTCCAGCTTCCAGAGATACCGTTTTTGGGCTTTGATCCATTCCGGATCATACGGATTCTGGATCTCCTTTGGGATCTCCTCTGCCAATTCGTCATTGGGTTTCTCGATATCTATCATGTTCCGCGCGTTCGCTAGTTCTATATGTTGCACGTCGTCAGTAGTTCCCATGTTAGTACTTCAACCGCACAGTGCTGAGAATGAGATGGACGATGGGTTGCTTATATAGCAAATGACTTCTTGTCCTCGGCTAGTACGGTCCGTCTGTCGAACGCACCCTTTATGATCTTTGATAATAATCTTTACGGGGGCCGAATGCAGCTCAAGCTTCCCCGTATTTCACAAATAACTGGGGTAAATGCCGGGCGGGGATCCCGGCGAACCCCCTCGGCGAGTTCCCGCGGCGAGTATCCGGCGAGGCTCCCGGACGGCAATATTCAGTGGTTGATTTGCTATCATTGACCGATTTCGTATATTATTACTGATTCACGCTACTCAGGGTCAAGCTTTCTCCTCTCATGCTCGAGCGACAAAACAAGATGGGATCGGTATCAGATCTAGACACCTCTCTCCCCGCGGGCGCTTGGGACAGCCACGTCCACGTCGCAGACGAAGTAAGGAAAAGCCCCGACACCTTTTACTGACTTTATTAAAGAATATTCTGCAGGACAACTTTCCTTACCATGCATCACACCCCTACCGTCCCAAAAGAGCCGCGCTGGAGGATCTCCTCGCCTTCCAAACGATCCAAGGGATTAGTCACAACTGTCTCATTGCTTTCTCCGTATACCACACCGATAATTCAATCCTTCTAGACGCACTTCGCCGCTTAAATGGCAAGGGTCGCGCAGTCGCCTGCATCGACCTTGAAAACACCACATGTGATGAACTACAAGAACTACATGACGCCGGAGTCAGGGGAATTCGTCTCAATTTGCGGACAACAGAGACACGGCCTGACAAGGCCGCATTTGCAAAGTTGCTCACACAGGCAGCGGATAGAATCAGACCGTTTGGTTGGGTAATCCAGGTGTACGTATCACTGGATCAGATCGCGGAGTTTGCATCAATTGTACCAGCATTGGGGGTAACCTTTGTGATTGACCACATCGGTCATCCGGAGCCATCGAAGGGACCGCCGAAACTGCAGAATGGATATCAAGAATTCATGGAGCTTCTGAAATCAGGGCTCGTGTACACAAAGCTCAGTGGTGTATACAGGTTCCAGGATTTGCCGGAGCTAGACTCGTATGTGAGAGAGATATTGACAGTCGCTCCGGACAGAGTCGTTTGGGCGAGCGACTGGCCGCATAGTGGTGGTGTTTCGGCGAATCCAGGAGGCGACAGGACCAAGGTACAGGAGTATAGGAAGGTTGACGATCAAGCTTGGGTGGCTAGGTGTAAGAGCTGGTGTCGGCAGGTTGGGGGGGACGACCTGATAAGGAAAATTTGGGTGGATAATCCAAGGAGGTTGTGGCAGTTTCCCGGCGATAACTAGCAATAAGGACTCACAGCTATAAAGAATTTGTTGCGTTATCCATATTTGTACAAATCTGTTAGAAACTCTCCACTTTTCAAAAATCACACTAGCGCCTCTTTGTTTCCTATCCAAGGTACCATTCCCCGGTGGCAGTGTTTATGTGCTGCTCAGGAAAAGAGTCGAGGAATGAAAATGCATCCAGGTCCATACTGCTCGAATGCTGATCTGTCGTAAGGTGATTCGCAACCTCTGGATCAAGATAGGGGAAGGCAGGCAGGTAATTCGCCGGTACTAGGTCTTCTGCTGGCGCATTGTCATTTGTTTGTGCAAATCGTGGAGGTTTAGAGTGCAAGCTATTATTAATGATATCCAGACTCCGTTGAAGTAGAGGGCATGTTTTGGTACCCTGTTTCAGCGCTCGGAGGAAGGTTTGCATCTTGCTGCTTGCTTCGAGGTCACCATTCTTGACATCCTTGATCATGACTGATGCACCAGTGTAGATGCAGTACGCCATCAAGTATGTGATACGGTTGAAACCAAAAGTCTTCTCAAGGAGCAAGAGCATCTTCTCGAGGCTGTCTGCCGCCTTTCTGCAGGCCATATGACGCGTATGGGCCGAGTAGAATGGCCGATGCAGCAATATTATGATTGCGTAGTAGAAGAGGTTCTGGGTGATGATATGCGGCGGAGGACAGAACTCTGGCAATTTTTCTGGATCGTATTTTAGATGTTGTGGCGAATTTTCTCTCCAGTCATCGAGCCTCTCTCTGATTCGCAACGTCTCACTCATATCTGGAGAACCACGACGAGAGTAAAGTTGGAGGATAATGTCATTTAAAATGACGGCGAGTTTGCAGGAGTTTTCGAAGCAAGAAATAGAATGAGCCTTCATAGGCGGATACTCTCCGACAGAGACTCTGCTCAAGTTGAGCATGTCGCCATAGCTTGGAGACCACAGTTCATTTTCGGCGAACGTATCCACTTTCTTTCATCAATATCAATGCGAGGCAAAGCAAGAGCGGAGAAACTCACAGAACTCAGGGCTATGGTCAAAAGGAAGTTCAAGTAACACGGGCGATCTCCCTAGATAGAGACTTAAAGCCTTATCCCAGAAATAGCAACTCCAGAATAGTCGTCTCCGTATCTCCCCGTCTTCTGGGCTGAGATATCCCAATTTCAATACTTTGCCACTATTGTGATGGAGACCTAAATCGCTGACCATTCGGAAAGCCATCCCGCCGTAAAGCCATGCTTGCGACGTGGACCCATAGGCCATCTCCCGAGCACTGAGCTGTAGCAAGGCCTGCACGGTGGGGATCGATGTTGGTTTTTGTATTTCTTGGCCCAGAAGTAAACGTGCCCGACAGATGAGCATTTCGCCTACCTCACCCTCGTGAAAGCGCGCAGCATGTGCGCAGAGCACGGTGAGAAGAAAAGGTGAGTAGTACTGGCCACCGGTTGTCATGTCCCCTACAATTGTCAGATATTCTCCAGAGATGCAGGATCGATCGGATCTTACGCATGAAAGCTGGTCTGTACACCCACATGAACATGGGGGCAATCCAGGACCAATGGACTTGCAGTAAATTGGAAATAATCACACGTGGAATACCGGTCTCAATGGACGCATTGCCATGGGCGAATTCTTCCCAGGATCGATATTCTTCCGCATTCCAGGTCAGTAGCATCCGGATATTTGACTTGGAGGACACCTCATCCTCGGACTGGGAATGTGCAGCCGGTGCATCCAGTGCAGGTGGCTCATAAAGAGCGGATGTGGGACCATAGTATGATATCTATTCCAAATAATAAATGGACATGTTCATAACATAAAACTTCGTGTCAACTTACTTTGCCATTCTCATCAAGACTCAAGTCCGATAGCAACTCTTCTGAGGTAGGCTCTTTGGACATCATCTGGCCTTGGTACTGGGTAGGATTGTTTCTACGTTCTGGCCGTGCTTCTAACGCTGGAGAGGCACTTGGGTTCGCGAAATCCGTCTGCTGTAGGGCTGGTGAAGACCCTGCTTCCAGGGCTTCCTTCAATCTTAGGATCGTTTGTTCTGCCTCTTGAAGCCTGTTGGCCATGGCAATTATCTGCGACATTGGAGGAGGCTTCTCATAACGACACTCATCATGATAGACGTCACAGGTCTTGCAGCTTGGCTGAGTGCCATCGCAACGTGTCTGATCTAGTGAGCAACCAGCGGAGTGTGGACATGCGGTGGACTATCAAATACCTTTCTTGCGCGGCAATTTTCGCAGGTGAGTCCCCGGCGCGTTCGGTTTCCTCGCTCTACTCGCCCTCTTGGTGTTGTGGTGGCCATGCTGCGTGCTGCTTTCGATGCTTGTTCTCCAACTTGGATCACACATCAAGTCATTTAAAGTTGCGCTACAGTTCCTTCTCAAGATTTCTTGATGCATAGGCCAAGGCTCTTAGAGGTTTTGAAGGGTGAAATACCTGACCCGACTTTTAACTTCATGTCCGGTGACATTGGATTAGAGCCATTTAGAAGGCGGTGAATAAAGCCCTAAATATTCCCGACTATACCCGGGCTTCACTCTCAACTTGTACTTCATTGTCTATTAGTGATACGGGATTTTTGCATGTCCCAAACAGAAACAATTAGACCATCTGTGCTGTCGCGTTTCTTGAAATAAGCAACTGCAACGAACCCGCCCGATTTGAGGATTCAGATGGGGCCTAAGGCAATAATCCACGACCCGTCTCATTATCGAGTTCCACAAGGCCTCTTGGTTATGATTAGCTTCGTAGTCCGTTGCTTTTCAAGTCCCGGAACCAAGTGGTTCGCCAGGGGCTTACCGTCTTGGGAAACTTTCACGTTGGAAACTTTCTTGCGTACACTCATGGTTTAAGGATTTGTTTGATTATTTATGAGAGCGAGGAGATGACAGAGGGGATGAAGATGTGAATGTGGAGAGAAGATGAAGAAATACCAGCAGCAGCAAACCTATAAGTAAAGTCGCATAGGCAACAGCAATTAAAATAGAAAGAACGGTCTTTTCAGGAAGGAGCTCCTACTGGTCATAGGTGCTGTAGTGCTGGTCAGTTCGTATTCCCTATCCAACATAGTTCGCGGGATTTAATCAAATTATTTACAGACTGATGTGTGCAGGGTACAAATGAGGCTGTGAAGGGATTATTGCAGCATACTAGCCACTTTTAGTAAGCTTGCAGGGATGTGCTTGACGCATATTTTTTAACCCGAGAGCGCTTACAGGCGTAGTATGTACGTATCTGAGCGTTTCTGGGGCAGGCAATGACAACTTCTCTTAAATAAGTCAGGTTTCCCATGGAGGTACTTGGCTCTTTCAAAAGATATAGGGAAAGCGCCAAAATGTAGGAGAAAGTTATCAAGTATGGAGTGTGAAGTATAATCGCATTAACATGAAGAGATATCGATCTAAAAAACTGCTAGAGCATTTGGAGGGCTTCCCACACCTCCTGGCACATTAAGCGGACAACTCGTTAGCAGGAAAGAGTACTTCTTCTTGCTTGCACACATCCTCGATAACGCCTCAAGATCCCACAGCTCACCAATATTCAAACCGAATAAGCTAAGGAAGTATTGATGCAGAACTAGCCGTCACTTGGTCAACATAAATTCGGAAGAATACATCAAAAAAAGACTTACCCAGATCACCAATGCCTCCCTCCGACTTGTCCTCTCTCATAGGCGGCAGTTGCTCAAATGCAAGAGCATCGCCAGCAACACCAGCAAAATGGTGGTCCCATACCCATCTCGCCGTCTCAGCACATCCTTTGACTCCTACTGCACGACCACCCTTCAATGCTTCCTGTTGCTGCTCAGGCGACATCTCCTGTAGGGCACGTGTATACCCAGATCTGACTATGAGGATATCACCCTGGCGCAGGGATACGCTTTCCCACTTGGCAACAGCATCAAGCTCATCAACAGTGATACCGTGCGCGTCAAAGGGTGAGTATTTGATACCATGTGCATCAGCGTAGGCTTTATAATCGAGTAGAACACCGCGAGCAACTATGCCACCACGGTTGTGCCAGTGGTTCAGAGTCGGTAGACTGGTGTCGACAGTAAACGGAGTAGATGATTGTTCGAGAGTCTGTACACTTGGTCGAACACCATTGTAGCTCAGTTGAGTGTGTTGGTGCGCATAGTGCACCAGACTATCCCATTGACTGGAGCACTGCGTGTTGAAGGTGACTTCGTCATCAAAACCATGTAACCTGTGATGCTCGTCTTCCTTATCCTGAAAGGAAAGTACTTGATGTTGAAGTCCAGCGCGTCCAAATGCTGGTATATGCAGAGCGTTGATCGGCCAGTTTAGCGATACGGACTCGCCGTCTTGGGCTTCACGGAGGGCTGCTTGGACTACTGGTGGGGTGAGAAGGTTGATGCATCCAAGGTGATCCTTTTTGCCGTCTCGGTCGAAGACACCCCAGGCGCAGCCAGATGGCATGCCCTCCATTCCTGGGAGGTCGTCAAAACGGGGAAGGTTGCTGTAGTCGGCGTTGGACATGGTAGAGATTCAATGGGGGGCTTGGTTAATGGAAAGAAGATCGGAAGCTATATTATTTTCTTCTCCTGTCTATTCCTCCTCTATTTCAGTTTCAAGGGTTATTAGGGTTGTGGTCCTCCCCTCTATACTTCACACCCTCGGGCCGACTACAAGCGGAGTGCGGAGAAGAGTGCCGCAAAACAATGAAAGATTAAATCACAAAAAAATAAACACAAAATACACTAGTAACTGCTTGCGTCATGTCTACGCTGATCCCATGGAAAAAGGATCCACGGCTGAAATCTCCTGCATCTGCATCCACGCATTAAACCAAGGGTTCTGTTCCTCCGGCGCCGATCCAACCTCAGTGGAGACCATTGACCTTTGAATAACCGCCTCAATAGTTGCCCATCGATCACAGTCCTGTGGCCATATCTCAGTACCAGGCTGAGAGACCTTCTGTGGCTGCACAGAAATCTGGTTCTCTAGTAAATCATGCCAGAGCTGGCACACCCGATGCACAGACCGGAGCTGCCACCCCGCAAGCTCAAATGAGGTAGATGCATCTTTCACTGCGTCGCAACATACCTCAAGGTCTGCGACGGCAATTGCAAATTCGTCATAGCATCTAGAGGTACACGCTATATAAAGGTGCACCATTGACGCTGTAAACATGGGGTGTATGCCCTGAATGTTAATACGGCGCAGGGTCCAAAGTCGTTTATAGATAGCTATCATACGGGTGATTATCCGCGCAGACTCGACGTATTTGCGACGCGAATCTGGTGCTTGTCCTGTTCGTGGAGGCGTGATGAACGGGTGGTTGGCGAAGATCATGGTTTCGTGAAATTGAGTGTGCATGACCAATACATGTGGTAGATAAATTGCTGAGGTGCTGTTCGGGTCAACGGCTAGCTCAGCTGGAAGGTCATCCAGCCATTTATCTAGCGCACAAGTCACGGCGATGGTGTGCACACGTAGTTGGGAAATGGAGCCCGTGCGCTTGTCATAGCTAGAGAGCATGTTAGCAATAATCGCCTCCAAATGGGCTAGAAGCGTTACAATGTCTTCTGCAGGCGTTCCATGATATAGCACAGTTTCAACTGGTGTTCCCACATCAAAGCCAGTGGATCAACAAAGCGCTGCGGCGGCCGCTTCAGATCTACAGACTCGTCTGTGTATTCCTCCCAGTACTGAGTAATCTGGCTCTCTGCCGGCGACTGGACAGGGATTCGATTCACATCAGCGACTGGCATTGTCAATCGTCCGAGATAATAGCTCCACGCAGTATCGATTACATATGTACCCCAGAACGCAGTGCTGCGCACATTAGCTTCCTGCCTGGACATGTCATTCGACCGAACATAGTGCTCAACATCCAGGTGCAAACCTAGATGATGAGCTAGCTGCGCCGCCATGCTATCATACAACCACCCGCGAGAGTCTCTGCCACGACTGGCTTCGCTACCGCTCATCATTGCTAGGGCTTGCACTGTTGCGATGGTGGGGTTGTCAATGTCGCGCTCCAGCAGTGCCCGCGCGCGCAGGATGAAGAAGTCGTGTAACGAGCCAGGGATCTCGGGTAGGGCTCTGTCGGTGAATAATGCGCCCCAGGAGCACCTTTTTGAAAAGTAAGAGTCAACTCAATAACAGTGACTGGTGATAAAATACTCACATGGCATTAACAAGTAGTTCCGAGTAGCAAGAGGCTACCATCGAGTCTGAGCTCAAGCCGAACTCTGCCTGTCGACGGGCATTCAAAAACGCATTTTGGTTCACTACATTGAAGTAGGGATTCTCCCAGGTGAAGTACAACTTGATCAAATGATCTTCAAATTCTCGAGGGATTGTATGCCCAACGCCAGCTTGTTCCAGCCACGCGTTTGGCATTTGGTCCTGCGCATTCTGATAGAGCTGCGGCTGAAAGGGAATAGCGGTGCGAAGGAAGTGGACATTCGAAGTGGTGCCGAAGTACCTGAGCTGTCCATGCTCCGTAAACTGAAGGGATCCAGTCCGCTTTACGAGAAGCTCGATGTCGGGATCCAACCCCGGAGTCAATGTATTTCCCTGATCGATTCGTTCGATTAGTGCACGTTCACGATCGTCTCTTTCCTCTGCAGGATCATTCAAAAGCGACAGTGCCGACCAGCCGCTAAGGTCTGGCACATTTTCTGGGGAGTCTTGCGGCGCACAATTTGACTGCGGCGGCTGCGATGATGGAACTGGAATGCCATGTTCCGTCAATGTATTTTCCAACAGGCGGATCCGATCCACTAGCTGTGAGACGGCTAGTTTTGATATCCTAATCGGGTCAGCATACCGATCAACTAATATCCCCGAGATTTAACTTGCTTGCGCTTGTCTGGTCGCAGATATGTGCATCTCTGCTGCAGTCGATCACAGCTGGCGCAACTCGGTGATGCGCCGTCGCACCGGACTTTAAGACGGAAACAGTGATCACACGCCGCCGTGACATGTGAAGCCCTGCGCCCAGGCGCAACCATGATGAGTGATTAGGAACTCATGTGCTGAGCGGCTGAATGTTGTTACGGGACGTGCACTTGGTCACTCCCGGGAGTTGGGAAGTGCGGGGGATGTGGAGCGGCCGAGCGGAAAGTATGGCGGAGAAATATAAGTAACAACGAAAACAAGTCAGGATATAGAATCTGGAAATATACGATAGAATAGGCATTACTCTCTCATATGGACTAAACTATCATGCCAAAATCAAGACAACTCCTCGTGGACGGTAACGGGCTTGGCCTCATCCTCCTGCTCGCTCTCGCGAAGTGATCCTTCTCCCGCCTCCCGAAGAGCCTCACGTGCAATCTTCTCACGCTCCTCCTCGGTGGCATTATACCAATGCGAGACAACATTGGCATCGTCGCCGAAAAGGCCGCCAATCTCCTCCAGCGTGCGGCCCTTGGTCTCGGGGAAGAAGAAGTAGATCGCCAAGATATAGAAGAACGATGGGATAATCAGTACAAGATAGAACTTCCATCCAATCGTGTTAAGCGCAACCGGTGCCGCGACAAGAGTAACTTCGGAACCTAGATAGAAGCTGGCGATACCGAAGGCCACGCCTTGGGAGCGGAGGTGGTTGGGGAAAATCTCCGCAACGTAGACGTACTGTGTTGCATCGACGAAGAAACACCACCAGAAGATAAAAAAGAACACGAAGAAAACTCCCCCGCGCAGACCCGCCACGTTGTCTGTGCCGAGATACTGTGCCGTCAGGGCACAGAGGAATATCACTGCCACAGTGCAGCCAATAGAGCCGATGAGCAGACACGTCCGCCGGCCTACGCGGTCGACGTAAAATGCAGTCCAGGTGTTGCCTATGAGCGTGAAGCTAACCCAGCATGCGTTGAGCAGGAGTGGGATTGAGCCTCCCAATCCGAGACTTGCGTAAATGAGGACCCCGTAGTTTGCCATCACGAATACCCCCAGGAACTGGTCGCCCCACATCAGCATGAAGGCCACCATGGCTCGTCGGCGGTTGGCAGCCGTGCGGAAGAGCTCGAATGACCGCGTCGTCATAGCCTTATCGTGAATGAACTGTTTCTCGATCAAGTGGAATTCTTGCTTGGCTCGGGAATCGTTGATATCGTCGGGGGTCCTGTGCAGACGCTTGACAATCTCAAAGGCCTCTTCTCGACGTCCTTGTTGCAGTAGCCAGCGAGGAGAAAACGGGATGAAGGAACTGCCCGCCAGGACGATCAGAGGGAAAGTAATCTGAAACGCCAGTGGGAATCTCCAGGCGAAGGAGGCTGCCGGGTTCTTGGCAGACATGTAATAGCAGGCAAACCCTAACCAGCCAGCTAGGGTATACCCGACAGCGTACATGATGCCAGTAACAGCCACCATGGCGCCGCGGGTCTCTGCTGTCGACACTTCGGCTTGGTAGATGGGTACGATGCATGCAAGGATGGCAGCGCCCATACCGGCGACAAAGCGGCCCACGAGGAACATGGCCATGTCCACTGCACCAGAGCACAATACACCGCCAACGATGAGCACGACACATCCAGCCTGCATAGTCCGCTTACGACCATAGAAGTCTGCAGCCCAGGCCTGGAAGATGCATCCCACAATTGCGCCCGCCGAATTTATGCCATTGAGGGCTCCGATCATGTTGGTAGTGTGCGCATAACCTGGTTCACCCTGGGCCGCCAGGTTAAAGTAGGTATAGAAATTGGGCTGGCCGACGGTCGACCCGATGATGGCCAGGCCGTAGGCACTGGCAATGGTACCAATGGCCACAAAGACCACGACCCAAAGATTGTAGGCATTTACAACGATCTTGTGTAACATTGTGGTTGAGAGGGAAATAAACAGAACGAAAGAATGACAGACAGGAATAGGAGATGGGCATGACGTATTTAGGGTGCGCAGATTGAGCCATTAGTCTCAGTTCCCCTCGTCTCTCCATAAACTCTGGTATGCACAGAACTCCATGTCTCCGGCCAATCAACCGGAATGATTGGCGTGTTCTTGGTATCTCCAGTTTCACCGCCGGCGCGGAAATCCGGGGCAGAGTGAAAATGCGGGGAAGACACTTAACCTTAAAAAGATGAGGAGATGTGATGTCAGTGCCATGCAACTGCCGAGGCTGACTACTCTGTTTCGCCACGGACTGGAGTTGCTTTCTGGTTGAAAGTTCGTCAGTGCTGAATCCTGCAAATCAACTAAAAGCTACTACGAAGTAATTGGAAGTTGCTTGCTTGAGTGTCATGGGCATTGAATCAAAGAATGACCATAGGTCCATACTGTAAGAAAATATTTAAATCTTCCGGACCATTTAGGCGTACTCTCCTCATATTGCCCGCATGTCATCCTTCGTAAGTCTGTTATTACTCTAAGCAACGTAAAACTACCCCTCTTCTAGTCCCACTTATTTGCCGACCGGAGGATCCACGCGGAGGAAGATCACTTCGTCTGAAGATACCCGTACTAAATAGACGTTCTAGAGATGTAAAGCCTGTCCGGGGAACACAAAATAACGCTATATGCTATTGTATACACGGTACCTGGCATATGTATCGCATGCGCTTTGAAAACTTGTCAACATGAACATCAACAGGCTAAAATTTGAAGGTCGAGAGAAGCGTGTCTTCCAATGAATAGTTACACCAAAAACCTGATGAGCAATAACACAGACCAGGGAGTATTTCTACCCATTTGTGTTCAACTCCCTTCTTCACCTCTTCTATACTCGAATACAGCCAATCACAGTCCAGATAGTCATCCCCAAAAGCAGCAGGCGGTGAGCCCCTAGTGATGTAGTGCTCCTCGATTCCTCCACATTCAAATGCACCTCAGCTCCAACACCCAGGCCAGAACGACCCCAACACCCATCTACAACAATGCTGTCCCGCACCACTCCACGAGCAATACTGCTCTCCAGCTCCATGCGGCCCCTCCGCACAACCACGCTCACACCCACTTCCGCCCTCTCAGCTCTGCTCCCCCGATCCTCCCGCGCCATCCGCCCCAGCTCAGCGACACCACTCCGCGCTAACAGCCGGGCATTGCACGTCTCTGCCGTCAGATGCAAGGGCATCCAGCCCGACTCGTCGGACCCCAAGCCTCCGCCTGTAGCGGGCTCTGCGGCACACGTCACTGAGCCGACGCCTTTGTCGGCGGAGGAGTACCAGGAATACTCGGAGCATTACTTCAACGTGCTCCTTGGGGAGCTGGAGAAGTCTCAAGAGGAGGGCTCAGATGTTGAAGCGGAGTATAGTGTATGTCTTCTTCACTTCAACTTCCTCTCTTTCTCTAGTTCCAAGACGGAGCGGAATATGAAATTGGAGAATCAAGAAAAGCTAACATACCGTAACCACAAACAGGCCGGCGTTCTCAACATAACTGTCCCCGCGATAGGAACCTTCGTGCTGAACAAACAACCGCCCAACAAACAGATCTGGCTCAGCTCGCCCATCTCCGGGCCTAAGCGGTACGACTGGATCGTTGGCGGCGACCGCATGCACGAGAAGCAGGAGTCGCGGCCCTTTATCAGTGGGCAGTGGGTTTATCTGCGCGATGGGTCGAACCTGACGGATCTTTTGAATTCGGAGTTGACGCTGAACTTGCCGGCAGATGTCTATAGTGATAGTGAGTAGGTAGGAGGGGGATGTGGGTGGTGGGGGTGGTGGCTACATGATAATATTGGTGTACAATTGTATTTTTTTGACATCGCTACACTCATACTCATGGATGGGTTGAGAAAGGATTAGCAGACATCATTTCAATCATGTTTAAATAGGTGCAATCTATGACCGACTCGTGCTGTGCGTGGCCCTTGAGAGCCGATAAATATCTATGCGTTATCTTATACAATCACAGTAAGCCTTCTTTATTTCGAGTCACTGTAGCCACCCAACTCGAGACATTGAAACCTGTCTTGCCCGGCTGAGCGAGTCCTCTTGCACAGCTGCGCCCCATTCAAGCAAGCAAGTCTTGAAGCCATGTCCGTAGACGGTGACGTTGCCTGGATAGGCACACATCAGGATGCTAGAGTGTGCAACTTGTCCTGGATATAATATATGATATCGGCCGCGGCGAGGATATAGGCTTTGGATCACGGATTGCCGTTGTTGATGCAGGACCCATCCCATCCCTCCACCATCGACTTTTTCGGGTGCATATACATGCATGTATATGCCACCCTTGACACAGAGAGTACATCATGGGGTGAGGACAGGCGCAACCAAGACTAGCGCCTATCCTGTCCTGTGATGTCTTGGTGTATAAAATCCATCTTTCATATCCTCTGCTCTGTTCATTCACGCCTGGACAGCAACAGCCCCTGCATTCTGCCCACCATCCGGCTTCGGCAGATCCGTCTTGAAAAGAAATGCGATCAGCATTTTCAGGAACATATCCAACCTCCACGGCCGAAAAAAAAACTCACCACATCAAAAATAACCCGAATCATCAAACTGCAGCTCGGACACACGGCTATCTCCTCGCCATCGCGCAGGTCGTCGATCGCGATCTCGAACCGGTCGCCGCAGGGGCAGGGGAAGTGGTAGATTTGCATGGCCGGGTCGAAGGTCATGTCCTCGATTTCGATCTCATCGTAAATGGAGAGCGCGTCGTCGGCCATTTTGGAAGGTGTTTGCTCTGGGGAATAAATGGAATGAAAATGAATGGAGTCTCTCATCTTTCGGTGGCGGCAAAAAGTTTGGCGGTGGTCATGTGACTGCGGAGAGGGATTAGTTAAGCGGTTTGTATAGTTAACGTAAACCACGGGCGAGTGGCCCACACGGGCGAGTGGCCCACCCACTCGCAACCGTACGCATTTAATTCAATATAAGTCAATTACCAACGCCTATTTTACATATGAAATACCCGCATACTAATCAGGGCATTTAGTCCTCCTATGCCCTATTTGCCAGCAATTTGAACACCGCGGTGGCGCACGCTGCTTGGTTGGTTCCGCTGCCGACGAAGGACCTGCTTCGGCAGTGTTTTCCACTTCAACGACTAATTGATCATCCAACATTCGCTGTACATTGTCCTCGCCTGTCATTCCTACTTCACTATCCATCCATTTGCTAGGTTTTGCCTGCTTTTGTTTCGTTTGGTTGACCTGGGAGCGTAGTTTCTCAATCTCGCGTGCCGATATAGCACTCTTATGCATCTCTCTTTCGTATCCTTTGACTAATTGCGCGAAAGCCTGTACAATAGGACTAGGCGGTGAATGCATACGCTGGCGAAGGAGCTTATTGATTGAATGTGCCTGACGACTTAGGTCCTTTGTATGATGAGGTGTATGGGGGACAAAACTGCTACTGTCGCTCCCACTAGTCCCTGGTGGTGATGGTGTATATATATCGGCAAGCAAAATATTTAGCTTGTCTAGCACACGCTGCGCATCTAGCGGAACGAGGCCAGCAGCGGCAAAGCTATTTCGTATAGTAATGCCTTGATATGCTTCATCTCGGGCACGTGGATATGCAGTAAGGAAATCAAGCTTATCAATATGGTTCCGGCCCCAGCGAATCCAGTCCTGGATAAGCTGACCATATGATCGCTTAATAACAGCAAAGCAGCCCACATCGAGAGGTTGTAATAGATGTGAGGAATGCGGTGGCATACATATAGAAACAATATTGTTTTCTATACATAAATCATCAAATGCTGCGGTCATATGGCTTCCATGGCCGTCTAATATTAATAGACGCCATACCCCCTGCGTGCGCTGTGTAGTCAATGGAATAAAATGGTGTTTTAACCATCGTAGACCAATTTCATCAGTAGTCCATCCATTGTCGCTCGTTTCGAGGCGCCAATCGGACGGAAGATCCACGAACCAAGACTGATTATATCGCTTGCCTTTGAAGATGATAGTAGGCGGAAGCGCCCATCCACTTGCATTGACTGTTTCAATAGCAGTGACCCATTCGCGATTACCAGGGCGTACTAACTTGCGCCTACCATAGTATTCCCTGCGTGTAACAACCTTTGAGGTGCTTGTAATACCCATTGCGAAGCCCGTTTCGTCAAAATTATAGATATCCATAGGCAGAATACCATATTGCTCAATAGTGCGTCGGACAGTAGTAAACCAATCCCGAATAACCACTGGATCTTCACATTGAGCGCGCTTATAGTCATAGCCCCTACTAAAGCGCATTGTAAGGTCGTCGTGGCGTTTCATAAAAGTCCCTGACCAATTAACTCCAACTGTTTAGATAGGGTCCTCGCCGCGCTTCGCAAGTAGAATATTTGCCATTTCTCGTATTAGGGCGTGATCGGCAGCAATTCCTCGGTCGTCCATAGAAAGAAGCCATTTCTTTAACGATTCCTCTTCTAATTGGGTCAATTTTGTGTTATTTGCGCGTGTAGTAGGACGATAGGTCTGGCCCGCGAGCCTGTTCCGGAGGGTGGTTCTGGGAATACCAAATCGACGTGCCGCTTCACGAATATTGACAATTTCGTTGTTCTTGTATGCTTGTATTGCGAGTAGGACCCTTCCTTCCTGATTAGAAGAATTAGGGCCCGATATACTGCGTTTTGGTGGCATGGTGGATGGTTGAGGAGAGTAGGAACGCGTCGGAGACGCGATTTGGGGGCAGGTGGGCCACTCGCCCGTGTGGGCCACTCGCCCGTGGTTTACGTTAACTATAGTTACAGGAACTAACACAATCATCACTCTCCCAGCCGTGCAATCTCCATCTTAACCGTTTCCACTTCTCGGGCGAGCACTCCATATCGACGAGCAATCTCCGCAAGAGTCCCGCCATCACCCACAGACTGTGTCCCCGATCCATCAGACACCTCCACATCCCCGTAATCCCGGAGCTCTTCAATCGCCATCACCCGCCGTTCTTCGAGCTGATCGCGCGTTTGGCTGAGGTGATCTCGGTACCGGGTGAGTGCCGCCAGGGCTTCAGGTGTATATATGGTAGCGGCGACTTCGAGCTTAGTGACTCTATCGAAGGTAGAATTAGATTTAGTAGTGCTCCCAACGTCTTTCTCGCGAAGCACGAATGGTGCAGTACATACTCAAGTTTCCCCTCAACCCCCTGCGCAACGGTAGCCAAATGTTCCGCCTTGGCCTTCGTCGCCCGCGCCAAGGCACCATGCTTAACCCGCTCGAGGGTAATAACGGTCCTCTCCAAAACCAGCGTTCGGGTCGCAAGCACATCCGCCGCTGTAGCGGCCATCTGTCGTCTAGCTGTGGGCAACTCGAACAGTTGGATCTGGCGCAACGCGCGCACCCGGTCACGGAGGACATTCGAGACTGGCGGCGCGGAGGCAATGGATGTGCGGACTCGACGGTCGCGGGCTCGTGCGCGCGCGTGGTGGCTTAGATGTGCTGGGGCATGGATGCTTCGTGACAATGAGGTGGGAACTCCTCCTGTTCCTGTTGAGGTTGTTTCTGGGGACGTGGTTGGTTGTGCAGTGGCTAGGTTTCGGAGGTTGTTGACGGATGACGAGAGGAGGGTAGAGAATGAGTGCGTAACGGATGGGATGTATGAGTGGAATGTTTCGATGTCTGGTGCGAGTAGTGAGAGGGCGTCATCGTCATCTTGCTCCTCCGAGTTTTGGGCGCCTTGTTTTTCTTGCTTGGGTCTGTCGGTGTCGATTGCGGCACGCGGTGTCTCAAGGTACAGCGAAATTATGGCGAGATTATCCCGGCACTGAGATATCTCCAGAATTAGCACACGAAAACAAGACACACGGCGCGACAAAGGGTCCATTCCCAGTGACGGACGACGATACTGACCTCATTGGGCAACCCGCTGTCAGGAGCAAACGCCAACTGCCGCAGCATTCGCTTCTTGATCCGCTTCTTTGCATATTGCTTCTGGCATTGTTTCAAGTCCTAACCCGGGTACGACGGTCAGTTCTCTGTTTCTTGTCGTTCTTCCGTGCCCAGTGCGACAAGCCCAAGCTCTACAAAGGCGGGCGTTTGTGGGGGGGGGGGAGGGTGTATGTACCTCTACCGCGCGTTCTCGCTCCGGGAGCGCGCCGTGCGCACGCGTCGAGCCATCGGGATTGAAAAGCGTGGTCGTTAGATTTTCATAGAGCCGCTTGAATAGAGGATTGTGCGCGAGGATCGAGGGATCGCAGGGGGGATCATGGTTGACGGAGCAAGATGTGGACGGGAGAGAGAGCTCCACCGCGGTTGACAATGATCTACGGGCCTCGGGCCTCACCCAAGACTAACTAGATTCTACAGAGATCAGAAAGCCTGCAGTACTCGTACATTTGCATTTCCATATCATCGTAATCATACAGGAGCAGCTGGCCATTCCAGCTCCAATCATTCACTCACTCCCCTTTTTACCCCATCTCCATCTCGGTCGTCTTCAGCGAGTGAACCACACAACAAAAGCCAGTCGTCCCTGCGCCCTCCCATTTTTCATCTTGCGCCAAAATCCGAATCGCAAAATGTACACGCAGGCAATGGGGGAAAGTTCAAAGAGAAAAAGAAAATCCAGTCCATGGAGAAGCCTGGCCATCCAAAAAGCCAGCCCTCGCTGAACCCGAAGGGATTTTCGAGAGAAGCAAAGAGTGCGTATGTACAAGGTGTATTCCTGGTGGTGGAGAAAAAAGATCCAGGGGTGGATCAAAGAGATTCAAAAAAAGAAAAAGAAGAGACGCTCAGAACGCAAATCAGCGCAGCGAGGGCATGCGCAGATGAATTGATCGGTATTGAGCATCTACTCCTCCTCGCTCTCCTCGGAATCTTCGTCTTCGTCATCACTGCTCTCCATGGCTTCGACAGATGGCATGGGGTTGGGAGAACCGCCACCCTGGAAGCGAGACAGGTTGCTTTCGAGCATGTTAATCTGAGCCTCCTGCTCGTACTTGCTCATCGGCTTGTTCTTTTTCGGCTTCGGGGCGGCGAGGTTGCTGGCGGGCGCAGAATCCTCGTCATCCATGATGTGAGGCACGTTCTTCTTCACAAACTTGAGAAGCATCAACAGCACATCATTGGGAAGTTCATCGATATCCAGTTCAATCTCCGCTTCTTGGGTACCCTGAAAAGCAGGTTAGTATGTAAAACAAAGCCGCGAGAAAAAGCTTACCTTCAGAGCAGGAACATTGTTCTGGATGATCTTGAGGGCCTCCTGCATCTTCTTGTCCGGCAGACTACTGATACCGTTGGAGATAATCTGCTTCTCGTGGTAGCTTACCCAGCGAGGCTTGTCAGACTTGGAGCTCTTGATCTTCTTGTCCTTCTTGCCGCTAGGAGCGCTGCTCTTCTTGGAATCCTTCTTGCCCGATTTCTTGCCAGCCTTCTTAGACGAAGGAGGAGTCTTCTTCTTCTTCTGGGTGATCGCTTCGACCTGGCGAGACATCTCCGCAATCTGCTGCTGGAGCAGCGTAAGGCGCTCGTCATCCTCATCGCTCTCGTCTTCTTCCTCATCACTGTCCTCATCGGACGAGTCGGAATGTTGGTAGTGATGCGGCTCGTGGGACTCCAGGTAGCTAGCCTTATGGCTCCATTTCCAGTTGAAAACTTCTTCCAATCGCTGGCCGGCCGCATAGATAATATCACCGGCCATGTTGAACCGGAAGCAGTTCTTCAGCATCTGGCGAATATCGATCTCAAATTCCTTGGCGTTCTCGTACTGGCCAGACCTTAGTTTGTTCTGCACGGTAGACAGATCCATCGGCTTCTTGATCACGCTGTGATAGTTGGGGATGTTCAACGCAACAGGGTCCACGGGCAGATAGAAAGGCGCGGCAATTTCGTAGTACTTCCCCTTGTGCAGTTCATCAAGGACCTCCTGGCAGAACTTCAACTCCCACTGGAACTTCTTCTTCTTCGGTTTGGTGGAATAGGGAAGATCGCGCTTGGGGGGGTGGATCGACCGCTTCGGACGTCCGTCGGGGTTGGAAGAGTCTCGCCGAATGGTGGGCAATCCTTCTGGGCCCAGCGCAAAGGTCGTTCCCCCCTGGGGTGAGGTTGCCTTGGGCGGAGCAACCGGGCCACCGGTAGAGGTCCGCGGCTCCCGACGCGCAGCAGAGGTCTTCTCCGCCACCTTCTTGGGCTTCTTTTCCTCCACCTCGTCAGGCTTGGGAAGATTGGCCATTTGCTTTTCAAATGTCGCCCTCAACTTGTGACCTTCCTGGGTAACGAGGTGGTCCGGACCGTTGAAAGTCTGGGCATTCTGAACCATCAAAGCGACATCGTCAATAACCCCTTGCGGAGACGAATACTCGTTGGCCTTGAGCTTCTTCTCAACCGTTCCCAAGTCCATGGGTTGCTTGATCACATTGGGATAATTCGGGATGTTCAGCGCGACGGGGTCCACAGGCACCTTGTAGAAGCGCGCATCATGCATACGCTTCAGGCTGGTCAGACACTTTGAAATGAACTTCTGCTGCAGCTTGGTGACTCCTGATTCGCCACTGGCCGGAGGAGCCGGCCCGGGGGTTTCGGTCCCCGGAGTCGGCAACTTCGGAGCCTTGGTTTCGGTAGTAGCCGAGTCCTCGCCTTCAACTTTGGTGCGCTTTGCAGCGGGTTCTTCACCACCATCGACTTCGCGTTCTCTGGCGATCTTGGTCGGAGACATGGGCACAGGGGGTGCATCTTTCATCTCCTGATCGGTTTGAAGCGAAGGCAGGACCGGGGGTGTAGAAGACGCTGCCGCAGGGTCATGCGGGCCGGCGGATTTGTTCTCGGCGAAGAGGTGGTGGGGCAGTTCGGTTTTCACGGAGGCAGACATGTCCTGTGGGGTTTCAATGTCCATCTTGTCCGGAGTATCAGCAGCGCCATCGGTCTGAGCAGGTGGCTCACTGCCGGTATTCGCGGGTCCCTGCCTTGACGGAGGAAAAACAACAACATTGTTCGCCGGTGTCTCCGCAGCGGGTGTTGCAGATTCCTGAGTCGGGCCCTGACTGGGCGTAGCCCGGTCCTCTGGGCTTTCTTTCTTCAACTCTGTAGCCGTGGGGGGCTCGATAGAAGGTTCGACAGAAGGCTCGAGGGAAGGCTCGATGGAAGGCTGAGCGGCAGAGGGCGTCTCTGCTGGCACCGACGAAGAAGGGGGTTCACTATCGACGGGTGCCGGCGGAGCAGGAGATTTGGGGGGAGAGGCAGCAGTATTGGTACCATTGGCGATGGCAGTCTCGCCAGGCGTATGGCCATTCACCGCCGTAGGAGTGATCTCAGGCAGGGTCGGGGGAACATCTTGTTTGAGGTCTGAAACCATATTTTGCACGCTGGTAGTCAAAGTCAGCAAATGTTTGCAGAAAGCAGGTGACAGGAAAAAACTGACCTCATGGGCGCCAGGTCGGGCGCAGCGACTCCGGTCGGCGAGGGAGGCAGCTGAGGCTTGTCCTCCTTGACAAGGGGAGGAGCCTCGGGAGGCGGGGTCGCCATGGAGTCGTGTTCCAGTCGGAGAGAGTACAGGGTCTAGGGTGGCACGAAAGGTGGGAGTGTATGGGAGTGATTTTGGAAGCGCGCAACAGAGTCAACTGGATACAGACTTGCGCCCCACGCGCGGAAGCTCAGGCAATGCGGGGAAAGTAGAACTTGGTTGGCGCAGAAGCTTTGAAGGGTTGTAAAGATGGAAGAGATGGGGAAGAATGCAGGAAGAGATGGAGGGAGAGGTGGGGGGAGAGGCGATCGTGAGGGAAGAGAGAAAGATGAGCTGGAAGAAAGTTGGAGAATGCGATGGCAAGGCGACAGAATTTATGGGGCGGTGAGGGAAGTGGTCACGTGGGCGGTGGGTGGTGGATAGAATGGTGAGCCTGCCAAGAAGGAAGGAAGGAGTGAGAGGTGTGGGTGCCTGAGGCCCGGGGTGAGGAACTGGATAAATCAGAAGGCGGGAGGGAGGGTAGGTGAACAATTAATAATAAAAACCCAAAGCACCGAAAAATAAAAAAAAATAAAGGTGGCTGGGGGGGCCGAGTTAAAAGGGGCGTAGACGCGACGCGTCTGTGTTTAGGGCGACGGACAGGGGGGAACCAAGGACACGAAGGGAAAGGGGGGCGGTCAAAGGGCTTAAAAAGACGGAAGCAGAATTCTTCCTCGGAGGGGATGCTAGAATCCTTAAGTACAACAGCCGGAGTGCGCCCCTAGTTCCACCGCTGGCACTAGGCCGCATTCGAGGGTTGGTTATGGCTAATGATTGGTTTGGTCCGATCGCGTTCGCTCGTCCTAGGGGTGTGATTGGTGTGGTTGTGGACGATGTGGACCCGCTGTATCATCGAGGAATACAAATTTTCACTGCTGCTACAGTAGTGTGACCAGCTTGAACCAGCGTGAATATAGATAAATATTAAAGATTCGTTCGAATATATCCTATAATATAAATACATATATACTATATTTATAAATCCATCTGCCGTCTGCGAGGGATACAATCCCTGAATTCATGGTGTCGGCTGACTAACCCTCACAAAAGGCAACCGGAGGACCGGCTCAAAACGTCACCAGCACGTGACGGGGCTGCGTCCGGATCTATACAAACACAGTGCGGCGAGGTGCATGGCATGGCCAATCCCTTGCTGTGGACATGTACATGCGTAAAGATGGATATATATGAATTGATCTGTATGACTGTTTGCTAGATGATTGCATTGCGGTGAATGGTGTTCTTCCCGCTGTGTAGATGAGTCTAACGGTATTGAAAAGAGTATAAAGATAGCATAAAGGTAAATTGGCCAATTACTTGCCAGAGTGTATGTCCATGGAAGTGACATGCTTCTTGATAACTAGCCGTGAAGTCAATCATTGTGTTTCTCTGAAAATATATATTTCGGACATAGATCTCATCCAGCATACTATAGTAAATCAGCACATAAATCCATCACCAGATAAGAACACCATATTGATAGCGCATATCTGCGATAAACGCTATTTCCAGAACCTGTCTAACCCCCCCCCTTATCGAGATCAAATCAACACTAACTGTCCTGCCCATACTCCAACACAGATTTCACATCACGTGATGATAACGTCTATCCACTAACCACATATGGACTAGCGCCTATACGAACATTTTTTGGGCTTTTTTTCACTTCCCGCAGCGACTGCGACTTCCCAAGAGCCCCAGCAACCCCATCTCGTTTACCCGGGGTCGACAATCCAAAGCACGGGATTCCTGTAATTCTAGTTGCTTCTCTGGGGTTCATCTGTCCTTTTCTCCCCCCCCAACACATCCTTCTCAAGCGAAGAAACCCAAAAAAGGACCCAAAAAATGGGCAAGAAGACATCTCGCCCATCTACTAAGATGGGCTCGGCCGCATCGCCTGCCGCCGGTCTCTCACAAGCAACCAGCAAGACCTCTGTGCTGCGGGCTGCGTTCTCTCCATCCCAATACCAATTGGCGCTGTTTGCGTCCGTCATCCAGGGTCTCGATGCGCAGCACATCCGCATCCACGATACCAACACCGGTCGTCTACAGTGCGAGCATGCCTTGAACCCGAAGGAGACTGTCACCTCGCTGGACTGGGGATACTACGGTGGCCAGGGCAAGAACCGCGATCAGTCGAAGAAGAAGCGGAAACGCGGCTCCGACATCAACGGGGTCGACGGCCTGGACCAGGGTGATATCGTCGTTGCGTTTGGCACCAGCTCGTCTGATATTCGCATGTACTCGCCTGTGGAGGACAAGATCGTTGCTACTCTCGCCGGTGCCCATGACAAGGGGATCAAGGATTTCAAGTTCACGGCCGATCGGCCGGGCCAGGAAGGCTGGAGTATTGGCGGCGACAACAAGTTGGTCCAGTGGGATTTGCGCACCGGGAAAAGCATAAGGTACGACATGATACCTGCTATTTTATGGCATAACTAACAGCAAAATTCTCAGAATGATCCATCTCCCTTCATCGGCGCCTTTGACTGCTCTCTCGCGCCCCGTTTCCTCGAACCCGCCCGTCATCTGTGCCTCCCAGAAACCGTACCTAATAGACGCCGAAAAGGCCGACGAGCCTCCCGTTGAGTTCGCCGCGATGCCGAATCAGATCCATTCGATTATCTCGTCATCCACAGAGTCTGTGGGCGCATTCCTTGCGTCGGACGGAGACCGGTACATCAATGTCTTCGATGTTGCCAGCCGGAAGCTGGTGCGGAATCTCGTCGCAGAGCAGGATGTGTCGTCGGTTTCATTATATCCCGAGGGCAAAGTCGCGCTGGAGAAACAGATTCTCGCAGCTGTCACCGACGATGGCACCATAGAGCTCTTCACAAAACCGTTCGTTCAGCCCGCCGCGGCGGCCACCAGTCCCAAGGCTAGCCGGAAGCAGATGACGCAAAGATCAAACGCTTCTCTCAAGGTTACGCATTCTGAGTCCTCCGACGCCTGCGTGCCCGTGGTCGCGGCCTCATTCCAAGGCTCGGACATCGTCGTGGCGTACACCGAGGGTGGCGTGATTCCAGTGTTTGAGCGTATCAAGTTCCTCAACGCTGATACCGAAGAGTTGTTGTTTACTGGCGCAAAGAACGTGGTCAAGAGCAAGTCCAGCTCTGCTGTTGCAGCAGTGACCACGAATGGAGTCAAGGGCGCGGGCGAGAGCCGGGTCGACGAGACCCGCACGGTTGTTGAAGCAGGAAATCTTGTGGATGATGATGTCGAGATGCAAGATTCCCGACAAGATGTCGAGATTGCCGACAGCGAGGAGGACTCGGACGATGCTGACGAGGATACCAAAGCAGTCGCTGTTGAGAAGAAGATCAAGCCCGCGAAGAAGCCAGCCGGTGACGAGGAGGACGTCGAGATGCAAAACGCTCCTGAATCCGAGGAGGAAGATGATGATGAAGAAGTGGGCGCAGAGCCATCCTTCGGCGAGCTCCTGGGTGTCAACACAGGTCAGGAAGTCGACGTCGAAGCCGAGCTAGACGACGACCTCCGCCTCGGCGCATTGGTGCCCGGAAAGCCCAAAGCTGCAGTGCAACAGATCCCATCCGGCATCTCGCTGGCCACCGTGCTCACGCAGTCGCTGAAGACAAACGACAATGGCATGCTCGAATCCTGCTTCCACACTGGGGACACCTCGATCATTCGGACGACGATCCAACGTCTCGACTCCTCGCTTGCCGCGACGCTGCTCCAGAAGCTCGCGGAGCGTCTCTCCTCCCGCCCGGGCCGTTACGGCCACCTTCTCGTGTGGGTGCAGTGGACGTGCGTGGCGCACGGCGGCGCGCTGGCCGCACATCCGGATCTGCTGAAGCGCATGGCGACGCTGTTCAAGGTGATGGACCAGCGCTCATCCAGTCTTCCGTCCCTGCTTCTCCTCAAGGGCAAGCTGGACATGTTGGATGCGCAGCTGGGCCTGCGGCAGTCGCTGCGCAGCGGCGCAGAGGGACTGGATAGCGAGGATGAGGACAACGTTATCTACGTGGAGGGCCAGGATGATGAGGAGGACAGCGAGGTGGAGGCCAAGGTCCCGCGCACGAAGTCGATCCGCGATACGGCCTTCGACGAGGACGAGCCCATGATGAATGGTGTTGCGGATGAGTCTGATGATGACGAGGACGAGGGCAGCGAGGAGGAAGATGAAGATGAGGAAGACGGGCTCCTTGATATCGAGGCTGAAGAGTCTGCCGGCTCATCTGATGCTGAGGAATCGCTCGAGGAGAATGAAGATGATGAAGATGAGGACGCCGAGAGCGCTAGCTCGATGGTTGACTTCATTGCCGACTCGGAGGATGAGATGTCGGAGGATGATGTTGCCGCTGCTGCCCCGCCGCCGCCGTCGAAGAAGCCCAAGACGTCTGCTGGGAAGAAGGGTAAGGCTGGTAGGAAGTAAGCCTAGCCTTGTCCCCTCTCCCTGTGTATCTGGCGAATTTGTTTCTTGTGTGCTTTTGGTTTATAAAAGAGTATCCCATACGTGTGTGCTGTGCATCGGATGGATCTAGATCTGTCTGCATTTCTTTTCTTCAAATTTCCTGTCTGTCTTTTCTTTCTCACTTGTATTCTTCTGGTCATCCAATAGGAGATGGTTGGCAAGTGCCAATCCCAATCAAAGCATATTCTATGTCTCTTCCTAACTTTCTTACTCTACTGTATGTGGGTACCCATTCCTCCTCCTCCCATCCCTAGCTCTAAGCCACAATCCTCCATTCAATCAATCCAAAAGCTCATTCCCCTCACAAGCCCCCTCCGACAAAACCCGATGCTTCGGCACACCCGCCTCCCCCAGGGGAATCTCCAACCCAATCGAGCGATCCTCTGACGGGTAGTCCGTATAATGACCCAGCTTACTCACATCGGGAGTGTCGAGCGCGAGAAGGGCGCTGTTCTTTCCTGCCGAGATACGAGCTGAGGATGTCGAGTTTGGAAGCGTTATGCGGAGTTCGCCTGAGAGGCAGATTACCCATCTGGATTTATTAGTTTGTGAGTTGAGGGATTAGGGAGAAAAGCATGCTGGGTGGGGTGTAAACATACTGGTTAACAGGCGCATTATGAATCCCACCGTCAAACTTCGGCGGCACAACAACATAGCTCGTATTTCCACCTGCAACACCGCCGATGGGACCGAGGGATAGAAATGACGCGCCGTCCGTCCCGGTCACGGTGGAGGTCTCGAAGTCTGGCTCGAGAGCCCAGCATTCTATCGCGGAGCGGCCATGGTGCGCGGTTATGACGGTGACATTTAGTGTTTTGCCTAGTGGGGGTAGTGTAGATGTCGTTCCGGTAGAGGTTGAGTGAGATTTGGCGGCGATGAGGGTGGTGCCCGTCAGCAGAAGGGGGAGGAGGGTGGAGAGGTGCATTTTTTTGTTTTTATGGGGAGAGAATGTATCCTGATAGAGTATGTAGTGAGGAAGAGAAAGGGAAAGAATGAGATATCAGATGGGAGATATCTGGTAGTTACACACTCGGCAGTGACTACTGAGATGATGAAAACTGGAATTCAAAGCTGCTTATGTATGTTTGTACCTCGGAACCTTGACAGCCTTGGAATGCGACGCTAAAATTTGACAACCGAACGGTCAGGGGTGTGCATGGCGCTAGTGGTGGCTAAGACCGGGGATAATCCTGAAGGATTGGTAGGTTTCCGGGCGTGCGTATGAACGTAGGAAACGTCCGAGAAGAATAGTGGGGTGGGATCGACATTATTCTTCGTCACACTACGCGTAACGAGAACTATAAGCAATTACACTAGCTGTCAACGGCTCAGCTCAGTCTTGCGCCGATCATAAGAATAGAGGGGATACAAACAGCAAGCTAACAACGAGCGTGCACGCCTAACGAATGACTTCACTTCCGGATTTCTCGATCCCCTCCAGACCCTCTAGGATATCGCTTCCTCCCAGCAGTCCGCAAGCAGACCCAATGCTCTTTCTGCGCCCACTCCAGACTTCGTGGAACTTGACTGTCTGATCACTGGATGCGACGATGATGCATCCTTCCTCCCTGGTCCCCGTGCACCACATCCCTCCTTCTTTTTCTTTGGGACGGATCCTCAGAGGTCCCGGACAGTACCTGCGGCTCCTCCTGTTCCTGCGTTTGGTGATCGGTGGTACACGCTCTGGCGAGAGTGGAGGATGTAGACTGTCCCAGTCGTCGAGTGTAGCGGAAACATGGGGAGGTGGTCGTCCTGGGTAACTGACTGCCCACAGTGCTCTTCCGCAGTCGTAGCCCGCTCCACGATGCTGTCCGTCCCAGCTGGTCCCGTACGGGCCCCATGGGATCACGGCGACTTGAGCACAGCTTGGCCAGGCGAAGATGGCAATTCGATAGGGGTGTTCGGGCAGTGCGAACCCGAATGTAGCAACGATCTCACGTCGTGTCTGGCTCCAGATCAGACTGGTTACCTGGGCGAACACGTTGATGGTTGCGAGACAAGCTCCCGTTCGGGTATGGTAGAAATGAATGGCTCCGTCGTTGGTGCCTCCGCCTGTTGCGAGTAGCGAGGGTTGCCATGGCGCAAATGCAATTGCCTTGACTGCTGCTGCGTGTTTCAGCCGATGCTTCTGGCTGTTATATGGCACCAGGGTAGCTCGCCCGCTGCCAGGCCATACGGTTTCTGACAGAGACGGTGCTTCAGATGGCGGGCTCGAAAGACTGTTCATCCACAACGGCGGCCAATGATTGAAAAAGTGACGGGTTCTGAATAGCCCTCGTCGTTCGGAGCTTGACGTAATACACTGGAAAATGTTCGGACTGGCTCTCGTGGACTCGATAGATACGGCAGACGAGGGCAATTTCTGCGATGAGATGAGCTCGTTCAACTCGAAGAGAAGGCAGGAATTGTCATTGCCGCCCGTGGCAATGAAAGTGTCATCTGGAGACCAGGCCAGACCGCAGACCTGCTGGGTGTGTGCCGAGATCTTGACGAGTAATGTAATGGACCCTTTCCAGCCCAACTGGTTCTGCAACTCACCATCGGACCAGTCGACTGAGTAGTACCAGACATCCCCAACCTCATCGCCCACCACGAGATCCTCTGCCTCGACTTCCAGATCCTCAAATCTTACTGAAGGTCTGCGCGTAGTTTTGGGCTTGAATGAGACGCAGGTGATGTTGGCAGAATGATTGAGTTCAAAACGGATCTCTGAATCGAAGATGCTCCACAAGGATAATTGGCCTGACTGACGAGCAACCGCCAGGATACTCTTTCGGCCGATCTCAGAAGAAAAAGACAAGGAAGTCACATAATTTGATGGTTCCATATCTCCAAAAGGCGGATGCTCCACCCCGAACCGTTCCGACCAGAGATAGACATGCTGAGCAAGACCGACAGCAAGCACGCCAGAAGTAAAAGAATAAGCGAGAGTCGAGCAATAAAAGTCATTGCGCAGAAACGGTGCATCTAGGATTCGGAATGGTTTAGGCGGGACAACCTCTCCTTTGGTAGGATTTGTAGGCCCTAGCATTGTCCAGCAGTTAGTTGATGCCGCAGAGCAAGCTGCAAATAACGCCATCTCACCCTGTAAGTGACGGTGCTAGATGGTGTATAGATTGACCTAGGTAAGTAATAATTGACACCTCTCTGACACTGCGTAAGACAAAGCGGTCCACTTACAATGACCCCTCTCAACTTTCTTCCAAGCATTGTCCTTCCAGACAAAAGGAGAACAACGCTCATGATGTGAAGACGCCGGACTGGGAGGTGTAGTACGGCCAGCGGATAGCATGCAAGTATCAAGCAGTCGAGACGCCGGGTCAATGTCTAGCGCGAGTGCAAGCCGTGACTCATGCATGTCTCGCTCGTCTGCAATGGTGCTTTGAGGGAGAAAGTTGGCCGCATATATGGGGGCAGTGGTTCCTCTACTCAACACGTTGGGGTGGTCATTGGAGATTGACGTTGATGGAGGTCCCAACACTCCCGAGACTCCTCCAACGCCCCAGACAGCTCCCGCACTGACGTTCCTCGCAGGATCATTTGACACATAGCGGGCTCTCTCTACCGCCGCCGTGTCAGAGACGAGACGAGGCCGTTGATACGGTCTCTGCCAGAGACGAATTGGTCTTTGCGGCCCCGGCACAGTGACGGGACGGCGTGGTCTAAGCGGCAGAAACGGATCATTACCTGGTAGACGCTGCCGCAGCAATTTCTGTTGAGCAGACAGTTGCTGTGGGGGTTTGCTCACACGGTATGAAGTTGAAGGAGGATCGACAAACGCGCGCTTTGGGATGAATCTGTCCGGGGAGGCGGGACCGCCAAAGGTATTCCTTGCTGGGAATCCCGTTGCAGCGTGGCCCCTTTCTGGAGATGCAGTCTTGTTGTCATTGAAACAAGGTGGCGAATTCGCCTGAGCATTGGCTCGAGGCTGTTGGGATAGTGATATCTGAAAACCGGCTGGCGATTCCAAGAGTGGTAAAGTGATTGTGGCAAATTCGGTTAGTTGGACAGGTCCATTGTCTCTGCTAGACTTGGACCGAGAAATGAACAAGAATGAGGTGTTGCGGCTGTCGCCTGCTGCCGAGGATTCCTCGAAAGAGTGACATCGTGTATCTACTACCATGACTGTTGATGGAATTGGTGAGTTGTGAGTGGAATCGACCCACGGAAAGGAGTGTAGGTAGAGCCCAAGGAGAGAATGGGTGATGGGCGAAGTGTCAATGAAAGTTGTTTAGAAGGAAATGAAGAGAGAAAGTACGACAAGAGGCAGAAGAAGCAATGGCGTCACGTGATGCGATCGATGGATTAGGCAGGCGCCAGTCACGGGTCCCTTTCCCTATTTCTTTCCATCATCATCATCCATCCGGTTAGAATGGCAAGCGTAAGGACACCCTCCTCGGTTAGCTTGATCATACTGATGCCGCTGGACAGCATGGCGTGCCGCGCTCAAAACAGACAGAGAGGTCTCAGGAAGCGCGGCAGCAGGAATTGCAGAAAATAGAAAAGTACCAGGACCTGGAACGCCAGGTTCGCCAAAAGGTCTGTCCGGATTGGACATAACAATAATGAGCAGAGACTGACTGCAACATAGGTGGCCGATCATGAATACACAGCCGACACATTGAAGCAGCTCGGGGACCTGCTGGAGAGCAACCCGGAGTACTACACCATCTGGAACTATCGACGGCGAGTGCTGCAACATCAGCTCTCCCAGATAGATGCACCTCAGATGAAGCTACTCGAAAAGGATCTCCTATTTCTGATCCCGCTTCTGAGTAAATTCCCCAAATGTTACTGGATCTGGAATTATCGCCTATGGCTACTGGACGAGGCTCGTCGGTTACTATCACTCCCCGAGGCCCGCAAGATTTGGGAAGGTGAGCTGGTCCTGGTGAGCATGTTTCTGAGCAAGGACCGCCGCAACTTTCACGCCTGGGGGTATCGACGGCTGGTATTCGACACCTTGAAGCAGCTTGCAGACGCGGAGGAGACGCGGACAAGCATGACCCAAAAGGAATTTGAGTATTCGGACAAGAAGATCCGCGAGAATCTGTCCAACTTTTCTGCCTGGCATTACCGGACGAAAATCATCCAGCGGTTGCTGGATGAACAGTCTGCCAGCGATGCCGAGCGGAAGAAGATGCTGGACGACGGTTCGGTCTCCCCCAACCCATTGGTTGTCCGATTACTGATACAGTTTCCCAGAATTGGACTTTGTTCACCAGGCCTTGATTGACCCGCGCGACCAATCTCTCTGGTTCTACCACCAGAACCTCATGTGCGTCTTTGACCCCTCAGTGGCGGAGCGGACCATGGCTCCGAACCTGAGCGTGTCCGACCGGGTGCAGTATCTTCGGAATGAGATCGAGTTCATCGAGGAGATGCTGGACGGGGACGAGGACTGCAAATACATCTACCAAGCCCTGATCGACTGTACCGTTTTAGTGGCCAAAGTGACCGGCACACGGTCGGACTCAGACCGAGATCAGATTCTGAGCTGGCTCTCGGAATTGAAGAAGCTGGATCCATTACGAAAGGGACGCTGGGCGGATTTTGAGCGGAGTCTGAGTTAGTTCGGGGTGGCCTGATCCTGTGTATATAGCTTCTTTGGCCCCTTGTTATGATTATTCGGCCCCCAGAGGATTTGGTCTGGCCATGAAGAAAAAGAAAGTCGTGGAATTTCTGCTCGAATTTAATTTCTTCTTTTCTTCTGATCTTCATCATCATCATCATTATTATTCTTCTTCTTCAGTGTGAACTACCCTCGTATACAATTGGTACTGCTGTCTCGGGTACATTAACTGCTTGTCCACCGCCCGTGCCTGAGTTTCGCCCGACCTGGAATCCAACCTCACACCGTGGCCCATTCCTACCTTCTCCCTTGGAATCTCATCCACATTATCTCCCTTTTTGAATGGGCCGATCGCGGGCCGTTTGTGCTTCTCTTCCTATGGAGTGTTGTGTGTGATTTAACCCAAGACAAACATGTCCGCGCGCAATAGTCATGACTACGCCGGGGTAAGTTGTCTCCCTGTCGGTCTCACGCGACCCGGCAAATGCTGACGGTGCCTCTCAACAGGAGTCCTTCGACGACGCCCGGGAATCGATCGAGAACAATGACACCAACGTGGCCCTCAAGCCCTCGTCGACGCGGTCGTTGACCGACAGTCCCCCTGTCGGCAACATATCGTCGCCGGAAACCACTGAGAAGCCTCCTTTCCCTTCTGAATCGCAGGACGAGAAGAAGAGCGAGGAGGAGGATAGCAAGCAAGAGAAGAAGGATGGTGGTACGGATGCGGATGCAGATAACGACGAGAAACAGGCAGAGGGGGCGACGGCAGATGAGGGCGCCGGTGTCGCGAAAGACGACGACAAGACCGATGATGAGCTACACAAGGTCGATAAGCCAGAGACAAAGGAGACTGAGCAGCCTGACCAGGACACGGTCGAGAAGTCGTCCGTTCACACCCCTCGTCATTCGCTCAACGAGGACAACCCGAATGGCGCGGTAGACCCTGCGCACTCGGAGGAGACCCCTCGCAGACGTACATCGCAGAAATCGCCTTTGTTGACTTCCCATCGCCTCTCCAGCACGTCGTCGCTCGACGAGGTGAATCTGACCAACGAAGCAGCCAACACCAAAGATACGGACTCGCCCCCCCGTGCCTCCCAAGGATGCAAATTTTACGGCTCCCTCCGGCTTCAAAGCGCTGTCGAATAACCTTCCGTCATTATCATGGGGTAGTGCTGCCCCAGCCAACAAGAGTTTACCCATTGCAGCTGCACCACCGCCACCGGCTCGGAAGCTCAGCAGCGGGCCCTTTGCATGGTTCTCTCGAAGCTCAACGGGGAGCAAGGACATCAAATCCCCGCCCCAGAATGCCTTCAGTCGGAGAAACACTGCCGCCTCGGTGTCGACTATCGCCAGCAACGTGGACTCGACCGCTCGGCACGACGGTGAAGATGGTGATACCTCTAGTCTGAGCTCCAAGAAGACTCGGCGTAACAGCCTGAAGGACCAGTTCAAGCTTCTACGGATGCGGGAGGAAGGAATTGCTGTACACGATGAAGAGGGTGGGCTATCAGCTCGTGCCAGCGTCAGCCAGCCTGGAGCCAGTCCTCAAATCATCCCGGAAGAAGGCGAGGAGGGCATACTGGCTACACCAGGGGCATCAGCCCCGGGAGCGACGTCTCCGGGCATGACACCCTCGACTGTCAACCCCGATCTGGCCCCCGGCACGGTTTCTGGAGTTTCTGCCTCGGCGACCGATGCGTCGATGCCTGTGGACTGGGACTTGTGGCAGCAGCTTGTCAATGAAGGACCGCAGGCCCTGGCAGGTTCGGAGGAACTGAACAAGGCCATCAAACGAGGTATTCCGCAGACCGTTCGTGGCGTGATCTGGCAGATTCTTGCAGACTCTCAGCAGATCGACGGGATGGAGGAAACCTACCGGGAACTCGTGGCTCGCGGGACGAACCCAGAGAAAGATCGTCGGACGTCCACCAGCCAGTTGAACGGGTCAGCCGAGAAGGAGTCCACCTCGTCCTCGCGCTCGTCCATTCGCTCTGAACATTCGGGATCCGGGACGCAGTCGACCAGCGTGCCTCCTAGCGCTCCGCCGAGTGTCACCCCCAGCGTTGCCGCCAGCCCTTCCTTGGAAGTGGACCCAGAGAAGTTGGCCAAGGAGCAGGCTGCCAGCGAGAACTCCCGCATCAAGAAAGCAAAGAGTGAGGCGGCTGCTCTCCAGAAACTGGAGAAGGCCATCCGACGAGACCTGGGTGCGCGTACCAGCTACTCCAGATACTTTGTCTCGCAAGGGAACCAGGAGAGTTTGTTCGGACTGTGCAAGGCATATGCCTTGTACGATGAGGCAGTTGGTTATGCCCAGGGCATGAATTTTATTGTTATGCCTCTGTTGTTTAACGTAAGTTGGCGTTGTGCCTCCAGACCGACAGACGGCTAACATTGTGGACCTAGATGGACGAGGTCGAAGCTTTCGCTCTGCTTGTGAAACTGATGAACAAATACGGGCTGCGGGAAATGTTTATCCAAGACATGCCCGGTCTGCACCGCAGCCTATATCAGTTTGAGCGCCTTTTGGAAGATTTGGAGCCTACGTTGTACTGCCACCTGCGGCGCCGCGGTGTTCACCCACAACTATACGCGACACAGTGGTTCCTGACGCTATTCGCCTACCGCTTCCCGTTGCAGCTGGTCCTTCGCATCTATGATCTGATCTTCGAAGAGGGGTTAGAGACCACGATCATCAAGTTCGGCGTGGCGATCATGCGCCGGAACGCGCAGCAACTTCTAATCATGAAGGACATGGGCCCGCTCACCACTTTCCTCAAGGAGCGCCTATTCGACGCATACATCGACAAGCAGCCCTCTCCGTCGTCGATCTTGGAATCCGGCTTCTTCGGCAGCTCGGGTGCTGCCGACAAGGAAGTTTACCGATCCGACCTTCTCGTGCAAGATGCATGCGCCACCCCGCTCACGCCAGAAATGATGGCCGCCTACTCCACCGAGTGGGAGGAGAAAGTGCGCACCGAAAAGGAACACGAGGCTGAGTTGGAGACCCTGCGACATACCGTGACCACCCAGGCAGCTCGAATCCGTCTTCTGGAAGAGCGCGCCGAGGCTTCTGACACGGAGCATGTGCAGCTGGCATCGCAACTGGTACACGTCAAGGTTGAGAACGAAGAATTGCGCGACCTCGACGAGGCGTTGAAGCTGCAGGTTTCTGAGCTGAAGAGTGTGGTGGACAAGCAGCCAGCTGAGGTGGAGGAGAAGCTGCGCACGGAGATGGACCGGATCATGAAGCGGAACATCGAGGTGCAGAATGAGAACCGCGCGATGGAGGAGCAGATGTCCGAGATGGAGAAGGAGTTGGTGGCTACGAAGATGAAGTGGGCGGAGGTAAGCCAGCCAGTTCCCTTGAACAAAAAATGTGTACACATGCTGACGAGTCCATGACAGTTGTGCGAGAACCACGACAATCTCAAACAGAAGTGGAATGACCTTCGCCGGGCTCTCGACTAACCGCTTTATCCTCCTCTTCCATATATGCTAGACCGATGGACCAACGATCTGCGATCTTGTCCATCTTGTCCATTCTGTCCTGCCCGTCGATTGTCCGTGGCCGTGATGATTTCGCCTCTGTTCTTATGATGACCTCCCTGTACCTCAGCCAAGCATGCCACCCGACCTAGAGGCATTGGTGTTTTTTTTTTTTTTTTTTTTTTGTTGCGGTATAGCTACTACAAGCTACGCAACCCCTGTGTACATCACGAAATGAATTGAGTTGAATTGTTCTGCTATTATGATGATTGATCAACATCGAACTCCCTCCCGAATCCCTCCTACATAACAACCCAAGTTTTTGTCCATTCTACCCGATACATAGAATAGACCCCTCGGAGTATTTCCCTCGGGTATCTGGGGAATGTAGAGTAAATTACAAGACGCTCTCAAAATAAGTCGTCAGAACATCCTCCTTCACCGGCCCCGCAACCGCCTTAAGCGCCTTGTGCGCCTCGCACTCATTATCGTAGTACTTCATATCCTCCATCGAAGCGAAAGTCGTCTTGACGCTGAGGTTGAACCCGTGGGTGCGCGGGTCCGGGATCGTGGCGCCGGCGGCCGCGGAGACGATGTAGGGTTTGCCGTCCTGCATTATGTATTACTTCAGTTAGTCATGATAATCAGTGCACTCACTTCACAAGAAATAAATACCTTCGTGGCCGTCTTCGCCATCACCTTGTACTGCTCCAGGACACGGTCCCGGCCCGCCTCGTCGGGGATTTTGAAGAGGGTGATGCGTTCAATGGGTGCCATTTTGGAGGAATGTGTGTGGAAGAATGATGCACGATAGAGACGGGCGAGGCGCATCCTTTAAATAGGGTGCAAGATGTGGGTGTGGATGGCGGTGTTCCGTCGGGTCGCGGGTAGTACGCGGGGCTGGACGGCGCAATTCCGCCGGTCATTGCGTTACGTCAGGCATATCTTATTTAGTTGGGATTATTGAAAACGCAGAATATTCGCCCCTCGGAGAGCCCGAACGCGAGATCCCTATTTGTAAGGATATGTTGGAGGTAAGAACTAAGTAACTAGTGGGGTCCATCTCTATAAATGCATTGGGGGCTCTTTTGAGGCTTAGAAATAGGCTGTCGGGGCTTCGGTAGTTACAGTAGTTAGTCACTTTCGGTGATAGTAGTTAGTAAGCTGATCGCAGAAATTAACTCTCACTAATTATAGTATTTAGTGGAGTTCTATGTAGGCTGCTCTCTACAGACCGAGTCTTTGTCGAGGCAATTGAGCGTACCCCCGACTCCTATCCGTCCCACTCTCATGGTCGTGTTCAAGATCTAACTACTCCGTTTTTTGCAGACCATGCTCTTCTATCTGACCCGCTTTACTTTCATCCGTCAATTCGCTCGCCTCAATCGGGGTTGGAACTGTCTGGTGGCCGTGGCCGTGGACGAGTTCAAGGGCCGGCGGGGTGTAAGACTTGCGAGCGCTGAAGATCCAATTCGAGCCAGCGATGACGATGATAACGCCAAAGGCGACGATGCAGTAATTCATATTGACAGCGTTGGTCGGGCTAGACGTCGGCCAGATAAAGAGGACGGTGGTAAGTAGTGCCCAAGCGACGTCGGCGGCATTGCAGATGTAGCCAATGGCGGTGGGGAGCTTAAAGCTACGGTTCTCGGGGAGCATGCGGCGGCCGCGTAGCATGTTGATTCCCGGGGGGATGGCGTAGGTGATGGTGAAGCAGACGACGGCGGCGGAAACGATGGCGTTGAAGGCGTCGTTGGAGCCGAGGAAAACGAGCGCGAAGACGATGTCCCATGCGAAGCACCAGACGAGTCCCACCACAGGGACGCCGTAGGTTGGGCTCACGCGGGCGAAGTGGCTGCTGAAGGGCATGCCGCCATCGCGCGCGAGGGCGTAGGCCATCCGGGCGCTGGTGGCCATGTCGTCGATGGCACATAGGACGAAGGAGAGAAGGGGAAACATCATGAGGCAGATACTGCCGGCCTTGTTCTGTGTGGCTTGGTAATAGATCTCCAGAAGTGGTTCTGGGGCGCCGATGGCTTTCGGAATATTACTGATCACGGCGAGCACGGCGGCGATGTAGCCAAATCCAGTGATGACCGCCATCCCGATGGCGTAGATAATGAGCCGGGGGCCCTGGGTGGTGGGGTTCGGCATCTCTTCAATCATATGGATGGTGGAATCGTATGCCGTCACGGAGAATGCGCTGGAGACGGCGTTAGCTTACAGTGGTTCTTCCTTGAGGGTAGAAACTTGCCCCTGGAGCAGACCCAGCTGCCAGGCCCAACCACTCGGCCAGCCAGATTTGTTGATAAACCCGCCGAACACAAATTTGGCGCTTTGGAAGTTTGGAGCCGCGCACGCTAGGATGGCAACCAGGCTTGCGACGAAACCCGCCAGGGTAAAGAACATATTGTACTTATTCAAGTGGCTCAGGAAGCGGTTGGCGAACAAGTTGTAGCTAAAGGCAATGACGTCGACGGCAATGTACAGCAGGAGTCTCTGCCACGGCTGTGGGTCAAAGCTTGGTTTTATGAGCTGGGCATAGCTCATGATGATTCCGCTGACCAGCAGGCAGTTGGCTCCGGCCAGACATACCCACGCGGCGAGGTTAATCCAGCCGGTGATGTAGCTGACGGCCCGTCTGGTTGACTTCCAGCTGGCCACGGCCGCCCAGTGGTACTGGCCACCTGCAGTTGGGTAGGCTGACAGGAACTCGGCCAGCGATACCCCACAGCACATGTTGAAGATGCCGGCGATGACAATGCCCCACACCGCGCTGCTGGGCCCGCCAGATGGCAGGGACGCGTTGACCGTGGTGCCAATGGCACACCATGAATTGACGATGGCGAACGCCATGCCAAGCATGGAAATGTTCGAAAAGGAATGACGGTTGAGATCGGATTTGATGCCCATTCGCTCCAGCGAAGCGTCGGCATCGACGTCGGCGTCGGCAGCGGCGGTGGTGTGCCTCTGCCGGACGGTCCCTCCGCTTTCCTCCATTTTCCAGGGGTGATTGAGTTAGTGAGAGAAATTTACGAGTTGGGGAAGGGAATTGACGCAGAAGGAGAGAGTTGAAAAGAGGGTTTGAAAAGAGTGCGCAAAAGGGGAATACTTACACTTTCCCCAGTCTGGCATGAGCCAAATCCCTCGAAACCGGGGTCTTACCGTAACTATACGCCCCCATTGCCAGTCGCTGATTTCGGGATCCTTGAATTTCGTACGGCCTAGTACGTGGGGAAAACAATATCCGGGGACCTAATTGCAAGTCTCACTAATAGTGCTATGGAGATCATACCTCACCTCTCTGTTGGCATTTATGACTACTAACGCCTGTAGCGTCAATGCGGGCTAACTAGTCCCTCAACTATGTGCAATGTTTTCTCGATGGACCTGTAAACCTTTGAGTTGACCCGAAGACTTGTTTCCCTATTCGAGAGTATTGTGTAATATCAAGGCCTACACCTAATTTGGTGGTTCAACTCAATTCAAGGTTCAGAGTTTTCATAGGGGGTAATCAGTGGCTAAAATGGGTTAGGAAGGTGACGCACGTACACTACAGCGATTAAATATATATTTTGGAGTTCTGGTGTGGAAAATGCTAACCGCCTACCATTAATATGCATTAGCAGAGGCTCCCAAAAGGAAAGTCCAGGCCATGTCAATCAATCTAATACGAATTCTTCGTTACTACATTGTAGTAACTAGCGGTAACCGGCGATCATCTGCCATAGAGGGCTGTAATATGAAGAAATGAATTGAGCGACGCAGGGATCGAAATCAAGCACCTTTTAGTGATGTAAGCGGAGGTAAAGATATCATGGAGCTTAGGTTACCATTAGGCCAGCCGCTAACTAAGAGAAGGAAACGACATATTCATCTACTTGTTTCAGAACAATAATAGCCTTAAACTAATAATAAAGTAGGTCCCTATAGGGTGCATCGAGCAAAGCCTGACAAGTTGGGGCGCCATTGTCAAGTGAGATAGACTGGAGTGCACGCTATCGAATTGTATCTGTCAGAATAATGGCCCCCAGGTAATTTATCCAGCTGCCGCATCTGTCCGCTTACCCATCTGGGAAATCCCCACCAGGGAACTGTGCCCCGATGTGGGCAGATCTCACTACGTAGAGTTTTTCCGCTTCTCTACTATAATTATGGACATGATAGGTAGACCAGAATACCATCGTTTTCAATCATTGTCACATGACACTATCTAGTAAATTTACTAGTGAATACCAGAAATCCAGACTCTGACAGTATCTCTTAAAGCTGTCGGCTTTCTCCGCGGTACCTACATATGTAAGTACGGCATTCTAGGGATCAATAGGGAAAGAGAAAGTTAACGAACTCTCCTCATCGGGACTCGATCAGTTCGCATTAGGAACCTCGCCTGCGATAGTGCCAACAAGGCTATGATTACTAGCATTCGCATTTGACTCGCCGTTTATAGAAGAACGCGACCTTAAAGGTTTTTACTAGGCTTTGTCGTAGGGCCAGGACACATTGTAGGGTGTTCAGAGCTTCAGATGCGGCCGGCGGCTCCGTAAATACACGATCCAACCCTCTAGCGACCTGATCAAGGAGAATTCTCGTGAGCGGCATTTTTAGAACTCAGCGCGGTTCCGAGGCACGAGAGTGTGTTGTCACAGACCACAACGGATTGGTGATTGGCCACAACCCCGCCTCTTCAGCTGCATTACCTCCAGTTGTAACAAAAGCTGGATAGAGTCATGGGGTTACTGTAGTTTCTGTATTCGTCGTTCGTTGTGTCTATTAATTAATGCAGATTTCCAGTGATTCGACCTAGAGGACCACTGACCCTTAGCTATGGCTGAACTCTCTATTGCAGCAAGCGTTGCGGGGTTGCTCTCGCTTGGCATTCAAGTCACTGAATCTCTCGTGAAATTTTACACTACATACAAAGAGCAAGACACCGATGTGGCCAGAACGACGGAAAGCCTTGATAATCTTCTGGGTATCTTTCGATCTCTCGATATCGTATTACAGAATCGTCAATTTTCGATCGACGAAAAAGACTTAGTTCAAGAAATCAACCAGGCGATACAGAAATGTGATGGAATAATTGAACAACTTCAATCTGAGTGTGATAGATTTCAACAAGTCTCGGAGGCTAATTTCAAGGGACGAATCCAAACTGCTAAGAATCGTGTGGCATACCCATTCCGAAAAGGCACCCTACAGAACCTTGAGGAGGACATTCGCGAGATACGTGATAATCTATCAATCGCGCTGAATGTACTACAACTCAATGGTCACAAAACAACTCAAAACGAGATTTCGGAGCTTAAATCGCTCCTTGAACGAATGAATGCAAATCATATCTCTTCAACAATTCGTTGTTGGCTTATAGCCCCTGATACAGCCATCAATCATAACGCTGCATGTGCGAAGCGCCATACAGGTACGGGATTATGGTTTATAAATGGCAATCATTATGCAAACTGGTTGTCACAACGCAATTCCTTCCTCTGGATCAATGGTTTTGCAGGATGTGGCAAGTCAATCCTATTCTCAGCTGCAGTTCAACATACATTTCGCAAGAAACAGCATGAGCAGGGGGTAGGAATCGCTTTTTTCTACTTTACCTTCAAAGACGAATCCAAACAAGAAGCATCAGCTATGCTGCGGGCATTATTATTACAGTTATCTGGACAGCTTAGAGATGGTGAAAGGGACCTTGAACAACTGCATGACCGATATAAATCTACAACTCCCCCAACAGAGGTGCTAATTGCCTACCTTGAACGCATGATCCGGAGATTCCACGACGTGTACATTCTACTGGACGCGTTGGATGAGAGCCCTCGAGATAGCCGACGAGAGGACCTTTTGACTATCATAAAGGAGATGCGCAAATGGTCCTTTCCTGGCTTACACCTCTTAGCTACTAGCCGTGATGAGTTTGACATTCGCGAATCTCTAGATCCCCAAGACGATCAGACGATTATCATGAAGAACTCGGAAATTGATAGGGATATCGCCAATTTTATCACTTATCAATTGAATAATGATTCAAGTCTTCGAAAGTGGGAACCACATCATGAGCAAATTCGGAAAGCTTTAGCGGAACGTGCGCAAGGGGTGTAAGTAGAGGGAGACAATATACTGTGAGCTCTGATTTCAACATACTAACTGATCATATATAGATTCCGTTATGTTGAGTGTCAACTTAACGTTCTCAAACAATTGCGCCTTCGGACTAAGCATTGCCTGAACAAATGTCTCTACTCGCTTCCTCATGACCTGGAAGAAACATACGAACGAATTCTATGCGGCATTAATGAGCACTGCGTTGATGACGTACGGCGAATATTGACTATGCTTTGTTTTTCTGCCCGACCGCTCACTGTTGCTGAATTAATTCACGGATACGCAGTTGACCTCGATGAGCCGCCCCATCTTGATCGTGAAGATAGGTGTCTGGTCGACATAGAAAGTCTTTGTGACATTTGTCTTGGGCTGATTGAAATTGCACCGGATGGAGATGAAGGGCAGGATATTCTGACCGTTCATATTTCTCACTTCTCCGTGCAGGAATACCTTCAATCAGACCGAGTCCAGCATTCGAAGGCAGCATTTTTCGCATTACAAGTTGGACCCTCTCATACGGAGATTGCACAAATCTGTCTTGTCTACCTCTTGGAACCTATGCTTTCTAATATAGAAGCAAATGAGGAAAATCTAAAGGAGTTTCCATTGGCTTATTTCGCTGCTAGGAACTGGTTCCACCACTACAAAAACTCCCTGGACGGAAAATATAAAATAAAAAACCTGATCCTAAAGCTATTCAACGACAAGAACGGCTCCTTTCGGACTTGGATAAGGCTACATGATGTGGATCAGTCCTGGCCCAGAGGGGCTACTGATGGTATGGCATCGCCGTTATACTATGCATCCTTGTTAGGACTTGAATGGATCTTACGCGACATGATAGCTATTGCACTAAAAGATTCAAAAAGAATCCTGGATGTTGTAAATTCCAGAGGCGGAATATACGGCAGTGCGCTCCAAGCCGCATCATCTCGAGGTTACGAAAATGTGGTGCGGACTTTGCTAGAACAGGGCGCCGATATCAATGCCCAAGGGGGAAAATATGGTAGTGCCCTCCTGGCTGCATGTTCTAGGGGTCATGAGAAGGTGGTTCAAACGCTAGTTGAGCGGGGTGCTAATAGCAATGGTCAAGGGGGGGGCATACGGCAGTAGTGCACTGCAGGCTGCATGTTCTCGAGGTCATGAAAAGGTGGTGCAGATACTGCTAGAGCAGGGCGCCGATGTCAATGCTCATAGGAGTGGGTACTGCAGTGCGCTCCAAGACGCATCATCTCGGGGTTACGGAAAAGTGGTGCAGGTGCTGTTAGAGCGGGGTGCAAATGTCAATGGTCAAGCGGGAGGAGCATACGGCAGTCCATTGCGGGCTGCATGTTCTCGAGGTCATGAAAAGGTAGTGCAGATACTGCTAGATTACGGCGCCGATATTAATGCCCAAGTGAGAAATACGGCAGTGCTCTCCATGCCGCATCTCGAGTTTACCAATAAGACAGCTCGGATGCGCAGCAAGCGGCATCATCGCGAGTTTACCAAAAAGATGATTCAGAAGCTGCGAGGGCAAGGCGTCGATGTCAATGCTCAAGGGGAAAAATACGGCAGTGCACTACTGGCTGCATGTTCTAGAGGTCATGAAAACGTGGTTCAGATGCTACTAGATCACGGCGCCGATGTTAATGCTCAAGGGGAAGCATACGGCAATGCGCTCCAAGTCGCATCATCTGAAGGTTACGAAACAGTGGTACAGATGCTGCTTGATCACGGTGCCAATATCAATGCCCGGGGGGAAAGTATGGCAATGCGCTCCAAGCCGCATCATTTCAGGGTTGGGAAAAAGTGGTACAGATGCTGCTAGAGCGGGGCGCCGATGTCAATGTCCAAGGGGGGAAATACGGTAGTTCACTACCGGCTGCATGTTGTGGAGGTCATGAAAAAGTGGTACAGATGCTGCTAGATCACGGTGCCGATATCACCCAAGGTGGAGAATATGGCAATGCCCTCCAAGCCGCGTCATCTGAAGGTTACGAAAAAGTGGTGCAGATGCTGGTAAATAATGGTGTGGAAGGACAACGCATCAAGTTGTAGGCAGCCCGCCAAATTGATTGTTGCCCGGACTCATCTTCTTCAGCATAGAGCTTTGCATCCTGCTCATCCAGCATCGTTTTAGTGACTGATTACTTTCCTCTTTTCTCGCCCTTACCTGTTGTGCCTCTAGAGGATTAATCGTCATTTGTATAATGATATATACTCAAACTTTGTTTCTTGCCGCAACAACACAGGTACCCCCATTTAATAGCTGTTTTTCAACCGCCATCCGATCAATATCTAGATCATCATATCGCTTCGTCGGGTCGTGTTGGGTGCGATCGTTTACCGATACAACAATAGGTGTCGTCCGACCTCACTCTTTGTTTACGGGAGACTTTCCATTCAAGTGCATTCTCTAGCTTCCTCCTTGAAATCAATGGCCAGTAAGCATTTAGAGTCAGAGTTATGTCGTCTTCCGTATCCAGCGCCGTGACCCGGTTATTCACCTTGGCTTTCCACTCTATCGCACACTGAATGCAGTTTGCTGGAAGCTCATCACATGGTCTTCTTTATTCCAATTCTGATAGCTGGAAAACCTATGATTTTCTTGCGGGGGCCGGGACAAGATCTCAAGAGCGCTCGGGGGGCAATAGTCTGGTGAAGAACTGAATCCACCTTTTGTAGTTGGGGTGCGACCATGATCTCGCCTGCTGTTCTGCCACCATACCCTCAGTTCCCTCTCCCTCAAAATACTCCATATTGCCGACTGCAACTCCTCGATTCATAACATGGGGCAGAACATCGTGAAAGACGTCAAAAAGGGACTGTACCCGGCGCTTAGGGAGTTCAGGGTCCTCGCGATCGATGTCACCAAGCCCATTAAACTTCCCTGGTAACGCATTCCGCCAGGGAAAACGCCCGAACAATGCTTCCGCTCCCTGCACGATCTGTTTAGGGAATGAGAGTGGATTTCATGATATCGCCGTATGAAATGTCAAGGTTTCTTGATGACTTGGACGATGACCTTGAGGATGACCTTGACCTCGACGATGAATATGGCTTGTATGGACCTGGGGCACCCGGGGGACGGCGGGGGCCCCGGATGCCAGAGCTTTTCGATTTGGATATGCAGCGCGCTTTGCAGGATCCGGACTTTGCGCACCTTCGTCCGCATGCCGAGCGATGATCCTTGAAACCGCTGAGGACGATTGAGACAAGCTTGGAACTAGTTACTACCAGTGTCTGGTTTATAATATACCCATTAATTCTTTACTGTCGGGTTCTGCTAGAGTCTAGAAATGGTAAATGAGATGATCCTAAACCATGCAAATATGTCTATATCATAAAGTCCCCCTGCGCGCCTGCTCCCTCTCAAACGCCTCAAAAAGACTCTTAAAATTGCCCGCCCCGAAACCATCAAATCCTCTCCGCTGGATCACCTCCACAAACACCGTCGGCCGATCCCCAACATGCTTCGCGAAGATCTGGAGCAGGTATCCCCGCTCATCGAAATCAACCAGGACATTCAGCCGCTGTAGCTCGGCCAGGTCGGCATCTAGCGTCCAGGGGACGTGCGAGAGGCGCGCGCGCAGATCCGTATAGTAGGCCGGCGGGACCTGGAGGAATTGTACGCCGCGTGAGCGGAGTCGTGATACGGCGGTAACGATGTCCAGAGTTAGGAAGGCTATGTGTTGTACGCCTGGGCCGTGGTAGTATTCGACGAATCTGGGGAAAGTTAGGTTGATGACGGAGATAGACAAAAGAGAAGGGGAGATAGGTACTCTTGGATTTGGGATTTCTTCTTCCCCGTCGCAGGCTCGTTCATTGGCATCTTGATCGTTTCGTTCGGGGACGCGACCACAATCGAGCGCATTGCCGAGTACTCACTGCACATATCCTTGTCATCCACGGTCCAGTAGCGATGGAAATCGAGACATTCTTCATAACTGCTCTTTCCGTCAGCGTTGAGTTCATGAGCTTGGTCTGCATTCCACCTACTATCGCACCACCTTATCCACACCCCCCAGGGTTGATTCCCCACGCAGTGATCAATCTCCACGAACTCGATCGGCGGTAGGAGGGTGTTGATCGGATCTTCGTCGTCGCCATGGAGAACACGGTACCCCGGCAGGAAGGGCGCTTGGGCGGAGTACTCGTCACGATTCACCAGCGAATGCACCGTGTCGCCGTACGTGCCTATCGTAGCGATCCGGATCGCGCCATGCCCATCAACAACGACGGTCGCCGGCGACGCAATCCCCTCCGCGCCGTGCGTGACAGCCCGCTTCCACACAGCCCCGATATCCCCCTTGATCCGGAACGCGACATCCCGGACCCCGTCTCCGTGGGCCGTTAAATGTGCGTGAATCGTAGCCAGCGCAGCCCTGTCTTCCTCGGTAGCCTTTGATGATAATTGTTGCTCGTCTTTGCTTCTGCCAGGTGCGCACACGGGAGCAGTGAGGACAAACACCGCATCCCCATTCCGAACAACGTAGCTGGTCAAACATGCCGATCCGGTTTCTGGTCCGCGGTAGGCGATCGGACGGAATCCCATGCGAGTGATGTAGTACGAGGCAGCTTGTTTGGCGTTGCCGACCCACCAGTGGATGTGGTCGAAGCCGACGTACTCGGGGCCCAGATTGGAGGGGAACAGGTCATTGTTGTTCTGTGGAGGTGAGATGGGCATGATTCTATTGTGTATTGGGAGTGTCATTGAGCCATGAAAAAAAAGAGAGGTGAGGTGAAGCAGGGAAACATTCTGCAGTGCAGCTCGGGTACTCACGGGGTCTATGAAGTATAAACAGCGCCACATTCCTGCTTTCCATGGAATCCGATTTGGGGGGTGCGATATAGGCTACGAATTTGAGTACAGCTAAGTACCTAGGTAGATAGCACTCAATTTTTTTATAAGATACCTTCCACAGTCACGAACTTATTATATGCATTCTTCTAGTCCAACTGCTTAAACTGTTGTCTCAACCCTTTTCCGCTTGCCCGTCAATTCGAGGCACTCTTGCCAAAACCCAACATTGCGCCCAGCGAATGCCGCTTCGTAGGCGTCAATCCGTGGCCTCTCCCAGATGATATCAACCTCGGAAGGATCTTTCATCCTAGTTCTTTTAGAAAGCTTCCAACCTCCATAAAGTAAGATGCAAATGAAGACCATGGTGTAGTAGGTAAAGAAAGTCCCAACAGACCAGTGTCTCGGAAGGAATGTGGTATAACCATAGCAGCAAACGACAAAAGTCGTACCGCACAAACCGTACCACGCACAAAAAGGTTGCCACCAGCCTTTATAGGGCAATGTATCACGCTTCATCCCTTGGGCCTTCATGGCTCGATAAAAGCCCAAGTATACTAAGCACATACCGAGAAAGCTTTTGTTGATTCGTTAGCTCAAAATATATAAGATATGCGAAGGGAGATCTTACTCTATAAGTTGGGATGCGGTGACAAGATTGACAAGCCTGAGATAAACGAGAGATTAGTGCTTTGGTCTCGAAAACAAACTTGAACAGTCCATCCTACCATGAAATGACAACTGATGCACTATTTCCCAGTGACAATAGAGAAATCAATGTGAAAAGCATTGATATACCAAAACAATAAATCGGAACTCCAGCCTTTGTGCATTTCTGGAGGAATTTTGGTGCATGGCCATCCAGAGAGAGGGAATAGAGTGCTCTAGAGGCGCAGTAAACATAGGAGTTTCCGGCAGAGAATATGCTCGTGATAAGCAGGGCATTGGTGATATGAGGCAGGATAGAGATGCCCATATTCTGCATGGCGATGACATATGGCGATGCGGCTCCGGTCCCTGAGCCAGAAGCTTCTCCGGACAAAATCGCGACTAGGGTTTTATCGTTGTAGGGAATGACGATTCCCACTGCAATAGCGCTTCCGACGAAAAATACCCCAAACCGCCAATACAGCGTCCTGTAGGCAGTTTTGAGGATTTTGCGGGGGTTCGAGACCTCTCCAGCCAAAATGGAGATGTACTCCGGGCCACACATAATTAACTAAAATACTTAGCGAAGCAAAAGGGATTTTCGGTAAGGTTTGGTGGCTCACAGCGGCTCTCCATAGACCAGCAAGAAACCCTTCAAATCTCCCTAACGAGCCTGTCGTGACGAATTCGGCAAATGCTCCCTGATAAATGTCAACTGCTTTGTTACACTTCCATACGTATATATTTTACCGGATCGTTCCAGTAGCGGAAGCCATATGCATCTCGTTGGGGATTGCCACCAACCATTGTGACGAAGGTGAAGCCGAACACGATAAGAATAAGAATAACCTCTTTAAGCATATCAATATCCGTTATGATAAGGCTCGTCAACAAAGAAAATTCGAGAGCTACTTACTTCCAATGGCCAGCCAGAATTCGCTTTCTCCATACTTTCCAACAGCAAATATGTTAATCAGACTACTTCGGAATCAGCCTTGACCTGGGTCATAACCAAGGGCAGTATGTTACCCGTAGAGAAAAATGCATGCCAGACAGATGGCGACGGGGGGCACGTTGTCGCTCCAAAACGTGATAACCAAGTTTAGAGCCGTGATTTCGAATGGGATGATCAGGCCCTGATAGAGAAAAAAGTTCCATCCCATCATAAACCCAAGAGCGTCGTCAACCCAGTGAGTGCCTAATCGAATCCATCCACCGCTGACCGGCATATAGATTGACATTTCAGCCATGCAGTTAATGACCGCCGCAAAGACGGTTCCATATATGAGGAATGCTATGAGCAGACTTCCCGGACCGGCCTGAAGAAGGCCGGTGCCAATAGAGACGAATAGAGCAGTTCCAATGGAACCACCAATTGTCATCATCTGCACCTGACGTGAACTGAGCTTTCGTGCTAGGTGATCAACCGCCTCGGTCGTTCCGGTGGTCTCGCTTTGAGTGTCAGAGGTGTTATCTTCAGATGGATGGACTGCCTGGCCATCTTGCAAAGCCTTTTTCGAGGTATCCATTCTGAAAGGGCATCTATGAGATGATGTAAACAGACAAGAGGGGTATAAACGCAAGGACTGCGTATAGGAATTGGGGAAGTTTGCAGTTAAGATACCTTTATATCTCGAGGGTATCTCCATACGATTTAGTTATCTTACGGTGCTAACCAAGACCGCCTTAGGCAGATTTAAACCTTTGCGCGCGCTTCTATTATCTGAATTAGGGCTAGTGTATACGTCTGACGTAAAATACGGACTGTCTCCTAGCGGCGGCTGTATTTTCAGAATTGGAGTTAGGAGCCGTGCTCGATATAGATGATCCGATGAAGAAGCTAATTGCCTATCTTTTTAATTATCCTGGAGATCTGTGCTATCTATCCTCGACAAGCCCGGAAGGATCTCATCTATGACTAGTTGATAAAAAAGGAGCACAAGTTGAATAATAACATGGTCACCCTAGTAGCATGGTGTCCCCTGTGGTGGAGGTATTGAAGCCTACACTTTGATCCGATCTGCCTTGACCGTGGGCTGCCTGAGACCAAGACAGTTCTAGGGAGGCCCGCAAGCAGGTGAAGTGCTTCATGTGAAAATACTCAGATAGAGAATCAAGGCAAGCTATCAGACACTCTCGTTCGGCCACTTGCTCGGGAATGAGGTCTCTCATAATGATTCCGATGGGCCACAGAAGCGTGCTCTTGAAGCTTAATCCCTGAAGCAGTTCCTGGATCAGGCTTATCCCTTGCGCAGCCAGCTCACTCCGCTGCAACAATTGGTTCTGAACATCACAAGCCATCAAGCTCCTCGGGTTTCCGCTTTCCAAGTGCTGTGCATCCCAAATCTGTTTGTGGAGAAGGAATGCAGTGATGCGGTAGAGATCAGAGAGCATCGAAAGGTTGTCAACCTTTTTACTCCCGGTGTGGATCAAACTACGTGTCTCGTCCCTTCGCAGCCAGTCACTGCTATTGTCGCCGGCTGTCCCCGATATCCTGCTATGACAATCTATCGAACGACCAAGAGGAAAACTTGGTAGCCACGACATATTGCCATCCCAAGAATAAATGTCAGCCTCCGTCACGGTCACATCTGCCGCGCAGATGCGTACCATGAGGCGGGGGTAGTAAAATTTCGAGTCTCTTTCTCCTACTGAAATTAGTGACCAGCCACGTTGGTAGCAGAAATTGAGGAGCAACCCACCACTGTTCTCATAGAAGGTAGAAAACACCTTTGTCCTGAGCTGCATGGCTCGCAGGAGATCGTGATAAGCAAAAAGGCTATGCAGAAAACAGAATGTCCCCGTCATCCGTGAGGACGAGGGTTTCATGAAGCGGGATTGATAGCACGCAACCACTTCCCTGATAAATTGAAAATGTGGCTGCCAGTTTGCCTGGCCCTCGCCTGTAAGTTTCTCATATAGCAAGAGTAACATGCAACTGGCTAGAAGATATAGCAAATCATCCTCGCTCATATTGTCGAGTGGCCGATGAGATGACACAGATGCACTTCGTGTTACCAGCTGCCTGCAACCTACTAAGGCTCGCTGCCGTATTCGAAGCGTTTTGGCCTTGACCTCCACATTCGATTGATCCAGTCCTTGAATACCGCTCAGGGCGAGGAGAGAGTGGAGTACCAGGCTGCTCTTGGCAGCAAGAGGCACAAAGACCGAAAGAAAAGAGTTATCGGGACCAGGAAATGCCGGATACGTGCGAGAGAACCTGTGGATGTAGTGTTCTAGAAGGTGAAACTCCATGGCATCAAGGCCTGGGAAGTCGCTGAAGTGTTGGTGCCACCCAATATTCCATGCAAACATTTCTGTTTCGGATATGGATAGAGGACAGTTATCTTCAGTGCTACGGCCAGAAGGATCATCGGGGGTCGAATCAACGCCAGGGAGAGAGAGCAGTCGAGGTGGTTTATTTTCCGTAGTCGTCCGGCGCTTGGTGCCTTTCTTTGGGCCGCGACTTCTTATGCCTGGTCTTCTTTCATCGGTTTCCCAAATGAGCCGGGGCTGGAAGTCGCAGATCAAACCCAATCGCGTGCATTGCTGGCACGGGAAGTTGACACCGCTGCATTTCTTCTTTCTAGTCACGGATTAGTCCATTGAGTCATCCGCCGAATTGGAAATATTCTTGTAAAGGCTACATACCGTGATCTACATGTCCAGCATCCATTTCTGCTCCGACCTTTTACCTGCCGGCCGTTCAGATCCATGGCAGTTGGAAATTAAGTGCTCAATGAAGCGGCGCGAGATGAGTGTAAGAGCCGTCGTTAAGATGGGGAAGTATGCACCTCGGTAAGTGAAACTTAGGAGATACTAAAGCCAATTTAATAATCTCTGGGCTGCGCAAGAGCGAGGGGTCGGTGGGTGACTGCCTTAGGCTGATCTGACCAGCCAAGGTTATAACTACCCGGGACCGTGGGAAGTCGGTTCCCAAAGTCTTGCGCAGTCCCCCTACGCCCCCACTTCACTAGTCGTAACACCTATACATAATGCAATACCCTAGTGTGGGGAGGATTGCGGATCCAATGGGCGAGTGAGGATTGTGTCTCTTGCTTATCTCGAATATGTATCTGTGCTATCTCTCAGTCTCCTTTAAACACTTAGCGAAATTTGTTAACGCATTCCACAAATTTTTGCTTTATCAAGTCGTAGCTGTGGTCTTTTTGAATCAATTTTCCGGCAATAAAAGTGCCACAGAAGTGGGATGCATCGGCTGAATAGAGTATTGAAGATGCCAGATTCTCCATTTTCACGTTAGCCAATAGTGGCGCATTCGCATCGAGGACACAGGCGTCGAAATCCGCGCCAACAGTGAAAAATCCCGTTTCGAAATTGTTCATCCCGCGGCGCCCAGAAATGATTGCCTTCGTTAGTGCAAACAAACCAGCATCATTGCCGAATGTATTGCGCTTGTGAGATATCAGTCGTTGTCCGTAATCCAGCAGGCGCAATTCCTCTAACGGGTTCAAGCCGATATTACTGTCCGTGCCAATGCTCCAATTGCCACCAAAATCCTGATAATCTCTCAGTGGAAAGAGTCCGTCGCCCAGATTTCCTTCCGTACTCGGACAAAGCACGACGTTCGCATGCGATTTTGCCAGATTTCTGGTCTCTGTCTGTGTCAGGTGGGTCGCATGGACAAGGTGAAACCTTTCATTCAAGTTGATATTCTCGAGCATCCATTCAACTGGCCGTTTGCCCAGGAATGCCTGCGAGTCTTCGACTTCTTTGAGCTGCTCCGAAATGTGTATATGAAAGGGAACGTCGTCGGGCAGCTCGGTTGCGGCGCGTATAATATCCGTCGTTTCGACGCCGCGCATCGAATGAACACCGACTGCGACGTTGGCGTGCTTGTATCTTTGGCATACTTCTGCAGAAGCTTCGAACAGCCGCTTGTAATCGTCGAAGGATTTCGAAATAAACCTCTTTTGCCGTTCATTCGGTTCGACGCCGAAGCTGCCCTTTTGATAAAAGATGGGGATCAGCGTGATTTTGATTCCTGCATTGCGCGCAGCTTTGACAAGCGCTTCGCCCATCTCTGCGAGATTCGTGTATGGTACCCCGTCTTTATCGTGATGTATATAATGAAACTCGGCCACATTTGAATAGCCGTTTCGCACAAGCTCAGTGTAGAACATTTGAGCAATTGTTTCCAAACTCTCGGGGTCGAGTTCGAGGGCCAGCTGGTACATCATTTCGCGCCATGACCAGAAATCATCGTCGCCGGCATGGTTCTCCCCGAGTCCAGCCATCGCATATTGGAAGGCGTGGGAATGCGCATTTTGAAAGGCCGGAAGAGCGTAGCCATTGATAAACTCTGCGCCCACAACGTCTGTTTGTGAAACAGAAGCGATCCTTCCCGCATCATCAATAGAGACGACTGCATTTTCGAGCCAGCCAGAATCCTCCAGAATGGCTTTAAAGCGAAAGGACTTCATCTTACCACTTCATCGACGACTGGCTGCTAACACCGTTCATTGGTCGTTGTTTATATATAAAATTCTGGACTCGCACCGGCATCGGTATTGGGCTAACAAGACGAAGAAAAGTTTACGCTTGTCCTCTATATCGAGCCCAGCTCTAACTCCAATTCTGCAAATACAACCGCCGTTCGGGAGAAAGTCAACAACGCGCGGGCATTGTACGTCATATGTACACGCTAGTCCTAATTGAGATAATAGAAGCGCCTACCCTTGGACAGTTCTGGTTAGCATCGTATAACCCTTCCCCGCGTTGCCAATCTTCCTATCTTTTACGCTAACTAATTCCAACTCTGAAAATACAGCCGCCATTTGACAGAAAGTCGGCAATATTCGGGTATTGCGCGTCACATACTCGGCAATCCCTCTTGAGATAATTGAAGCGCCTGCTAAAGTTTTGAACCACCAGGGTCACTCCACCAGTGTCACTTAGTATTCAAAAACCGGTCTCATCCTTGAAAATCTCTTCGTTTCCATAACACACATTCATACGATCAGCTGTGCTGAAGCAGGCAGTCTCCTCACGATGACGCAAAGTTCGACAGACGAGGATGTACAGCTCACTATCGACAAAGGCATCGAAGAGTTGGATCCTGAACTAAGAGAGCTCAGTATCAAGGTATGTAGGTCAGTTAAAGCCCAAAGAGTCGTTCTAATACAGTCCAGATTCACGAGAATCCGGAACTCGGCTACAGCGAACACAAAGCCCACGACAACGTGGCCGCTTTCCTCACCAGCCAAGGCTTTAAGGTCACCGAACATGCCCACGGACTGGAGACTTCTTTGTCAGCCGAGTATGGCTCTGAGGGGCGCGTGGTCAACTTCAACTGCGAGTATGACGCCCTTCCCGGGATCGGCCATGCCTGCGGCCATAATCTCATCGCCATGGGCTCAATTGCCGGATTCATCGGGACTGTCGCGGCTTTGAAAAAGTACAAAATCCCTGGTCGCGTTCGTCTCCTCGGTACTCCGGCAGAAGAGGGTGGTGGCGGGAAGATCAAACTTCTCAATGCTGGTGCGTACAAAGACGTTGATGCGAGTTTTATGACGCATCCAATGTCCGCCTCAGTCATGAGTACACCAACGGGGTTCTCTAAAGGCATCCCCTTTGGTACTTGTGTTGCCAGCATCAAAGTCAAGGCTACCTTTACTGGTAAGCCGGCGCATGGCGCTTTGATGCCCCACGAGGGCATAAATGCACTCGATGCTGCTGTGATGGCCTACAACGGGATTGGTTTGCTTCGACAGCAAATCAAGCCTTATGAGAGAATAGGTATCGTCATTCTCAAAGGGGGAGAGGCACCGAATGTCATCACGCCACAGAGTGTGTTGAACTATAATCTGAGAAGTAAAACGTTAAAGGAAGCGCGTGAGTTGAATGAGCGGGCCATCCGCTGTTTTGAGGGCGCTGCTATCTCGACTGGGTGCAAGGTCAACATTGAACTGTTGGTATTGTCTTCCGCCCTTCAATCGAGTATACTGACTATTCGCAAGGACCAATGAATATTCCGATCTGAGACCCAACCGTGCTCTTTCTGCTGTGTACCTGGCAGCGATGGACAGGCTCGATATCCCGCAGTATGATAACCTGAACGAGCTAGCACCGTGGCTTGGGTCCTATTCTACAGACATGGGTAATAGCCTTTTCGTTGTCTTTGTTTGATGAAGGCGACTAATGATCGTGCTTAGGAAATGTAACACACGCCTGTCCCGGAATACATCCATGTTACTGGATACCGACCGATGAGGGGGTCGTAAACCACACACCTGAATTCACAGCAGCTGCAAGGACAGAAGAATCTCATCATTTAACCCTTGCTACAAGTAAGGCAATGGCGGCTACAGCCTTCAAAGTTCTGAGTGACGATACTTTTGCCAAGGAGGTACGAAAGGAGTTTGAACATATGATGTGCTAAAAGGCTACGTCTAGTGTTGAAACCGAGTGACATGGTGTGGTTTGGTTGTAAGACAGGGAGGAGCCTGTAAATTAAGTACAGTGGGTTTTAGTAGCAAGGATTAGCCAAGAACATAATGCCCACAACTTCGCATCTAACGATTTCATCGATTGACTCCGATAGCATTTCCCTTTTGGTATGCTTGTTGTTCCTCAAAGGAAGGGAAGAGGCAAAGAGTAGAAAACCATTTACACAGTACAGCATTGCGTGGGTCACGGCGCAGGCATATCCCCTATGACCGGTCATGACCGCAGGTCCCAGTCTTAACACCAACTCCTTCAGTGAGACGACATCGTCTTTTAGATGGTCAGGGGAAGATCGTCAGTCATAGCCGCATATAACAGTACGTATAACCCGCGCCACATTCCTTCCCGTGGAATCTGATTTGGGGGTGACTTTGGCATAGCGGAGCCAGTAGCTGTCGCCGGCCAGTCGTATGTAGTTGGATGTACCAAGATTTCAACCACATCACACATCATTCACGGGCTCCGGTCGACTCTGAAAAACAATCTTAAACCGCACCACCTCGACCACCTCCAGCTCTTCCTGCTCCACGCCAGTGCCCGTCCGCTTCTGCACCACTGCAATGGGCCGTGGCAGCTTCTTCACTTCGCCGGTCATGCGCTGGTACCGCCCAACATAGAGATAAGCGCGCTTCATCCACTTGGTATCCTCGGGTGCGGTGTGGGCTGTGTAGTCCGGGAATATGAGTTTGCCGACGGGGGTTTCGAAGGAGGAATCTGATTCTGATTCTGGCCCTGAGGGTGATGAGGAGGAGTCGTGCGAGTTGGAGTTGGAGTCGGGGAGGGTGGGTAGGTTGATTGTGCCTTGGAGTTCGAGGAGGGCGAGGCCTGTGGGGGTTTGGAGGAGGGGCGGGAGTGGGTTGTGGATTGGCTGTGAGGATGTATTGGAGTAGTTTGGTGTAGGCGCGGAGGGCCTGGGATGGAGGCGTATTGAGGGCATGTTGAAGAGATGATGTGTGGTGGTAATGGTGGTGGTAAAGAAGTGGCAGTGGGAGACGCGTTGAAGTTGGGCGACGCGCGAGCCGCGCGGAGTGGCCGGATTGGGTAATAGTAGACAAAAGAGTAACTACGGCAATTTTGGCTAGGAGCACTCTATAACATTCACAAAATATGTTCCTGACAAACTGCGGGAGCTATCTTGGCCCCGGTATCCATTTCATCTCGCTGGCGCTCCTCTGCGCCTCGCACCACTCTCGTCATCGACCTCATACAAAACGGATTATTTCGAATCAGCTTTCAGAAAAGCGTCCCCAGATCTGTGCTGAGAACCTCTCCGGCACGTTGCTGTGCTGTAACACTCGAGGCCGGTTGGAGAGGGCGCTGGTAGGCGTGACTCTGTCTGTGGTCCAGGCTAGAGTCGACTGGTTGGAACATTCTGGATTTTCTCCAACGCGTGAAGTTCTCGCAGGTGGCTGTGGCTGTGACTGCTCCTGAATTCAGGCGGAAGATGAGATCTGGACAGTCATATCCAGGTTCCAGACATGTTGAAACTACTTGCAGAGTCAGCTCAAGTTCATAGCCAACAAGAAATCAACTCACTTGTTGCTGGACACACAATAAACCCTCAAGACCCATGGCTAGCCTGGTAGCACGTATCCTCCAGAGTCCGCAAACCCTGAATTGCCTCCCCGACTCTGTCCTCCGCCGAGCCCGAGGGCCCTTGCAATTTGCCGTAGCGCAGGTCACTCATATCGCCCACCGACGCAGTCAAGATCTCCAAAAGCTGCGCTGCCTCCGCATCCACACCAGCAATCTCGCGCTCCACATTCGCAGACGCAGCCTCCATCGCAGCCAGGAGGCTAGCCGGTGAGTGATAATCTTCCGGCGCACCAGCACCAGCAGCGGCAGAAGGCTGCCCGAACAGATGTAGGTCGAGATCTGTTTCGCGCTGCTCGTCGGCCTGAGACTCATCGACACCAGCGGCCATGCTGGCCTTGCGCAGTTCCGCGCGCTGCTTCTGGCCTTGCTTCAGCTCGAGGTCGATGTTGGAGTTCACGCGGTCCATGTCTTGCTCGCGCACTTGCTGCAATTCCCGGTACAAGGCCCGGATGTGTGGGTGGGCGCGCAAGCGCTTGGGGAAGAGCTCAGTGAATTTTTGGAGCGTCATTACTGTTGGCAGGGACGCTGGGGAGAGCAGGAAGTTGCTCAGGATGGATTCCTCTGAGGGGGGCGCCATAATGATCGATTGATTGTCTGACTGACTGCCTGGATGACGAGTGATTAAATGAATTACGCGTAGTGGGTAATAATCCAGTATTGTTACTGGAGTGGTGGTGTTGCGACAATAATAGCGACCAGGTGTTTGGGTGAAGAAGAGGCGAGGCCCGCCAATGATCGAGCCAGTCAAGTCAAGGGGGCGCGTCTTTTTGCTTCTCCCGTTCAATCCACGAAAACACCACCTCCCACCAACCCTGCACTCGGCGCTGATTCTCATGTTTAGCGATCTGATCTAGCTCACTGAACCGGTTCTTTTGCTCTGATCTGAACTTGTATTTCCTGCTTGGACGTGGCCCTCGCGGTGCTGGCCATTTCGAGTCTTCCATAACGCCCAACTCTGATATCGCCACTCTTGAGCGCAGTGGTTTCGGAGTCAAGCAAAAGTCTAGCCAGAGTGCGGCGTTCCCAGAGAGAGTGCTCACGCCTTTCGATCTGATTGCGTTGTGCCAGTCCAGCCCAAGTTTGCTCGTCCGAAGAACACGAGGCGAGAGCATCCATCCATCATCTCGACACCCTACCACCTAGCTGGTGTCTGAACCGACTTCATTTTATTTTATTGCTGTCTTGTCAAAATGGCGCCAGCCTATGCATCCATGTACAACAAGGAGGAGAAGGTGCTCTGCTTCCACCATGACATCCTGTACGATGCAAAGATCCTCGACCTGAGACACAAGGACTCCAGCGACCGCAAAAGTCCCTTTGAGTACCTAGTACACTACAAGGGCTGGAAGAACACGTAAGTTTCAACATCTGTTTGAGGAGATTACTCCCTTGCCACCTTTTTGCCTGAGTGGAAGAAACAAACCACACGAATGATGCTTTCATTCCCTTCCCAACCTCCCCTGAAAAGAAAAGAAATGAAAACTACTGCACAGAAATCATCTCAACGAAGATGATCCCCCAAAGGAAGAAACATGCTGACGCTAACGGCCCTTCCTCAGCTGGGACGACTGGGTCCTAGAAGACCGCCTCCGCAAAGCAACAGAAGACAACCGCGAGCTGGCCACCAGTCTCCGGCGCGAAGCTGAGTCCGCTTTGCGCGCAAAGAGCACCAAACCCTCCTCCACCAAGAAGCGTGGCACGTCCGACCAAAGCTCAGCGCGCGACAGCGAAGACCGCGGCTCCGTGCCCGGGCGCGGCACCAAGCGAGCCCGAGACCATGACATTGAAAAGGTATTTTCCTCCTTCCTTGATTTTCTTCCCTGGTGACTTCCCTAAATAAAATTCCGTGCTTACGATGACATACAGGAGGACACGTTCCATACGCGCCCCTCTATCCGCATCATCATGCCGGACAATCTCAAGTCCCTCCTCGTCGACGACTGGGAGCAAGTGACGAAGAACCAGTGCGTCGTCGCCCTGCCGTCCAAGTACCCCGTGCGCACGATCCTGCAGGACTGGTACGACGAGGAACAGCCCAAGCGCAGTTCTTCCGCGGCCGATGAAGACGTCCTCGATGAGGTCGTTGCAGGCATGCAGGAGTATTTCGACAAGTGCCTTGATAAGATTCTGCTGTATCGGTATGAGCGCCCGCAGTACCGCAATCTGCGCAAGAAGTGCGAGGCGGCTACCGGGGAGCTGGCGAATAAGGGGCCTATTGATGTCTATGGTGCGGAGCATTTGATTCGGCTTTTCAGTATGTTTTCTCCTCTCCTCTCCTCTCCTTTATTGTTCTCTCTTCCGTTTCTCTCTGCATAATTGAAGAATTGTCGAAGTAATCATGCTAACGCGGTTTCAGGCACGATGCCCGAACTGATGGCCCAAACAAACATGGACCTCCAATCCACGAATCGTCTGCGCGAGGAAATCTCCAAGCTGGCCATGTGGCTGAGCAGGCACTCGGAGAAGTACTTCTCGACAAACTACGTGCCTGCCGAGAGTACTCATAAATGATGAACGCCCGTTTATGCCAGAGAGAGAGAGGTTCTTGCTCTTGTTCTGGTGACTTTCGGATGCGCTGTTCCCTTGTTCCTTGTTGTTGTTTGGTTTCTTAGCTTGTCGTGTCTTGACTACATGGTTGGTTTGTTTCGTCGGCGGGCGCCATAGGGGAAATTGAGATTGAATTGAGACTCCTATCTACTCTCTGTCTTCTTCATAAACGGTGACAGTTAATTCTCTGCGCGTTTCGTGCCTAATAATCAAGTAAAGCACTGTGCATGCATTCTCTAGTTGGGATATCTGTTAAGTAAAGAAAACAGAAAGAAACACAACCCCATCGTCCCCCTCCCTCGCTACTCATCACTCGCTGTACTCATTCATCCAACTAACCAACCAATACCCCACGCACTCTTTCTCAAGAAACCAACATCCTCGCATCCTCAACCGCAACCCTAGCCCCACGCTTCAACTCCCCCTTCCACTCGGTCTCGCGCCACTTCGCCCAAGCACTCAATCCCTCTGGCGGCTGGATGCTCAGCGTATCGTACCCCTGCTTGATAATGCGATGGACCTCGCGCGGGCTGAGATTCTTCTTTTTGATTGAAGGCAGCGCAACGGGGGTAGGATCGACGTCGGGGTTTGGACTATCAGATGCAGATGCTGGGACAACAGGAGTGGCCGGTGTGGCGGTAGGGTCTGCGCCGCCGTCTGAGTGAAAGAGTAGAGTGTAGAAGTGCGTTGAGACGGAGAGGAGAGTGTCGATTGATGCGAGGCGGGGTTGTGTGTCTGGTGTTGAGACTATTGCAGCAGCTGCTGCATCGGCTGGTTTGGATACGGAAGTATTGGAAGAAGAGGGGGAGTTGAAGACACGGCGGAATTTCGCGAGGATGGGCCCCGTTTCTACGAGCTTGTAAAACAGGTCGTCATAGGAGGCTGGGTCGGGGAGGAAGGTGTCGCCGCCGGAGACGCAGAAGGCGATTAGATCGGCGAGCGAGGTGGTTAGGGTTTGCGTGCGCGGGTTGGTAGAGAGGTCGGCCGCGTAGGTGGTTAGGAAGCGCATGAGGGAGAGTAAAGTGCGCCAGAGCTCCGACCAGTGGTATGTGAGGCGGATTTTGTTCACGGAGAGGTAGGTTAGTAGGCGGAGGGTGATTGCGATAGCATGGCTGGAAGGAAGCACAATTAGTGGAAGTTTGAGTTTCGGGGACACTCGGTTCCTACCTGTAGATGTTGACGTCTAGCCGTCGGCGCAGGTTGTGCGAGATGGTATCGATCATAATATCGAAGATGACTGTGGCGACGACTCGGTCCCCGTTGACAAGCGGTAAGTATGGCTGTCTCTGTCGACATAGCCGCACGCGGCGCTTGCCCTCCTCGCTGCAAATGTGCTTGCAGAGAGTCGGGTCCTCGACGAGGATGCGAAGAGTGAACAGGTTCAGCTCGGCGTAGTGCGAACACCGGACGGAGCGGTATGCGTGTTGCAGAATATAGGAGGACACAGAGAGGAAACTAGACAGAGGAGATTCTTCGTTGCTCTTCTCTGCCGGCAGATGAACGAGATGATACCCGAAGAGCTTGTTCGAGTTGGTGAAGTCGTACGTGGGCAGCAAGATGGCAGCCTCTTGCGCGGGACTGCAGGTTACATATCAGTAATTTGGCCAGAGCATTCAAGGCACGAACACTTACAGCGCCGCAAACATGCCTTTCGCCTCTTCCGCAGTTGGCGGGTTGGCCTTGTCCCGTGCACCGGGAGCCAGGGCGCGCAAGCCGAAGAAGACCAACGTGCTCGTCAAGGTCCAGCCTTCCGGGACATCGTCTTGCACAGCGACATAACCATTTCGCAGACCCGCGCATGCCAGGCCGACCCCCTTGACAATCTTTTGGATGCTGGACTCATTGACAAAGTCATCCAGCCGGAGCTGGTAGGGGTTTTGGAACTCGAACTTGTTGTAGTTCGCCAGCAGCCCGAGCAGAAGAAACGGGTCGAATATTTGCAGATGGGTATCAGATTCATGAACATACTTCATCAATGACGGGAACAGATCTCGGTGCGTGAAATACGAAACGAGACTGGTCTTGTATGCTCCGCTGGTCATTGCAATCGCGGCCTTGATGGCCTTGAGACGGAGGTCAACTGGCAACGGTTAAAACACTGGCGGGTTCAATCGTACAGAGAAACTTACATCCGCCCCCATTACGGATGATCCGGTCTAGGACAGCCACGAATTCGGGGATGACCCGGTCCACTGCATCCAGACCTGCAAGGACGGTGATGACGTCCGAGCTGGGATTGGTGTATTTTTTGCTCAGCACGCTGGTCAAGAAGACCGACAGTGTCTACCAATGGGAGTTAGATTGACGCTGTCCCCCAACGATACATCATACAAATACTCACATCGAGCGCATACGCGTCTGCTGGCGAGACCCCAGATGCTGCCTCGCGCACCGCGCGGGCAAAGAGATTCTGCGTTTGCGCCTGGGCCGTGGGTTAGCGAGAGGACCTGCAATGAATGGAAGCGTACACTACACACCTGTACGCCTAATATGTCGTCCGGGCTCAACGCGTCCAGCAGGGCGTGCAGCCGCGCACGGTCTGGCGGCAAGAGGAAGAATTCCCGCCAGAAGCCCTCAGAGGGCTCACTGTCGTCGGGGGACTGGACGTGTGATCAGATGGGAACAATATGGGGGAGCGGCGGGAGGCGTACCTTGAACAGGTTCTCGTACAGCTGGACGATCTTCGGCTTGAAGATCTCGGGTCTGGCCTGCTGGGTCAAGGGAGAGGCTTCCATGGTGAGTCCTAGGTTGATAGATCGGCAGCGGCCGAGGGATCACCGAAGACACTCTTTTCTTTCCGAGACTTAATAATTCAATGGGGCTCTAGTTCACGATCCATGAATGGATGAAACACGAAGTTCCACCAGCCACTTTGTCAGCGGAACCAGCCACATGTCCTCTTCGGGCGGTGTATGTCTGTCTTCGAGCCTCGATACTATAGCCAAATCTTGATTACTTCGAATTTATCACCGATATGAATCCACCTCTTCGATTCTCCTCGCTCGTTTTCTTCCGTCATCGGGGTTTCCCGCTGTTCCCGTCTGTGTCTGGGCTGACTCCACTGCCGATAGCGCCGGTGCCGCGACTCGATGGCATGGACCGGGGTCTACGGATGAATACAGTTGAAAATATATACCGAGAATCCTTTGTAATCTTGAAGAATCCATGTCCGAATCACACCACCCCGATGTACTGAAATGCCTTTCCCCTGATTGGCTACAAGTCCTGCCACCCGGCTTAGCTAATCGCCCGAGGGAAAGCAGCATCCCAGTTGAACAAAACACATCATTCTTCCAACCCGCTTGACCTTCTTGTCTCCCTCGCCCATACCGGCTCTTTCCCATGTGTCTATAAGCTATTTACCCTGTTCCCACCCTGACCGGATTGACTTCCCCCTGTCCATGCATTTTTGCGCCATGCAGCGTCCAGTGACATCATCCGCCACCCTTCTCCGATGGGCCATCAAGCCCTCGGCACAGCGCACCTCGGTGTTGCGCACCTTCTCCTCCTACGGAAGCGCTCACCAGTCCTCAAAGCGAGATATGCAAACAGCTACCGCGTACCGTCCGCACACCCTGCCCTCCTCTTTCCCGCCGCCGCGCAGCGCGGGCACTCCGGACACCTCCATCTCCGCAGACTTTCCGCCTGAGCGACAGGTCTCGCAGACAGAGACCTCTTCCACTATCAGTCTGCCAGAGGGGGAGGCTCAGAAGTCCAGATCTGCCCCGTCCGCTGCCCCGTCAACTACAACCGCAAACACAGCCAAACCCGCTACCAAGCCTCGGCGACCGCTGCGGGCGAGGAAGGCAGCCATGAAAGTGACACCGCTGGCCATCGAACAACTTCGCAAACTGATGGATTCGCCGGACCCCAAATTCATTCGTGTGGGCGTCAAGAACCGCGGCTGCTCTGGGCTGGCCTATCACCTGGAGTACGTGGAGAAGCCTGGCAAGTTCGACGAGGTGGTCGAGCAGGATGGCGTCAAGGTCTTGATTGATAGCAAGGCCCTGTTCAGTATTATCGGCAGTGAAATGGACTGGCTAGAGGATAAGCTGAGTAGGCGGTTTGTCTTCCGTAACCCTAACATTAGTGAGTTTTCCCTCTCCTTCCACCTCCATGGCTTTTGTGGTTTGAGTTGACTGACTGGAATATTAGAGGAACAATGTGGATGCGGTGAATCCTTCATGGTCTAATTTCAGCACTCTTTGATACATTGGCTATACACTGCATCGCACGGCGTTCTTTTTTATATCATGGGGGTGTTCTCTTTTTTTTGGAACGACCACTCGCTTCGGGTCGAGTACATACACACCATATCCAGTTGATACACTTCTCTATTCTCCACTGTTCTTTCGTTGGGTTACGCGCTTGGGCTTCCTACAGATTTGGTCTTCGGGCTACCATGTCTGTTCTGTTGCTGCGCTGAGATGGATCGCGCATCCGATAGGATCTCTTTTGTGTAGAATAGTCCAATGGACGTTCTTGATGAATATAAATTTGATTCCCTCCAACATTGTCTTGTAAATTGTCCACCTTGAAGGCGTTGTCACATGACGGGGCCCTTCCCGGTAGAGAGGCTTAAACACTTCCCAGTCCATTTCCATCGATCACCTTCCCCCAGAACCAAACCCATTCTCAACCAAACAACCCTTCATGTCTCGAAATTGAACCAACCAAACAAACATGGCCTCCGCCTTCCTCTCCCCGCAACCTAGCGACACCACCACCACCGATCCCCTCCTCGTAACAGTCCGCTTCTCAGCTTCCATCCCAGACCTCCACCTCGACGTCCCCGAACCGGAATCTACCACAGGCGCAGGCCTGAAACAGCTCATCCGCACCAATCTACCACCCTCCCTCTCAGCGCACCGTCTCCGTCTCATCTATGCCGGCCGCGGGCTAGAAGATACAGCCCCGTTAACTTTCTCGCTGAAGCTGCCCCTTTCGCCAAGTCGCAGCCCGCGCCTACCTATCACAGATGACGACGACGATGATGGTGAAGAAGACCACGATGATGGATCTTCTACCGCAAATGGAAAGGGCAAGGGGAAGGGCAAGCAGCCTGTGCGCGATACACGACCTAGATTGTATATCCACTGCTCGATTGGGGATATCGCTCTGACGGACGCGGATCTAGTCGCTGAGGCAGGCATGGCTTCAACGCTGCTCCTACAGCAACGGAAGGATGAAGGTTATGAGAAGACTAGCTCGAATCTTTTCAGATCGCAAACCAAACAACCTCGGCAACATCAACAACAACATCCTGCTACTGCTACTGCTGCTGCAACCACTACGACAACGCCCGCCCCCCGCGGCTTCGACCGCCTCCTCGCCGCAGGCTTTACCCCCGCAGAGGTAACAGCCCTCCGCTCACAATTCCTTGCCGTGCAGTCCGTCTCCCGTACGCCGGACACCATGCCCTCCGGCGAAGAGCTGCGGGATCTAGAGGACAGATGGATGGACGAAGGGTCGACGGCTGCGCAGGCGCAGGCGGGGGTGGTGGGCTTGACGGGGGTGGTGGGGGGATTGGAGGGGATGATGATGGGGGGCTTGGGTCTGGTTCGCGGGGCGCGATGGACGATATGCTTTGGGGAGCGGTGATGGGTTTCTTTTGGCCGGTAGGCTGTGCGATGTGGTTAAGGAGGGAGGAAGGGGTGTGGAGTTGGAGGAAGGGTGTGGCTGTTTTTATTGGGGTTCTTGTGAATGCTGCTTTTGGGGGGATGAGGATTATGAATTGATTTGCTGGTTGAGTTGGGGTTCTGATAGGTGGATGATGGCGTTTTTTTCTTTGGTTTTTGCGAGATACCCCATGATATGTACATACTGTTTGAGATTGTCTGAGATAGAAGGACCCGGGTTGGCCATGGATTCAACGAGTCGGCGTAGCATGACTAGGCCATGGATGCGATCATACATACAATGCAAATATGCGTCTGAATCAAATCCCCCGGAACACGCACGAGTCACGAGTATGTTCCTCAAGGGAGTAATAGAAACAACGACAGCGACATCAGCAGTAACAACAAGAACAACAACAGACAGAAAGAAAGAAAAACTCCAAGAGAAAAGAAACGCCAGCGATTAGTTTCCTTAGTCACCCCTTTCAAACGCTCAATGGAACTTGCTGTAAATAACTGCAACAATAAGAAGCACCAACACCGTAATGATAGTGATAGTGATTATCCGATTGGTAGCCATCCTATACACACCCAACCAAAACCCAGGTCAGCCAGCCCGAAACCAAAAAGCGGAAAAAATAAGGGGCAAGTCATTACCTACGGGCCATGCCCCTCAAAGTCTTAATACTCGTATCAACATATCCCTCCGACTGCTGCAGATTATCCCGGGTATGCTGAATAGTCTGCCGCTGCTGATACAGATCCGCCAGCGTGTTGCGGCCCACATCCTCCGTCTCGAGCGCAATACGCTGGCTCTCCTGCAGCCGGGCCGAGCTGCGCTCTAGCCGGTCGGTGCCAGACAGCAGCTGCTGGCGCTGCTCGAGCTGCTCGTCCGCCGGCTCGTCGGTGTACCGGTCGCCGAAGAGCGCGCGGCGGTCGTCCGAGAGGGATTTCAGCTTGCGCTTCGTCTCGTCTAGATCGCTTGTGTAGTTGCGGAAGCGCATATTGATCTTTGAGCGTGCCGCTGAGGGAATGTTTTGCTTTTCCATGCGCATTTGGTCGAGCTGGAAACGTAGCGTTAGTTGGTATTATTTCCGTCTTCGTCTCTCCCGTTTGACAGACATGAGAGCAGAGAGATAGAGAAGCAGAGAGATAGAGACAGAAAGGATATAAAACTCACCTGCTCCATAGCCTCCTCGAGGACAGCCTCCGCCTGCCGGACGGCGGCCTTCCGCTGCTCTCCGCTCGCCTCGGCGATCTGGTCCAGCTTCTGGTTCAGATCCGCCTGCATCAGCTTCAGCTCGTTCTCGTAGCTGGCGAACAGCTCCGAGCCGGCATCTGTGTCCAGAGGATGCGACATCTTATAGGGTGGTTATTGTATATGTGGTGCGAAATGAGGGAGGTTGCTGCGAGACGGTTGCTGACGCTGGCTTTAAGCAGGCTCCACCCTATCGGTATCTGGGGTGGCGGGTTAAGCTGGTCGGTCCGTTGTGTCCGAGGGCCGGTGGCGCGGTGATACGATCAAAGAACAACAAGTTGGGTACAAGACAGATGGTAGGAATAAGGAGTGACTCTGCGCTGAAGATGGACTGAGTTAGGGTTGGTTGGGGTTGCGGAAAGGAATGAAGGCGATGATGTCGATGCTGCACGTGACTCCGAGGCTGGTTTACTATTCTAGGGCATCGATCTACATATAACTACAAGTTAAAGAGAAAAAAAAAGAGTACATCAGTCGCATTAGCATAACAGAACCGACTCGGAAACAATTCGCCTTTTCAAAAAACAAAACATGGAAGATCCCCCGTGGTATACATGATCATGGAAATCTCTTGAACACCTTATGCCAGGAACTTGCTGCTGTCCTGGCTGACAATCAATGCGCTTCTCTTTGCATCCAAGAACAAATCCTCGCACTCCGCCACATCCGCCTCCTCAATCCCGCCGGGCCGTCCATTGACCCGAGCCAGGATGCTGGCTGGAGTCAACAGCTGCAGCGCATACCGCAGACTGACCTTGCTGCCGTGCTGGGCGACCTTGTCCAGGGCAGGTTCGGTGATGTTCAGACCCTCGGTCTTGGCGCGCAGCCTGATGATAGTCTTGATCTCGTCAGGCGTGTAAGGGTTGGTGGGGATGATGAGAAGGCGCGCAAGCAGATCGGGAGGGATGCCGTGTGCGGCGGTAATGTCGTCCGTGCCACGGATGACCGTGTTGCCGCGGTTGGAGGCGAGAATCACGATCGGGGAAATGCTCTGTTCCAGAGCGCGGTTCAGGTATGTGAAGCACTCGATGTCCAGCATGTGAACCTATACCAGACGGTCAGAGACGAAAATAAAATCTTCAGGAACCAATCCATACCTCGTCGATGAAAAGCACACCCGGCACCAGCTCAGCAACTCCTTGGTCAATGTACCGGTTGACCACTTTGTTGATCTCCTGGCGCAGTTTGTCCGTGATCTCCGTCTTCTTGGGCTTCATCAGCTGGCCCATCATGCTCATCACATCCTGGCCACCCTGCGGCCGGGCATTGGCCATGTCCAGGTCATGGAGTGTCACATCTTGCACAATCTCCTTTTTCTTGTGGACCTCGCCCTTCGGAACGGGCACATACTCCTCCGCTTCCAGGTCGAACTCGGTCGCGTAGGCATCGGACCGTCCCACTCGCTTGCACGCTCCCGTGTTGGCTTCGATATAGATGACATCTCCGACTGTGACGCGCTCCTTTTGGATGGCTTCGTAGATGCTGGGGTCGAGCCGAAGCTTCTTGGTGCCCTTGGCCGACTTCAAGCCGATGATCAAGTGGCTGATCGTACGCCCGTAGCCACCCAACGGATTCTCGGTCTCTTCGGGGGTGAGCTCCGTCACTTCGCCCTCGTACACCTCCTTGGTTTCCCGAACCCGCAAGCCTATTTTTTGTTAGTAGTGTCATGTCTGTTGGCGTCACATTGCATACCGATAGCTCTCCGAAAGTTCTCCATGAGCGCTTCAGTCTTCTTAACCTCTGCCGAGTAGACCTCACTGCCGACGATCGGGCAGAAGGGGACCTTGGTTCCCAATTCCTGTGACACGGCAAGGGCCAGTGCAGTTTTCCCCGTACCGGGGCCACCAGCCAGCAGGACAGCTCGGCCGGCCATCTTCCTTGCCTTGATCAAGTCCACCACGACGCCGCAGGCCTTTTCATCGGTCAGTCATCATGCACACCTCGTGTCAACCTTGTCACCTACCTCACGGGCAGTTCCCTGGCCCACGAATCCGTCGGCGGAAGATTCTGAAGTGCCATCAGGACGCAATCCTAGACCCTTGATGTGAGTGTGTGTTGCCGTCCGGTTCTCGCGCGCATTGCCCTTGACCTCGCTGATCTGGACCATGGTTGGGATGGGGGATGCGACTTTGGAGAGGGAGTCGCTATTGTAGAGAAGAGATGAAAGAGGAATAATCCAGAGGTTGATGTTGGTCCAGAAATTCGCGCGCAAGGGATCTGCAGCAGCACCAAGCCAGCCAAATCCCCAAAGGCGGTCAGCAGCCCCAAATTCTTCCTTCCGTCTTTCAACTCCACCAAACCATGAGAGATAATTGACACCATCATGGCAGTCCCATCAAGACCCGCCATGTCCCTCTCCTCCCTCTCGGCGGCCTTCCGCTGCCTCTCCTTCACGCCCCGACGAGCGTTCTCGACAACCCTTCCCACGCAGACTACCAAACAACTCCCCGAACACATCCCTCCCTACCCCTATGGACCCAATCTCTGGTACAAGCAATCCAACACTGGTCTGTACGGCGGCGCGATGATCCAATTTGGCAACAAGATCTCCAAGGGCCGCAACAAGGGCAAGACGCGACGGTCCTGGAAACCCAACGTCCGCCGGAAGAAGATCTACAGTGATGCATTGGAAGAACACCTCTTTATCAAGGTCACGCGGCGCGCACTGCGTACAATCTACAAGGCCGGCAGCCTGGACAACTATCTGTTGGATGACCGGCCAGCCCGGATTAAGGAAATGGGGATCTTCGGGTGGGAATTGCGGTGGAGGATTATGCAGACGCCCAAGATCCAGGAGCAATTTAAGGAACAGCGGAAAAAATTGGGACTTCCGGAACCGCTGTCGTTGGAGGAGTGGATGAAGTCGAAGGAGGAGGAAATCCAGGAGCAGGTCGACAAGTATATGGATATCAAGGAGCTCACGAAGCCGACGCTAAATGCCAACTCGGTCCGCAGGGAGGACTAGGGATGGGCATACATCCAGGATCAATGGTCCGCCGCTTGTATCATTATCCCGGAAGAGACCTGGCCTTTGTGACATTTTCTTGCATGCGATCTTTCTGGGCTGCATATTCAATCTCTGTGTATTTATACTCCAATGCCATCCATCATCTTATTTCATGCACTGCAAACAAAGCCATTCATCCTATGAACCAGGAAATTTGCATCGAGAACCATGCGCAGGAAGAACAATGAACCGCATGTTGGTTGTGTGTGGCTCGACCTCTGTTTCATAGCTACTGGGTATACCAGGTGTATTACCCTCGCTGCACTCGGGTCGATGCTGCGAACCCCCACAATTCGAACCTCCAATTTGTATTATTATATATTATTATTATTATCATTATTATGGGAATCGTCGATCGATCGCAATTTTGTACTGTCCATGATCTATGCTGTCGTCCAGACTAACGCGAAGCGGCAACCACTGGAATGCGCCGACGGATTCGGATATTGGCCCAGACACGCCCTCCTGCCTTCATCTCGCCTCAACCACTTACTTCCTTACTTTATCTCTCACGTCTGCGCAAGGGCAATCTCTTTACTCTAACCCTTGGCCGTGGGAATTAATCAGTCGCACTAATGATCTGAACGATCCGCGCCTTTCCCTTCGTCGTCCAGCATCGCAGCGCTGGTCTCTGCCCGCCATGCAGTTCGCATTGCCGCCGCGGCGAAGTCCTGCGCCTCCGTACGCTCATACCTCGCGCTTCCCACGATACCGCAGAAAGCAACTCAAAACAGCTGCTGTGTTTGCCTTCGCAGTATTCACAATCCTCTACCTGCTGTCGCATCTTTTTGCCTCGAGCTCTCCGTCTGTGCTTGCGCCGGCCGATACGTCAAGCGTGGTGATCGTCACGGTGATCGACCGCGAACAGCTGAGCGAGAGCTACATTGAAAAAATCGTGGAAAACAGAGAGGACTATGCCAAACGACATGGTAAAAGCCTCCACTCCCTGCCATAATCCCCATTAACTAACCACAACCAACTTCAAAAAAGGCTACGCTACCTTCTTCACCAGCACATCCGACTACGCCGACGCAATAAACGACGCCCCCCAGACCTGGGCCGTCGCGCCGGCCCTCCGCCACGCAATGGCGACATATCCGCACTCGACATACTTCTTCCACCTCAGCCCGCACGCCCTCATCATGAACCCTTCCAAATCCCTCAAGTCCCATCTGCTGGACAAGACCCGCCTCGAGTCGCTGATGCTCAAGGATCTCCCCGTGGTGCCGCCAGATAGCATCATCAAGACGTTCTCGCATCTCAAAGCAAATGACGTGGATCTCATTATGACTCAGGATAGCGAGGATATCAGCCCCGGCAGCTTTGTGCTCCGCCAGGGCGACTTCGCGCGCTTCTTTCTGGATCTCTGGTTTGATCCGCTGTATCGGAGTTATATGTTTGCGAAGGCGGAGACGCATGGTTTGGTATGTCTCCTACTTTGTGTTTTGTGTTGTATCTGGGCTGACGGATTTCACTCCTTTCCTGGACAGGATCATATTGCCCAGTGGCATCCCACCATTCTCGCACGCCTCGCAATGGTCCCTCAGCGCATCCTGAATTCATATAGCAAAGACTCGCCGTCCGCTGGGGCGGATGGCACATATCAAGACGGCGACTTTGTGATTCGGTTCCATCTATGTGAGAACATGCAGGGCCGCGACTGCGAGGATGAGATCGAGCCTTATTATAACCTGTGGCAGAAGAAGGCGAAGAGCGAATAGTAGTCCCTGGCGGCACGCTCTTCTGTATGATTCTATTTTCTGGGACTTTTGGGCGCAAACATGATTGCTAAACCATATAGCGAGGTGTTTTTGTTTTCCTCCTGTGTTGCATACTCGGTTTTCATTGCAAGTAACATCATTGTTCACTGCTTTTATCTATGTAGAAGTACAAGGATTTCTCCATTGTCGGTTCGCTGTTGGCGGATGAATTTCCATTTAGTCAGTGACCCTGATTGAAAAAAGGATCCCGGGACTGTAAGTAGAGGGCCCAAAGCAGACAATCGTCACGGAACGTCCTCTCCTCCATTATTTCCTTCATTGCAACATAGTGATCAACGAGATCAAAGCTGCATCAAATGTAACCCGAGGGACTGCTTAACACAGACCAGGCAGCATGACAAACTTCTTCTTCTTGTACTTGTCACCAAATTCCTTGCGATACCGACGCTCCTTCTTAGCAGCCCAAGCCCACATCTGCGCACCGCCTACAGCAATGAAAAGCAGCACACTCCAGCTCAGCTGGCTAACCAGGAAGACACCGATCCAGGCCATGATCTCAAAGAGGTAGTTCGGGCAGGTAACCAGACTGAACCCAAAGCCGGACGGGATGCCGCGCTCGGTGGTACCCGGACGGCGCAGGTCCCGCAGCACCATGTGGGCATTCAAGTTGGCCAGTTCGCCCACGGCAAAAAGCACGAGACCAGCGTAGGTGAGGGCGGCGTTGGGCGTCTCCGTCGCCGCGCCGGCGTCCGGCCGGAACACCCAGTAGGATATATTGAAGCCCGCGAGGGCCCAGTAGTGCGCACTGTTTTTGAAGATGTTGTGGGCGGGCATGGTGGCGGCGCTGAAGCGGTGCACGAAGATGGTCTCGAACTCGCGCTTCAGGAAGTGGATGGTCAGGAGGAGGCAGGTGAGCTGCTGGAGGCTGGAGGGGTCGGCGAGAGGCTGCGAGAAATTAAAATAGAGGAGCGGGCGCAGTGGGAAGAGGAAAAGAGCCGGGATCACGAGTGGTCCGAGGTATTCGATGATGAACACGGTGCGCCAGGCGATTTGAGGGCCTGAATCACATAGTGTTAGTGGAGCTGGGATCTTTGTGTGGGAAGATACAGCACCATACCGAGGTCCTTGACGTGGATAACGCTCGCATCGCGCAGTCCGGTGTCTTTGATGGTGGTGCCGTTCGAGTTCGGGACCACGGTGCGGTCACTGCCCTTGGTGATGCGCAGTCGGTGTACGGAAGTGCCGGTTACTTCTGCGAGAGCAATGTGAAGTTCTTCGGCGGATCCATTGAGTGGAATCTCGACTTCTTTGGGGAGCTTGCGAATCGGCTTGCCTGTATCCTAGTCAGCTATTTTTGTATGGCGTCGGACTGTGGAGGCTAGCTCAATGGAGAGTCTGGGTGGGTTGCATACCCCGTGGCTCGACGTTGAGCGTGATCTTAGCCGGCGCCATTGCGAATGAAACAGCTGGTGTCCAGTGTAGGGAAGAATGGCTCGGGTAAGGGATGGATGAATTCTCAACCAAATCGTGTTGATCAAATCAACAATTTGAAGACCGAGGCACATGGGCACGTGATGTGGACGCCTGAGGCTGTTATTTTGTATACATTGACACGAAGCACATTCCTGGGCGGACTCTGTCGACCAAGTGAACAATAATGATTGACCTGAAAAAGCACTTTCATGATGTCCGCGACGAGAGTGAATAGGCCAGGCCATCTGGCCGCGCTTTTCCTGACCCGCCCGACACGAGGCACGTTCAATAATAGCAGTCACTCGACCCGGGGCACTCCGGCCATTCATCGAGTAACATCCGGCTTCGCCTCAACTCAGCCAGGTGGCAGCTCGGCACATATTGCTTTCACGGCTAGTGTGGCCGAACACGACGCCAATCACCCCCGCCAATCATCGGCGGCGGCAATCAGGCAGAATGCAAATGTCGTGTTCTTCGAGCATGTTACCGCGCGCAGGATCAACAAACAATTCACTCGCACATGGTTGACGGACGACCTTTGAGACCCGGAGCTGCCTAAATAATCTGCTGATCATCGGGTCTGAGCGGCTGTCAGTCCTCCAATAAAGCGGTCATGAATCATTATTATTACGAGCTGCTCGTTCTTGGAGCCAAATCGACCGGGAACACCCATGACCCGACGCCACAAGCTAAATGCTTTTGCCTCCTGCTGAGCCTACTGATGCACGGTGTGTTCTGGCCAGGAACCTCGGTGAACAAATGAGAGAGTGCATTCTCCTCATGCAGCAGTGGGGGGCGCCTATCGCCTGTTTGTGCCATGCAGTGGGGGTAAATGCAACCAAATTGATGGCGGGGGGTATTCTCCGCGAGCCATTGGCAGCTAAACACGACCCGCCTCGGATGAGGCTTGTCTAGGCATCGTCAATTGGCATATTCAGCTGCGAGAGGGCTATTATTGCTTCGCCGATTGCGGCTTCTGACTCCGCAGTCTGTCAATCAGGGCATATTAAGGTCCCCAGTTTCCTCCAACATGATTTTGCGATGACCGTGTGCCTTCTCCATTCCCAAACACTCATTGCGCTTGTGCCTGAGTCTACGTTGTTGCCCCTGGCAGTTTTTGTCGCTTGAATTGTATTGCACCCCGCGCGGTAAGTGAGTGCTTTCTCCGACGACCGCCATGAGCGTGAACAACCACCACCACCACGGCTTGAGGAGCAAAATCTCCCAGATTGAGCAAGTCGTTTCCGCATCCTTGAAACCTTTGCCCATCGAGACGGGTAATGGGACGTATGTCAAAGAACCGGCTACGACCGGACTAGCAAAGGACCTCGGCCATACCGACCTGAAAGATGTGAAGACTCTGGCTGAGGTCGCCAAGAGTGCTGTGACCGGTGACCCCGTGAATGACAGGGAATACATCATGGAACGAATTATCCAAGTCAGCCAATGCAACATTATTCATAGGGGATTCATATGCTAATTACTTCGCAGCTTGCAGCTGGTCTGCCTTCAACTTCTAAGAACGGCAAGGAGGTAACGGGTACCTTTCTCAATCAACTGTGGAATGATTTACAGCACCCGCCAATCTCGTATGTTCCCTCGGCAAGATTGGGATATTGGATCTAACTTGATATCCAGGTATCTGGGGCGTGACGCCGCCTACCGGAAAGCGGACGGATCCGGAAATGTAAGACCACCTCTACTTGGATTCCAGGAATATCGGCTAACATTCTATACAAGAATGTACTGTGGCCTCAGATCGGAGCTGCAGGGACCCCATACGCGCGGTCTGTTCAGCCAACGACCATGCAAGCTGCTGCCCTTCCAGACCCAGGGACTCTTTTTGACAGTCTTTTGGCCCGGAAAGAGTTCAAAGAGCACCCAAACCAAATATCCAGTGTGCTATTCTATCTTGCGTCCATCATAATTCATGATCTGTTCCAAACAGATCCGACTGACGGGACAAGGTCTTTGACGTCCTCTTACTTGGACTTGTCGCCTCTCTATGGCAACAACCAAGACCAACAGAACAAAGTGAGAACCTTCAAGGACGGAAAGCTGAAGCCCGATTGTTTCTCTTCCAAAAGGGCTCTAGGATTTCCTCCCGGCGTTGGTACTCTTCTCATCATGTTCAATCGCTTTCACAACTACGTGGTGACGAATCTGGCATCTATCAACGAGGGTGGCCGCTTCACCGAACCGGATTCATCAAATATCAAAGCCTATGCCACCTATGACAACGACCTCTTTCAAACAGGAAGACTGGTCACCTGTGGCCTTTATGTCAATATCATCCTGAAGGACTACGTTCGGACCATCCTCAACTTGAATCGGACAGACAGCACCTGGAGCCTAGATCCCCGCATGGAATTGAAGAACGGACTCCTGGAGAAGGCTGCAGGCCAGGCTACTGGAAATCAAGTATCTGCAGAGTTCAATCTTGTTTACCGCTGGCATTCTTGTGTCTCTGCGCGCGACCAGAAGTGGTCTGAGACCATGTATCAGGAGCTCTTTGCTGGTAAAAATCCTAGCCAGATTACCATGCAAGAATTTACCAGGGGTCTCGGACAATGGGAAGCAAAGCTTTCTGCAGACCCCCAAGAACGACCCTTTGCCAATCTGCAGCGCCAAGCGGATGGCTCATTCGACAGTAATGATCTCGTCAAGATTTTCGAGGAAGGTGTGGAGGATGTTGCTGGAGCATTTGGGGCATGCAATGTCCCCGAAGTGTTCAAGACTGTCGAAGTTCTTGGTATCAAACAGGCACGGGCCTGGAACTTGGCTACGCTGAATGAGTTTCGGGCTTTCTTCGACCTAAAGACCTATGACACGTTCGAGGAGATCAACCCTGACCCGTATATTGCTGACCAGCTCCGGCGGTTCTATGATCAGCCCGATCTCGTGGAGCTATACCCGGGTCTCATTGTGGAGGCCGCAAAAGAGCCCATGGTGCCCGGCAGTGGACTTTGCACCAACTACACTATATCACGAGCAATCCTCTCCGACGCTGTCGCTCTGGTCCGTGGTGATCGTTTCTACACCGTTGACTTTACCCCGAAACATCTCACCAACTGGGCATATAACGAGATTCACTGTGATGACTCCATTGACCAGGGTCAGGTTTTTTACAAACTTGCTCTGGCAGCCTTCCCCAATCATTTTCGTGGAAACTCGATTTACGCCCATTTCCCAATGGTTGTGCCGCATGAGAACCAGAAAATTCTCACTAGCCTTGGGATTGCTGGATCATACGACTTTGATCCCCCCAGCTATCTTCCTACGCCCAGGATGATCAATTCGCACGCGGCATGCTCGTCAATCCTCGCAAACCAGGAATCTTTCAAGGTGATTTGGGGAACGAAGATTGAGTTTTTGATGCATCAGAACCGCCACCCGTACGGGGTCGATTTCATGCTGTCCGGAGATCTTCCTCCAAACGCTGCGTCTCGACAGATGATGGGCGCTGCCCTGTACCGCGACAAGTGGGAGTCTGAGGTCAAGTCGTTCTATGAAGAGATTACCTTGAACCTCCTGCAGAGGAATTCTTACAAGGTGGCAGGTGTTAACCAGGTTGATATTGTGAGGGACGTGGCCAACCTCGCACAGGTAAGATTGTTCTTGCCGAGATTTAGATGATTGTTTAATTTGTGTGTTTACAGGTACACTTTTGCGCCTCTGTCTTTTCCCTGTCTTTAAAGACGGACTCAAATCCTCGTGGCATTTTCACGGAGCTCGAGCTGTACCAGATCATGGCAGTGGTGTTCACGAGCATCTTCTATGATGTGGACGTCTCGAAATCATTCCAACTCAATACTGCTGCCCGACAGGTCACGCAACAGCTCGGCGAATTGACCGTCGCCAATGTCGAGCTTGTTAAGAAGGCTGGATTTATTGAATCCCTGATCAATCGCCTTCATCGCCACGATATCCTGAGCGAATATGGTCAGCACATGATTCAACGTCTGCTAGACAGTGGACTATCCCCGCAACAGATTGTGTACACGCATCTTCTGCCTACGGCTGGTGGAATGGTCGCAAACCAGGCTCAGTTATTTTCGCAGTGCCTGGATTATTATCTCGAGCCTGAAGCCGCCGCTCATCTAGCGGAGATCCAACGTCTGTCGAAAGAAAATACACCCGAATCGGACGATCTGCTTCTTCGATAGTGAGTATTTCCTCACAACTTCTTCAGAGCTGCTACTCACTCGATATAGCTTCCTTGAGGGCGCACGGTTGCGGTCGTCCGTGGCCTTGCCGCGAGAAGTCGCAAAGCCGACGGTCATTGAGGACAATGGAGAGAAGGTGATCCTGAAAGCTGGTCAGCAGATCTATTGCAATTTGGTAAGCTATCCTTTCTCAACGTTAGTACTCAATCTTGACCATCTTTTCAGGTTGCCGCCAGTCACGATCCTGTCGCATTCCCCGACCCTGATACCGTCAAGCTTGATCGCCCTCTCGATTCGTATCTTCACTTCGGTTTTGGACCGCACCAATGCCTCGGCATGGATATGTGCAAGACTGCACTCTCCACCATGCTCAGGGTTATCGGGCGCTTGGACAATCTCCGTCGTGCGCCGGGGGCCCAAGGTCAGCTGAAGAAGCTCGCTGGGCCGGGTGGTGTTGCTATGTATATGGACGCTGAGCACAGCTCGTACTCCCCGTTTCCGACGACTATGAAGGTCCAGTGGGATGGGGCCGCCGCTATGTAGGTAGACAGGTGTAAGCTAAGCATAGGTTAACTGTCTCGAGTCTTTTGTTTGGTATTTTTCATGTTAGGTATTGTCTTCATTGGGGCCTAGGGATACGTGAATCTCGTGCCTCCCATGGTCATATATATATACTTTGGACTATACCCAGGTCCGTCGAGTCGCCATTATCACCGGACTACCTAGGTCATTATAACAGGTTTAATTCTATGAGCATCAAACACAATTATACCCTCGTAAAAAATGTATCTCGCTTGTCAATCCTTTGAAGTTGACCCAGGCACCGTTTTCCCAGTGCTGAGGTAAGCCGCGCAGCGGGATTTCCCTCAGAGCCGCCGCTCCGCAAGCTTCAGTTCGATCACCTTCTCTTTCTTCAACCCCTTCCCGTCCTCCTTCCCACTCCTTTTCTCTTTCTGTGTCATTACTTCAGGGGACAACGACCTGCACCGTTTATCCTGACAGTCTGGCATTTTCCTTACCACCCTCAACCCACCCCGAGCTCTCTGTCGCTCTCTCTCACCGACCTCTCCCATCAGACTTTTGAAACGTCATAAGGCCTTCTCGCGCTTTCTCCGCCGGTCTTCACAACATCCCCACTCCACCCTCTCGACCAGACCTTCTCCCGATATCCTTCTCTCTCCTCATGGTTGGCTGCCCGTCTGATTGTCATAATGGGGAGAATTAAGAAGGTGGCCAGCCAGAAACATGAGGCTACAATCGTAATGTTCCCACCTCCACCCAAGTGACCACTCGACTAAAAATTTTCTTTCTTGCTTTAGTCACCTTTTCTGGCAGATTTCATAGCGCGTGCGACGAGCCTGCCCGTCGCAGAGCTTCCTTCCCTTCTGAGCACCTTTCCAAGACTATGGCCCTTCCCGCGAGGTGATCTTTACCACTGGATCAATGTCTTGGACCGTTTCGACGAAATCCTTGCCGAAGTCATTGACCGATACTTCCTCAACACCGGCCCACAGGTTCAGTCCTTCACTAGGAACTTCCTGAATGAGTCACTTGTGAAAGAATCAAGTACAACACCCGCCGAGGGTCCTGAGGCCAGGCTGAACGCGTTGGGCTATGGCCCGGACGGAGACAGGCAGCTGCTGGAAGCCATTCTTGACTTCTCCCGTCTTCTTCTGGAAAAATGTGGCAATCGCAGCTTGTACAACAGCAGTGAACGCCTGGGTGATCTCTTGAACACCACTTCGCTGTCCCTGCTCCAGTCGACTCTGCGGCTCTCCCTGTGCTTGGCTCAACGGTACCACTCGCGTCAACGGGGCGCCCATCAGCAGTCCATGCTGGCGACTCACTACAACATCGATCTGGAGAAACTGCAGAAGATAGCTTCGCCGTTCCCTCGTCCTCTCATTGTCGGCAAAGCACCATTTGCCGCATCCCCTGCCGTCTCCACTAAGGGGAAAGAAAAGACAGCCCAGACAAAACTCAATGCAAACGAGTTGGTCTCTCTTATGCGTGACACCGATGGTTGGGAGGAATGGGGCAACGTTCGTGTGCTCTACTACCCTTCTGGCTCCTCGGAGCAGACAAGAACGACGTCAGCCTTCGGACAGACAGAACATGCCCCATCCACACCGACGCCACTACGCCGAAGTGCAACCCATCCCACTCCCCGCCTGAGTCGTGAGTCGAATATGGACGAGTCTCCGGCTGGAAATACCAATACGGGTGGAAAAGCAGAAGAGTCATCTCGCAGTGGAAAGATCTTGGATCTCCCGCATTCAAAGGTCTCATCCGCAAAGCCGGAGGACATCGTTGCTGCTAACCTGTCACACTTGCCTCTTGAGTCAAAATATGAGCTGCTTCACAAAGTCCGTACTGCACAGGGACTCTCGACTTCAAACGCCACGCGTGAGCAAATCCTTGCCATCAGGATTCTCGCGGTGACCAACTTGGCCTATGTCCTCCCTGAGTCGGCATTCCAACAGAAAGTGCTACAGTATGACATGGAGCAGTCCAAGCGTCTTCAAATAACGTATCAGTTGGCTGAGCTGGTTCACCTTGGAGCTAGCGGCGACCTCAACGTCTCGCGACCGTTGCAAACCCTGGCAATTCAGGCCCTTGATGCGCTGGCGAAACACAAATCTCGTGCCATGGATGTTTGCGCTGCCTTGAGTGTCAATGTCAACCATGGAGTTCTCATGTTCCTGACTCGAAAGGTGGTCAACGAGCTTGCCGCCGACGATGAGAACACGGATGATGCCTATCACGACGAATGGCGTGATGCTTTACTTGCCCTCCTGCGGACGCTTCCAAGCTCAAGCACGCGCACACCGGAGACTCTTGTCTCTGCCGGCTTGATTCCCATGTTTGTCGATATCCTGAACCTTCGAACGCCCAAGGCTCGCCGGGTTTACTCGCGCGTCATGGAGTTCTTGGATACATTTGTTCACGCCGTTCGAGATGCACTGGGCACCCTGACAACTGCGAAAGGATTTGATGCGATGTCTGATCTGATCGATCACGAAACAAAGACCGCGTTCGAGAAGGTCTCGCGCGGCGAAGGGTTCCCTTCTCAATACAAGAATCCGTCGATCGATTATCAGATTCCCTATTTCCAACAGCAGACCCTGCGCTGGATGTTCCGCTTCGTCAATCATATCATGCAGCACAACGGCGGTGGGTTTGATCGGGTGTTGCGCAATCTGATCGACTCGCCTCAGCTGCTGACGTCCTTGCGGCTGGTATTTGAGAATGCCCGGATTTTCGGCTCGCACGTTTGGAGCAATGGCGTCAATATCCTCAGCAGCTTCATTCATAATGAGCCTACAAGTTACGCTGTGATCGCGGAAGCTGGTCTTAGCCGAAGTCTCCTTGCTGCCGTGATGGGTCATGAACTTCAGGCTACCGAGAAGCCGCCAGTCGTCGAACCTGAGACTTCCCAGGCTGAAGGCGAGCCTTTGTCTGAACGACCTGCTGCCGCACCTGCCCCTCAACCAGAGCGAAAGCAGGAAGGCCGAGAGTACAGTATCGCTAGGGCACCGAAGCAGCCTCTTGCTTCTGGCATCATACCCGCAGCTGATGCTCTTGCCTGTATTCCATCGGCATTTGGAGCGATTTGCCTGAACTCCTCTGGCTTGGATCTCTTGCAGACCTCTGATGCGCTCGATAGCTTCTTCGAAATCTTCGAAAATCCAGAACATGTCAAGTGTCTTAAAGATGATCCGACCCTAATTCGCTCACTGGGTACGACGTTCGAAGAACTGGCTCGACACCACCCTCCCCTGAAGACATCCATCATGTCAGCCGTTATTGTCATGGCCGCGCGTGTGGGCTTGCTCTGCAAGGTCAAGGCGTGGGAGCAGGGAATTGGCGCAAAGCTGTGGACCGAAGACTCGCAGGGTACATTCCGTCTCTCCGGCGATGTCTTCTCCCTGTTCCGTGAAATCGGGACAGCTGTTGACAGCCCCGAGGATGATCCTGCGTCAGTCGGCGCTCCGCAGTTGACTGCGAGCGATCTTCCCAACGGTGGGAAGCTTATTGTTGGCGATCTCAGCCACCTCCTTCCAAGTAGGGATCCTGATTTCGAGCCAAAAGACAAGGATGAACATGGGCTTTCGGTCACGGACTACTTATTCCCGGCGACACGGTTCCTAGGAGCTTTCTTCGAGAACCAGCCTACGTGCACGGCATTCATCAACGCTGGAGGCGCGGAGTTCGTCCTGGACTTTGCTACTCTGCAGAGCTTGTCCTTCGACTTCCACAATACCGATGCCAACCAGGAGCTTTCTGTGCTCGTGCATATGCTCGCGGAGACAAAGCCTCATGTTGTGGTGCCATCTCTTGTACACCGCACCCAACTAGCAGTCGACAATCTCTCGACTTTCTGGACTGAATCCAGTGAGTCTGGGTTCTTTACTGCTCTGATCAACCCGGGAGACTCCAAGAAGCCCGCTTCAGTGTCTTCTTCTGCTGCAGTCGACCATGGAACGCTCTTTGCCAAACATCTGAATACCGCGCTCGTCCTCACGGACCTGCTTCGTGAAGTCTTCGCGATGCCGTTGTACCAGACCCGGTCTGTCCAGCAAACATCCATCTTTGGCCAAGTCAACCTTGCCGACAAGTACTGCGCTCTTGTCTCATCGTTGGGTAACCTCCAGGCTGCATGTGTGTGGGAAGAAATTACGATGGAAAGGAACATCCCCGACAAGTGGATGAAGGCCATTCAAGCACCCCCAGCCAAAGATGGACCCCAACCCACTGATTCCTCTGGAGTCGCGGTCCAGGAATCGTCTCAGGACCCAACCGCTCAATCTCGCCAGGAGGGCTCCGGTGCCTCCGGGGATGCACCGGCTCAAACAACACAAGAGTCTCGAAGCGCCGACACACAGAGCGCAGCCTTCAAAAATGCTCAAACGCTCCGTTATCTTTTGAGTGTGCTGCCGGCCTCAATCACCGGCTTTTTCCATAACCTTGGCCTTGGGCTTGTCGGCAAGAGACGAACTGACCCGTACTTGAGGCAGAAGCCGAATGCGAATATGGTTGCAGATGCCATCGCTGAGACTGTTTTTCGACAAATACAATTCAATCCGGCCAATTCGAGTGATAGCCTCAAGCATCGGTTCGCCTACCTCATCGTCACCCTCTCCTCATTTTCGCAACTTCTTTATGAAGGTAAGTTAAAATTTGTCTCTTCGAAAGATTGAGCATATGCTAATCAATTGTCCCCAGTTGCTACAGACCGTCCACACTCGACGTACTTGACCCTGGTTCTTGTCGCCTTCAAAAAGCAGAATGGCCTGAAAGTTCTCAAGGACCTCAGCGAGGTTTTCATGCGTGAAATCAGAGCGCTTCCTCCCCCGGATTCTGTTCCCGACAGTGAGACTGAGATCAAAGGTCGACTTGCTTCTGCTTATGGCGGGATCAAGGTTATCTTGGCGTTGTTCGCGGAACTTGCCTCGGGCAAGAGCATTGTCGAGTCCACTCAAACACAAGCGATGACCAGCCATAATGACCGCGATCGAGATCGCCCCGATCACTTC